CCTCATCACCAGCGCCATCATCTCCCCACTCATCGATCGAACGCACAGCTTCCTCCTCGCCATCAAGATACAAGTGCCCCTCATCGCCGCATGCTACATCGTGCTGATCTGGGTCGTCGACGTCAACGGCGCCCTCGCGCCTCCCTACATCGTGTGCGCTGTGCTTGGCGCCACGAGCTTCAGTTTGCTGCCCGTGGTGCTCGAGTGGGTGGTGGAGCTGACGCATCCGGTGAGTCCCGAGCTGACGAGCTCGCTGCTGTGGTGTGGGGGACAGGTGCTAGGTGCGGTGTTTCTGCTGGTGATGGATGCGTTGAAGGATGTGGGGGATGGAGGGAAGATGAGGAGGTATGTTTACTTACGTTCTATCGACTGAGGTTGAGAGAGAACTGACGGTGGGATTGTAGGTCGTTGATATTTGAGGCGGTTGTGGCGGCAGCGGTGTGTCCGTTGGTGCTGGTGCTGGGCAGGGGAAGCAGCGGCGGCGTGAATAGAAGGATTGAGATTGATAAGGCGGCGGATGGTGTTGAGGGTTGAGGTGGGCGGTTAGGTTATAGGGAGGAGGGTGCTGAATGCGGTTATGTATGCATGTATGTAGTGATAATTTATAAAGTAATCGGTTATAGTGTGCCGACGAGTGATATCCTGTGAGTCAATACAAGTATGTATGTAGTCAGTGTCGTAGGGTAGACCTTTTATCACTTCCCAGAAACAGTGAGCGATTGGCGTAGACGGAACTGTATTAGCTTTTCAAGCACTAGATGGATGTTTTCAGGCTGTTGATGATCGAGGTCGAATGCTCGGACGAAGGAAGATGAGAGCGAGTGCCGCAGCTTAGCTTTATAGCCCCTCAAAACTAACACATATGCTTAACCGGCTACAACCACGTAGCTGTTATAACGTGTCTGAACACCTATTCTGCTAATCTGCCCTGGGTGTGAAAGAATTATCAGCTGGCTGATCCACACGGCCGGTGACTGGGGAGCAGGCCGCCGGGGTTAAGTACATGCAGCCCCCCCGCAAAAGAAAAAAAAAAAAGAATTGATGTCGACGGTTGGGATTTGAACCCAAGATCTCCTCACAGCACTAACACCTACGAGCTGAGTTTTGGTATGTTAACCACTACACTACCGGCGATGGAATACAGGTGTGATATATTGAATCTTGAACTCACTTTGGCGCTAGTTACCCATACGCGATAGAAAGGGGGCCGCGTCAGTCCGGCTGTTAGTACGTCAGTGTGCCGCTAGCTTAGATGTAGCTTACACGCATACAGCTAGTTCCTCACTCCCGGCGGGAGGTTTATTCACCATACCATCTTAGTGGTATTTTTTAAGTTTATAGGATCCTAGGAGCTATTATGTGCTTGAACGTTCTAAAATATAGGATTTTCCGGTGGCAGTATACGTAGTGGAGGCATTTGGTGATGATATGAGTCTTGAAGGTTTGGCGGTGACAGTATGAGCTCGTATATACATGTAAGCCCCATACAGCTCATCGTTAAATCCAAGGTGCCGGATTTGGCAGTGGCTTTGACGGAAGTGAGCACATACGAGCCAGCACGTACGCCGACGGCGGATGATTCGATTATATGGGATTTTGATACTCACAACATTGTGTACATGTCCGAACAGCATACAAGCATGTAGATATATATATGTATACGAGCCCGGCACGAAATTACTCCTCTATCTTCAAGCTGGGTATGAACTTCCGTTTGTTGCATATTACCGCTCTCGTTGCGCTAAGAGGTATCAATGATCGCCAGAACAGGCTTTTTGACAGTCGGGCTTGGCATGCTTAGTAAACTGTTTGGGGATGTTGAGTATTTGCCGCGCTCAACGCTAGGCGGCGGTACTGCATGTTTTTTTCTGTAGATACATCTACTTATGAGTTTCCGGTGAGTTAGTGGTGGTAGTCGTAGTGGAGCGCTGGATACACAGGAAAACATAACGATATCGAGGGTGGGCCATGGGTAGATAAGTAGATGAAAGCCAGAGAGACGGCAGAACACTCTGTAAAAGTTATTCAAGGAAAATGGCGGGAAATGATGTGAAGGTGTTAGCTGGCAGCTGGTAAATACCCACTCTCAACTAGAGAAATTCTGCCCTTTCGAACTGATCTAAATCATTATTATCTATCATTACCAAAGCTCTAATAAACAATCTTCTAAAAAATAATCCCCTCTCTATATCTTCCCCTGCTCACTCCTCTTCTTCGAGTTACAATTCCACGCCCACGCCGCCGAAATCGTAACCACCATGAGCCCCATCGTCGCCAACACAAACACCCAAAACTGCTTCCTCACCACAATCCCGCCCAAACTCGAGCTCTCCGAGATCTCCACAAGGCTCGTACTAAACAGCGCCTATAATCCGCACAACCACACAGCCCCGTCAATCAACCAACTACACACACACCTCGCGGTCCAAGAAAGGGTAAACATACAGCGACCAGTCCGGCCGGCAGGTAGATCATCGCCACCACCGTCGCAATGCCCATAAACCGTGACTCCTCGCGTGTCTTTTCTGCAAGCGTGACAAGAAGCTTATTCTCCGATGCGGCGTCGGCGGCAAGCTCCCTCAGCGCTGAGCTGTTCCCTTCCATGGCTTCGTCGTTGCGGAAGTCAAGGACTTTGAGGATCTGAGACGTTAGTGTTGCACATTCTTCTTATAACTAGTTCACACGCAATGCCAATAGTCAAATGCTTACCATCAGCCGGATATCCTCAGATGTCACGAGAAGTTCCTTGATGCTCCGGATATGGCCTTTGAGCGCGCTTTCATACTCGGTCAGCTCCGTCCTGAAGCAGATGTCGGCACCAATGGTGCATGTCCGGTAAGGTTTCAAGCTTTCATAGTGGGCTGCTAGCTTGAGCGCTGTGTCGAGATTGGCTTCAAGGATAGACAGCGCCTGACTGAGCCTGTTTCTGAGAACGCCAATGTCTTGACTGTGCTGGAACTCTACGCCAAAGTTGACACTATTGATTCTACGGAACCGGACCCGATCACTCTATTTCGGCCGTAACAGGGTGCAAGTGAGAAGCATGTACATGTAACTGACTCGTATAAACAAGTTCCGCCGGGGAGGTTACTTACCATCTTTTCCAGCTCCCCACCCAAGCAATTAACATATCCTCTCCAGCCCCTCTCGCACTCCACAAGGAAGTGCAAATGCAACTGCATCGGATGGCCTGCATCTCCCTTCTCACCCACAATCCTTTTCAGTCCCTCTTGCGCACTCAGCGGTACTTGCACTAGCACCCAGACCGACGCATCGTCTTGGAGTGAGTACTGCTGGTATATGGCGCAGTGGCGGCACGACCAAGGGAACTCTTCGTCGCCGCGCCCGTTCTCGGCGTAATAGCGGATGTTGTAGCAGAGCTCTGTGATTACGATGTGCATATATACAGCCCCACTCGTTATTACAATCCCGGGGTATATCCATGGGGATGAATAAAGACCTACCGTATACCAGTGGCAGGTCACCATTAAAGTGGAACCGTGGAGAGCAGCCAGAGAAGTGACGATCCGTTTCCTCGTCTTTGATGCCGAAGGCGAAGATAAAGGGGAGGTATTTGGGGAAGATGGAGTATGAGCTACATAGTAGACAGAATAACTCAAAGGTTATCTTGAGACGAGACCAGGTGTTAAGTTGGTGAATAAGACTATCTACGGTATTAGCTTGGGATACCTTATTTCATCTATGACCATGGATGGGTACGGACAAAATCTTTGTACTGGTTTTGTCATTAGATGTTTCCTACGGATAAATACCAAGTTAACTCATTGGTTGCCTAGAGTCAATGGATGCTGCATGGCAGTATATTTGGATACCACCTTTAAGAATGTCTCCAATTGTGCAGTGCTAGAGATGTGTGGTTCGGCTGCCGCTGACAAGCCTGCCTACATTAGAACTATCCGTAACCCACCTCATGATTACAATTCTCATACCTGAACTCGCTACCTGCAGATCCTGTACCGGCGGTGTCCACAGGATCCCGCGATGTAACACCTCTAGTCTAACTTTAGACTCCTGGTCCACAAACAGTTCTTCCCCGCGCTTCTCCAGCACATCGCGGAGCTGATACAGATTATCGACACACGGGACAACGCGGGTGATCCCGAACGGGTATTTTCCCCATGTACTAACCTGGTTTTGGGTCGGATGTTAGCACACCCGCACTCGATGCTGAGGAAAAAATATTACTTACGGAGGCCATGGTGTTACTGGTGGGGTTGTGTTGGGTAATTTATCTCAGCTGGCTGGAGCAAGCGTCGCGAATTGCATAGATTGCCCATTTATAGACCCAGGTGTATTCCAAAGGAGAGGGAAGTGAGCAGCTATGTAGGAGCAAGGGCCAGAACCCAGGTTAGGGGCCACGAATATCTGGGACGCGATAAGCTATTTAACAACTGCTACCTCGTGGAAGCGCGTAGAGTGCGTTGGCGGAACCCCGCGGTTATCCGCTAAAGTCTATACGCACAAGGACAGCTGGACAGCTTGGGTCACTTGTGCATGAACTGCACTGCCTACATAACTTAACTACATGTAGTAATTGGCGAACTGTGGTAGAAGTGTTATTAATTGAGAATTTCTCGTTTTCGATTGTGTACTGTGTTAAGCCTTATCCACACAATTGGGCGAAGTAGAGCAGATGTACTCTAATAGAGTAGGTATCTGGAGGCATTATGTGTGTTTGCCTAGCTCTGAAAATCCAATACAAGCTTTGGCGCCTAGCTTGTTCGATGTTGCCTACCTGAAACCTTCAACACACGTCAGGCCAGATTCTGCAGGGGGTACAGGCCACAACCACTAGGGTGCGGGCCAGGCCGCAACCACTTCGATGTGCCAGCAGGGAAATACAGCCATTTCTGAGAGTGCGGCGTAGATATAAATCTAAGCAGGCAGGCTGCTGCCTTCCTCCTCCTCAAGGCCTCTGAATCATTCACCCAAGACTTTTCATATCTCCATCATTAGCTCCAGCCTTTAAAGTTATTATCATGTCCGGCATCCCAGAAGAGTTTGTGTTTGAGGATCGCTATATGTCAAGAAAGAAGGTCGACAAGATACTGGGGAATTTATTCGGGCCAGTAGATGGCAAATGGTATAGGGAGGTTTGTTCTCTGTTTGTTAGTATCCGGCACAAGAATGAGAGCTAATGGCGTGTCTAGCAACGCGGTGACAAAATGAGAATAATAACGCCCAGAAAGCTCACGAAGGTAGACACATATATACCTGCCATTTCTTTTTCTTGTCGGGCAGGTACTGACACAGCCCCAACAGAGTGAGATTAGAAGTTTGCGTGAGACGGAATAAGGGAATATTTGTTTTAAAAATGTGTTTTGGAGCGTTTCCATCTAGGAGGAACATATCATATTGCATTGTAGCATTTTACCAGGACTTAATCAATACTTTCTTATGTCTATAACCTCTAAGAAAGAGTTCAAAGTTGCATCGCCGCTAGTGAGATTGACGGATAATAGTTCGATAAACCGAACCATGGTCAGCGATCGACCATAATGGGCTCCATTCCTATTGAGAGACAGCCTGTTCAAATATTCTCGTGGCTTGTGTCGGGGTAGCCGTCCTCACGAGTTCGTCCCTACTAGCTTTTATTCGCATAATAAAACCCTGATATACCTTGAAATTAAGATCGCATCGACAGTAAATAAATGCAAACTCCAATCGAGAGAAATTATCGCTAGGAACCAAGTTAGAAAAATACGATATGAAATAGAGGTTAAATATACAGGGCAGTGTTACTAGCCAATGGTCATGATAGAAGACCATGTTCCAGATCAGTGACACCATAAGAAAACTCCGGTTTCAAACTCCTGGGCGCCAATTAAGAGCCCTTCAGCCTAGCTTCGGACACACAGCCTAGAAATGACATCGGTGGAATTTTGCCGCATGCGTACAGGAGATTTACCCGCTTGATCTACTTTACTAGTAGAGATCAATTCGTTAACTAGACAGCCTTTCATTATGCGCGCGTTTAGAGTAGTTATAGTCAGAATGTAGGATCTTCTAGATCTATAAGTCGATATCGTCAATTAAGTATGCTTATTTGCTTTTTTCCCTGCAATCGAAACACCAAAGATAGACCTTGAGAGGCCAAATAAGATCTCTGGGATGTTGAAGAAGATTTTCTTAAATAGTTTATTCCTTCGCCCTCATGTTAGCCTTCCATCCTGATATTGCAGATTCCGATTCCAGAACACTATACATCAGTAACGTTTAGCCTATAAACCAATCTTCAGTTGTGATTAATTAATAGTCAATCTTCAACTCTTGCGTCCACCGTAAAGAGCTTGTATAACCTTTTTTTTTCTTCACTATAATCGAAAACCTCTAAAGACGAATACCTTGAATAACACCCATTTATCAATAATTTCGCGTCATGGCGTCTTCCCCTCTTATCGAAAAGATCTGCCGGAGCATTCAAGCTCTCGAGCGGAAAACTGCTTTCGGCCAAACATTCTTCGAACCCGCCGGACTCAAAAAACTCCTCACAAAAGATATCATTGACAGCATTCTTCAGGAATCTAAAATCAAGACTCCCATCGTCAGTGTCGCTGAATTTCAAACCTTTATATTCACCCCCGACACCGACTTCTTCACTATATTCGCCATTCTCCTATACATGAGGTGTCCGCAAGTCATTAAGCAGTTCCACCCGCGTCAGCAGAGACTGAGAAAGCTACCAATTGGGACCCAGGCCCTTGAGGATGCAAAAATCTTCAGTATCGAGAGTGAACCAGTCCACAAAAGGAAGTACTTCGCTGAGATTCAGCATAAATTTATTCCGCACAAGTTCTTGAAGACGACAGAACTGGAGGTTTTGGATAGTAATCGTGTGTTGCCATTTATGGCGCAAGAACAAATAGGTGCTGGAAATTTTGGGACCGTGTTTAAGATGCAGATAGAGCCATCTTTGCAAGAACTTGGGTTGACGCCAGATAAGGTATACCACACTTTCTTCTATCATCCCATGCATATAATTGAAGGTCAATGTTTTTTTTACGCCTTTACTAATCTTTTTGGCTTCTGGTGTCTAGAATGGACGGATTTTTGTTATCCGCAAAGTTTTGAAATCCCTAAATCAACAATTAGTTTTACTATACGACAGAAACACTAATGGAATGCAAAAGAACAAAATGCTTGAAGAGTTTGGGAAAGAGTTGAATCCACTGGCATATCTTGGGGAGCTAGGAAGCCCCAATGTCACTCCCTTGCTCTACGCCTACATCAACGGGACAGAGTGGAATCTTGTGTTCCGTTGTGAAGAAATGAATCTCGAGAGCTTTCTTGGGCTTGACCACAAGCGAAATCCTTTAGGAAGCTTCAAACACAATTTCACGTTCTATAGTGCTCTGCATGGCATATCCACCGCTTTAAGAGATGCACATAATCTTGTCCTCACGAGAGCAGGCGAAAAAGTTTCCAAGAGATACTTGCACGGCGATTTGTGGCCGGCAAATATTCTCGTGAATAAGGATACGTTCATACTCGCGGACTTTGGGCTTGCAACGGAGATGACACAGAAAGATGTGCACCATTACGAGACATCTTGGAAATCCCAAGGACAGTGTGCTGACTGTCGAGCTCCTGAGTCCGAGGATGAGGCCCGTGTAACTCAAGCCATCGACCTTTGGGCACTTGGCTGTATATTCGCCGAAGTTGCAACCTATATTGAGAGGGGAAAGGCGGGCGTGGACGGATTCCGAGGCCAACGATTTGAGGAGTTGAAACTCAATGGGAAGAGGAGATGTGGAGATCAGCTCTTCTATTTGGATGGTAGTCCGCCAGTCTTGAAAAATTCAGTCATGCGCCAGTTCGAAGAACTCTCCAAGGCGCCCGGGGATAAACATATTCCCGAATTACTTGAGATCACAAAGCAATTGCTGAATATTGATCCGATAAAACGTCTATCTGCAAAGGATCTTTGTGAAAGGATGTTCTTCCTCAGTGTTAAGTCCCTGTTCAACGCAGTTCTTGGAGAATTCAGACAACCTGGAGCTGAAAAGCGGACCATCGAAACCTGGGGGGATGTTCTAGGGCTCACGAGGCCCTGGAGCCCAGCTTCTGGGGCACGTATTAATGCGCTCGGAATGCCTTGCCGGCAGAAGCTCCTCCAGATTTTCCAGGGGCTTCATGATAAAGGAAAGCTACCGACCCGCGAGGACTTGATGGCGATTTGCGGTTTTCTTACGGCGGGTGAGCGGGCACGTGTGCCAATCTCTGAAAAGTAGTGGCCTTGTGCTCTACTCTTCTGTTGTTTATTTTGTTTATTCACCGCTAGCCATAGCTGCGGGTGTATAGGATCTGTTGCCGTGGCAGACACGTAATGAGCACAATCTTGTATTACTGTTGATGTATTAGTAGCCTGTATCTTATTGAGGTTAGAGATTAGTAGAATGACAAATGGCCGATGATCTGCTTATAATTTCTGATCGAGTTTATAGCTTCCGCTGGCATGATCGTTGACTTGGTTGAGAAGGTGACGAGCAAAGAAGGACGGTGAACACTTTTACACCCTAGGCTGTCGTGGTGCGTGGCCGGTGGGTGTGAGGTGAACATGTAACGGATGAGTCGAGCTAGGCCCTTTCGAATCCTACTTCTCGCGGGTCTTGGCACGCTACTAGCACAGAGTTTGGGGCGCATCTTGACCAGTCTGGTGGGGAGGTTTTCGGTGCGTGCATGAATTATCACTGCTCTTCATGGAGTCCATACTTACAGTGGATCTACACGTACGTACATGTAATTAACACAGGCTCAAAATGCCCGAACATCTTGTTTACCCTAAGTTCTCACTCGGAGAAGTAAAGGAAGTGCTGAGAACAAGGCCACGCAAACTCGAAATGAGGCTAACTCTTTCAGGATACCGAGTGACAATATATGAGTAAAGCGGTAAAGCACGATACACAACGTATCATCTTGCCGAATTAGAAAGACATCAGTCACTCTCCACTGTCACTACCATCGGATGAACTGCCATCGCTCATGATTAGACATTTAGGAGGACATCATTATACCCAACACAGAAAACTTCCCTCAGGGATCGGGATTCCAAAGGATTTATCAATTGCAAGCAAAATGTCATCACTAAAAGGATCCAAAAGGAATGCCTCTAAGATGATTAACGATTCAACATCTACTGACGTTAGTCAACTGCCTCCTTACACTCATTTTCCAACTTTCTCAGGCGAAAAACGGGGGGATCCTATTCAGTTGGGTAGTAATTTTGCCAACAAGCCCCACAGCCGGTTAACGGTGCATCACGGTTTTACGGCACGAGTCACCGTACCTACACCCTCTTTTGTCCAAGACACCTTCGCTGAGGAGCAGCTTTCCGAAACACCTAGGGACAAAATAATGCGTTTTTTGATGTCAAAATTGACAATGTCTCGGCAGAATCGAAGTAAATGCATGAATGTTCGCTGCCTGATAGATGAGACCACATCACATTCGTTTGTTTTGAGGCCTGTGGCCGAAGAGCTTGGATTTGATGAGGAATCAAAAATAACTGAAGAAGAAAGAAGATGTTTGTACCTGGAGTTGGGTCCTGTGTTTATACCCGGCAATATCTTGATAGGGGTGACCGATATCTCCTTGGACATAGATCATCGGTCTCACATCTTCTCTACTTGGGTGGTGGAGGAGCTTTTCCCTAGTCATCCGGAAGTCGATATTCAGATTGTATTGGGTCGAGAATTCCTTCGTGCTTTTCCAGGCCTAGTTATGAAGCCAATGTATCGCGGGATAGACGAACTCGACCTCATTCCATGGTCTATTGCTGGAGGGCAAGACATAATAATGAATGGAGATGGTGAGATGCTCATATATGTATACGGACATTCAGAGTTACAGGCCATAGATGAGAAAAGGGGGATAAAGAAAGAACAGGGCAGCTTTGGTGTCTTTTTCGGGCCGAACTCGAACAACAACATGTTCAGAAAGAGTACTTTTCAGGGAAAGCCGATGGATGTGTTTGCTCTGGTGGAAGGTATTATGTATGCGGTAAAGGCATCGATACACGGGCGATGGGTTGAGGGGAGTTATACATATACTTCCGTTCGGATTTATATAAATTCAGAAGAAATCTTCAACGTTATTGGTTCTAAGGAGACACTCAAAAATCATCGGGAAGCGGGCTGGAAGGATGAAAACGGAAAGGTTATCCAATATGGTGCAGCGATACGTATATGGGACGAGTGGTCAAATAACCAACCACAATACACGGACAATAATTGGACGGAGGAGGAAGTGATTAAATTTGCGGCGACAGGGAGAGAGAATAGATGGATGGAAGCCGCTTACATTCTTGCAACTTCAGGCATCCAGAGCTCGAGTGAAGTAAAAGAACTCAGAAAAGTCGAAGAAAATCCGGGAAACAAGTGGGAGGATCACTTCTTTACGTTCATCGATTTATTTCCATCTGATGATAATGGACGCAATGATGAGTATAAACTTTTCTGTTATAGAAAGAAAGACTTCATCGACGCCCAAGACGCGGCAAGTATGGCGGCTTCCGATCCTTCCACAAGACTTAATCCCTCTGAATTGGTGAAAATCGATATACATGGGTTTTATCCTTCAATGGGTATCGTGGGCATCTTTACCTTTTGGCGTTCACTTGAAAAGCGCAAACGCCGCACAGCTGCACAGGTGTTTGCGGTTTCAAACCTAGACTTTATCGAGAAGGTAATAAAGATTGCGAAAGAGAATGGAAGACTTATGGATAATGTCGAATGGAATGTCAATATCATGGGTGTAAGCTCAGTGGATGAAGAGAATATTGAAGATATCAATAGTTCACTCAGTTGCTCTTCTAGTGGAGATGACTCTGCTATTGATATGTAGATAGCAGGATTTGTGGCGAGCCAGAGATAAACATACGCTTTTAATTAAAGACGTTGTCGAATTGTGAATACAGTGCTCAATGGTTGCTAAATCCATAATTATATTCGTTAACGACACACTGCTCGGGATCCATATAGCTAATGTGAACATCTATTACCTACGTGAATCTCTCTATTTCTCATGTGTATTTTAGCATTAGTTAAACTTCTCAGTCATTATATCAAATATCATAGAGTTTTGCTTTCTTCATGAGTCTGAGCTTTTCTTAACATACATGTAATTCTTGAGTCGTTTGAATCGACATCTACTGGCTCGCGAGATCTAGACTTGGGTATCATCTTAGCAATCATAAAATATCACTCGCGATAACTGGCCCATGCATGTAATCTTTATACCGCCTCATTCGATCCCTACGACGCTCATGGAGATAGAATACTGCCTAAAGATAGACCTGCGGTATATATACTACCTCATGGGTTGCCTTTGAAACCCGGGAGCGATACCGGCTACACCAAAGACAGTGCATAATATATCTAGGAGCATGTCAGAGTGCAATCCGAAACGCCACGTACACACCAATCGGTACTTCCTGTAAGAAAGCTTAAGCGTATGCGCGCTAGAACGCGTGTGGCATTGAAAAAAACAAATAATCAGACTCAAGGATATATAGCATACATATGCGGTTGTCTGGGTAATGCTAGTATCGTCGCCAGACAATCTGGGCGCGGGACAGGGGTGAGGCTTGTTCCTTGTCACCAGATCCGTGTCTACTAGCTGGGCTCTTCTTTTCGTCAACACTTCTCATCACCACTCAAAAGATGCCGTTCACAATACAATTCTGCCAGATAAGCCCAGGTCGATTACTGCCCCATTGAATTAGGTCTAGGTGTTAGTAACCTTCATCAGAACAGCACTTCGGAGGAAGTACTCTCAGACTCCTGTACCCGTTACAGAAGCAGAGAGGTCTACAGTTCATCCAAACCTTCCTCATATTTCTTCTGGTTCGACAAGTATCATCAGAATAACTGGCATCGGGAAAAGGCCTAGCTGCTACCTTACATAACTTTCACATATGCATTCGTCACGACACAGTACAGCGAACTACCGAGTGATAATTCATGATATAGAGATCGTATTTTACTTTCCTTATTCAGGCATTACCCCCGGTAACTAATCACCCTCAATTTACATCTCTTCCTAAAGTGCTACAATGCAATCATGCGATCATTTTTAGGCTCAAGTCAAACAAAATATCCAACCGGGGAATGTGGTTCAGGATCTTCCGGACAGCCAGAGGAACCCCCAAATCTTGCCACAACAAGCCATAACGCTAAATCATCCAACTAAGAGAAACACATGTATATAAAGAATTTAAAACCTTGGCGTTGCCCCCAAATTGCAACGACCAGGCACAAAGGTATTGTTTCACCAGCAAGCAAATTATTGGAATTTACTCAAAAAGATAATCACGTCTCGTAATATGCTGATACGTACATTCTCGAAAAGTAGTGGAAAAATCTGTTTGTTATTAAATAACAGTGTAATTGGCTTTCGTATTCGATCGGGTGTTGAGTTTGGATGGGACTGATAGCACAGAAGTACAACGGTTTTATTATTAATTAAAATTCGAAGACCTATCCCATAGTCTGGTGATGCTGCCCTCCCTATAATACAGGAATTAAATTTGTATGGGAGATCTATTATTTGATAAGAGAGATAACAGGATCTGTTAGTAGAGCCACACACAATTTGCTTTTTGGGGGGGTGCAGCATTTTTCGCGCCAGACGAAGGGATAACTATGCATATCAAAGACTCGCTAAGAACGAGTACCTTTGACTTTGCATACCTAAGAACCAGCTTCAATGAGTCAATAACCAGTACCTACCTCGGATAGGAAAATGTGATATACCAGAATGCGGGTGTGGGCCGGAGATACAAAATGCCAACCATATCCTCACCGAGTGCTTTGCAACAGAGACTGCCAGGGAAGTCAACGGTCAACAGGATACCATGGAAAAGCTATTATGGACTGCTACAAGTATCCTTATTGCAAAGAACATCTGGAGTCAATTTCTACGATGAAAGACCAATTGGAGAGGGGAGACAGCGAGGTACAAAGCGAACCAAGGGAATTGAAAATGGGATGGGGAAACCTAAGGGAAGAAAAAATTGGGCTGAGAAATGGAAAAGAGGGATAAAGTGGGTTGAGAAAAGGAAAAGGGGACAAATTGGATAAGAAGGAAAAGAAGGAGTTAATTAAAAGGCAGCTACACATTTCAGGTTATGTTGTTTCCTTTATTTTGTTATATTTCTTTGGCGTGTTTCTGGATTGTCAGATATTGTCATAACCTCCGGGTACGTTGCATACAATTAATGAAGTAATCAATCAATCGATCAAATCGGCTTCAATTGAATGTTTAGTCATAGTATCTCACTCGGGAATCCATGAGAACTGAGCTGTTCGTTTGAATTAAAGTAAGACATGAAAAACGATACAGACAGAGGAACTAAAGCAGATAAGCAGAGACTATAGATCGCGAATACAAAGAAAGAAGTCATATACACCCTCACTCCCCCCTGCTTGCATCCAGAACCTTATCGTACAGCCCCTTAAGTGGACATTCGTCCCGTCCACAGGCACTCCTCTCGACAATCTTTTCGTATTTCGGGTTTCCGTAGCATGTGAGCTCTCCATCACCTAAATAGGGATCTTTAGCGTTGTTCAAGAGGACCTAGTCAGGGGCAACATACCCTGGGAACAAGAGGATACCAATGTTGTCCATCTGCAACCACATAAGGTATATTCATAAACTCTAAAATGACACATCGATGGCAGGGAAAATTATGGATAGGTAATTAGTTGAACTGGGTGATATTTGCGTAAGACAGACTGGTTTGGATGTCGCTATGGCGATTACGGATGGTTTGCAAGAAACGGATGATTTTCGATGGGTTGCGCAATTTTAGAAGGAAAGACGGCTGGGCATACCGGGCATATCTCGTATGTTGTCTAGTACAGGGTGTTGGGGTCGAGTATTCTTTCTGGTTTGTAAGATTTGATGCCGATAATCAGTCCTGGCTCTACATAAATCTCACAGGAAACAGAACTAGGAAGAGGTGAGGTTATAAATGATGAACGAACGGTAGGAAGAAAAGTTAGCAAGAGAACTCACCAAGTTCTAGCAAGTCAATAGACGCATACGCCGCTTGACAGAGTCAGGTAGATGGGCGTCTGTCAATACTGTCTTCAGATCTAGAGCACGGTCGGGGCGGTCACCGGGTGAGAAAAATCTTCGACTTTTGAGACAAGACCAATCATTCCTTTCCTAGAGGAAATGACTTATCAGACGGACAGTGGTAGAGGTACATATAGTTTCCCTAGCATCTCTGTCTCTCTTGCATAGGTGGCGAGTTTGAAAGTTGCCCACTTGGCTATTGTGCTCTGAAACTGCGAAGGGGGCCGGTTTTCTGCGACTAGGTAAAGGAACCACATCAAAAGACTCGAGCTCGCGAATACCGAAGGTGGCTAAGGGTCAAGGGCCGGTGGCCGTATGTTCTGAATGCTTTCTAAGGTTAGTTTCTCGACGGTGTCTGGGCGATGAAGTGTCAAAGACATCGAATGCTAAACAAAACTGTCCCTAAACAGAGGTGAATAGAAAGCAACCCTTTGGAAAAGTGAGCAAAGAGACTAGGATAACAACAGGTGATTTAGCTCGGAGATTCCTAGAATACAGATTGAATTTGCCACTCCTTGCAGAAAGAGGAGGCGGAGTTGTTGGAAACAAGGAGTGTCTAGACCACGGTATTGGTTATGCGGAGCTAGTACCCGTGAATAGGGGTGAGATTGTGACAAAAGGTGATAGTTTCCATGAAGGATAGAAAGATTTACAAAGATTTAGTGTCATTTCTCTCCTCCCAACTGCAGAGGTGTGGAGAAGGAAAGCGGCGGGGTAATAAGGATTCAATAAAGGTATGTGGAAAGACGTTTGAATGAATCTAGACTGAGAGACAGGGCAGAAAACAGGCACTCACTCCTTGATATGGTGATTTATGACTTATGCGTATTGAACTGCAGGAAAACGGCGCAGAAGCGACGTCATATTAGGCGCAGGCGCAAACGCGTATCCAGCCAGATATCAGAAAACAGCCAGAGAATAATGTGACTCAACTTGGGTACTAGACAAGTTGTAAAGGTTTTATGTAAAACCTTTTAAATCTCACTCGTCTCATTGTGGGGAGAAATGACTATTCGATATACCGCATGTACCAAGTGCCTCTCGGCTTCCGCGGCACAGCAAACGCTCATGGAAGAGCTTCTACAGGAGATGCGATTACATTGGGGCCGCACATGAACAAATTCTTAAGCCATCCCTGGAGTGGAGCTTGACAGCTCATCTTCTTGCTTCACCATACTTTTGCCAGCCAACCTTGTGGATAAGTACGTACAGCAAGACACACATATTATAATTCCGATGACTGAAAAAAGTGTTTGTTGGCAGGCAAATAGTAATGGCTTTCCAGATAAAATGATTTCACATATGCTCCTTCAAAAGTAACAGCGAGGCGCGTATGGTCGACCCCGCGCGTATTTCCTAAACCGCGCAAAGACATTTCAGCCGCAACACACGCGACAAGCCAATCATGTGACTTATAGCGCGGCTAAAATTAAAGCCGATGGGTGATAGATTGTGATGCAGGTAGGACGCTAAGGGGTACATATCTCCAACAACATCGAGACAAAAAAAAGAAAAACCGGTGTACAGTAAGCACTAGAGCGTTAAATCTGCAATTAATTCTAGAGACTTGACCGATCCATCAAAACAGAAATGCTCAAAGGATCAATTTCTAACTTTAAGGACTATCTACATATATACATGAATACAGTACCGTACTGTATACTGTTGGTCTTCCCTTTCTTGTACGTAAGTTTACTGTCTTGCCATATTTGTTTGCTATAGAAACCACCTAACGAAGATAGTCCTTCTGACTTTTGGCCGGTGAGTGTTTTTACAGGGATTCATGTACGAACACAAGTCTAGAACCACCTTCTGTTTCCTTGGGTATTGCAACCATGGCTGACTTCAATAAACACTCTACCGAATACCGGATACCAGGACTGAATTTTGGTATTAGCTACCGACACGCTGGAAAGTTGATTCATCGACCCAGGGGATTTCTCCCCGCCAAATCAGCCAACATCAGCAATGTTCGCTGCAGAGCTTATTATCACTAAAATCGAAAGTACCGTTCTAAGTTCTTACCATCTCAAGTACTTTCGGTTTAGATAGCAGACAAGGTTTCAAGATCTCTCATGCGGGTGGAACAATAAGAAAGCTATTAAGACATAATTGGAGAGGTAGCATGTTGATATAAAACTAATAGTTCCGAAAAAAAAATAGAAACCAAACTCGCACCCCAATGCAATAGCCACGAAACGCCAAACCCCTACACACCGATATGGGTACAAGACAATTCGAAGGAACAGAAAATACCATGCCAATGGATTAGAAAAAAAATATCCGGGATTCATTCCATTAAGTAAAAAAGAACTGACAGCAAAAAGATGGCGACGAAAATACAGAAACAATAACTAGGGACCCGGCTATCACAGTCCTCATCATACGTGCATGAATTGAATACTAGCCACGGGTCGCAAAATCTCCTCTGGCGCAATTTTACAGATTGCGGATCTCCTTTCATTCTCCGTTAAAGCTCTGATGGCCCTCTTTCGCCCTTCAATCGTCTCCGTCGCAGCAGGACCACGGTCCGCAGTAACCCGCCCAAGGGCTGTCAACCCCGTCGCATCTTGAATCCCAGAATCTGCCCCGTGCGCCAGCAACATCCTCACCATAGCATCATGCCCCAATCTCGCCGCCCAATGGAGCGGTGTCGTTCCCTTTGGCGTAAGAGAGAGATCCGCTCCACCCTCCAGCAATAGCCTCAGAATTCCTATATGATCACTCCCGATCGCCCAGATAAGCGGTGAATTCCCATTGATATCCGTCACCGATGGGTTCGCCCCGTGTGAAAGCAAAGTAGCAACGACGTTCTCGGAACCACTCTTAACGGCCATGTGAAGCGCCGTGGTCCCCGCCATCGTCCCCCGTGGTGGGATCCGGGTTGAGGTGTCGGCTCCGTGCGTTAAGAGGAGCTGGACCATTTCTTCATCTCCATTTTCGCACGCAAGATGAAGAGCCGTCTTGTAGGTTTTATCTTCCTCCTCGGTAGGGGGAAGATAGTTGATATCTGCACCTTTCGCAAGCACCAATCTCGCAAGGGACTTATGCCCACTCCACGCAGCCCATTGGAGCGATGTAAAATCATCTACATCCTGAAGGGCAAGCTTATGCAGGCATTGAGTGAAAAGAACTGCGAACCGCCGGTTTGTTTGGAGAAACGAATTGACATCCTTAGGCCCGAGACGCTCCGCAACTAGGAGAAGAATTTCGTTTGGGAGACTCGAAAGCGACGACATTGTGATTGGTTTGTTAGAGGTAAGAATGTTCCTCTCTCCTCTTGGTGATTAAGGAAAGCTGCTTCGTTTTAAACGGCGAAGGGGGGGAAGAAAGAGTGTTGGCTTTCTCGATCGATGATTTACAGTCCTTTTATGCAAGCCCACTTATCTTACATATCTGCAGGCTGTGCCGCACCCAAGACAAAGCTTTAAATTCATCGATTCCAAGATAACTGCTGCGGTTGATCAGTAATAGTGGGCTGTTACCAAGACTTTCACGGAGTCGGGTTTGTTGGTCCACCTGGGTGGGAACTTGGAAGTATCACAGAAGGTTTTGCTGGATAAGGATAAGGGGATATGAAAGATCGCATGTGACTACAGCTCTTCTACCTAGTCTGATAATTTCTAATGTTTATATTCATTTAATAGAGTATTTCAGTTGCACCCAACCTTTCATTCTCAGAGTGAAACTCATGCATCTATCTGCCTCTGCAGTTGACGCGTCGCTTTATCAGAAATCCGCGGTGCGAAAGCTTCAATCCCGAAGTATTTCTCAGTCTTCATTTATGTCTCTCGGGTGATTACTTGGCTGCATGGATTTTCACATTCCTTTCATTTGGAACAGGGATTATGCTAATAAGTGCATGCGCAAACACCCCACTGCATAACTTCCTCAGCTCACTGCCAAGTATCTAAAATCCCTGACGATAGTTGGTCCCAGCGCAGCTTATCCACTAACTTAGTCTACATGTAAGCGACCTTTAGACGGGGCTAAATGTTCACGCAATTCAAGTGTTTCCTCTCGGGCACGATTATAACGGTTGCCACGCCACTGCACGTATAAAAAACCAACCCCCCCCGGGGGGGGGCATCCACGTTGAATGCCAGAGACGTCGCTGTGCCAGCTACTCGAGTTGAAGTTGAAGTTTAGGCCTACGGGGCCGGACCGGTAGGGTGACAACGTTGAGAAGGGAAAATCTTAAGATGGTGGAGGCAGATAATAGGAGGGGTCGGGGGTTTATGGCGCCTAACACAAGTAATTATGGCGAGCAAGATATATGGTAAAGGGTGAGATATAAACCGGAATATACAGGTTTAGAGGCGCCCGCGGACCGATCTTTTCGTCCGTATATTCCACCTTCAAGGTGGTGGATGTCAGGGAACAAAATTGTGGCTCTTTCAAAAGACAAGTATCATTAGTCATAGTATATTAGTAACCTCATCATACTCGATGATGAGGACCATACTTGAATACAATACCTTTTTACACCCGTTTATCGGATTAGATAGCGTGACTTAGTGTTGTTTGGAACCAGATCTATCACAGGGGAGGTCTGCATATATTTGGCAGACGGTACTACCATTGTCAAAGGTTTCGTAGCAGTTGAAGTATCAGAAGCCAGGTATGTATACAGACTTCACCAAAGTACAATTTTTAAGGCTTTACGCCTGCTGTTAAAGATACCCTATGATGTTCCAACCAAGCCCGCCATATGTGCCGGCCCTATGATGTTCCAATTAAGTCTTCTATATGTGCACGAAGTAATTACGTAAACATTAAGTTCTAGTCAATCGCGATATTTGCCATACCAAATCTCGCCGAGCTTGAGTAAAATCAAAAGGAATATACCCATAGCTTATCTGACATATACAGACATGTTCCAACTACGTTTAACCAAGCCTTATCTGGGATATCCAAAAGCTGTAACCCTAGTGCCATATCAGATTTGGCATGTTTTTATACGTTAGCCTATAGCGGCTAAACGGACTAATTGGCATTCATAATTCACATCTAAATAACCTACATGTTCATAATGATTTTTAAGTTTGTATTGCCGATACTATTAATCAAGCAATCGAACCCATGTATATGGAGTAACAAATCTGGAGGAATCAATACTAGCTAGCTATCAAATTTACCACCACATTCGAGATGAAACTGGTATAAAACCAATCAAATAATGAACCAACGGTTGGTACTATACTGGGATTTACGATATGAATGGGCTCACCAGTTATCCTAGTATTGGGTAATTAAAGGAGTGGTCAAAACGGTGCTCTACTTTTCGATTTCAAAATTCTTGATTTACAATCATTGACACTAAAAAATAAAATGGCCATTACAAATACTGAAATCTAAGTGCATACAGGATCGATTATCGGATTTATTCGTACGTATCTTAGACTACTGACATACCCCAAGTTTCCCAGTTCCTACAAATCGATATTGCTAACTTTAAATTGCGCGTCGAACTAACCCAAGACCTTCCAACATGCTAGTAGCCTTTTCAAGATCCCAACCTGAACGGTAGAGCACGTCGATAAGACCCCTGTCGGGAGTCGACTCGGGGAACCGATGCACTAGCTTCTTCACTATCTTTCTATTCGCACTGATCCCCAAGTATTTTTTAATATCCATATCCTCCTCTGTCGGCCAGAAACGTTTTTCGGCTTCCTCCTTACTGAGCTTCCCGGCAATCAAACGTGAGATGCTGACCTTGTTGAGGATAGTATTTGGTGAGAGAGCTTCTTTTGTGACGGAACATTCAGACATTGCTTTCTGTAGTGTGGATGAACTTCCATCAGAGACAGATACCGTAGGAGGTGGTAAAAGATCCTTTGTTGTGATAGAACCTTCCGGGGCCTTTTCCTGTGATATAAATGTGCTTTTTTCAAAGACAGATTCAGGAGTAGCCGATTGAAGAACTACTTCCTGGATGGTAGAGTCGTTTAGTGGTGCTTTTCGGGGTATGGATGATGGTGTGTCTAAGACAGGCCCCAAAGTAGCTGGTGACGGAACTTGGTGGATGTCAGAATTTCCCAAAGGCGCTTCCGGGGATGTAATCGAGTTTTGATGGGATTCCTCGTAAGAAATGGGAGCAGACTCTTGGATAGCTAATTGAGGTACTCCTTCAGTTGCAGAAGCCTCGGTAGGAGTCTTCTCAGGTGCTTCTAGATATTCACCTGGCTCCTTATAGATAATATAATCGGACTTAGGCTCCAAGGCTAACGTATTTATCACAGACACAGTTCCGTTATGAGTATCGGTATCGCTTTGATCCGTGACTGCGATTTCGGTGGCGGAAAGAAATTCTGTTGCCAATTGCAAGTCCCAGTTTTTCTGCTTGAGGAACGTGATGAGATCGTTAACGTTCAACGCGGGAAACCGACTCTTTAAGACCTTAAGATCGGCTATGTGGCCTTCATGGGACACATCACCTACTGTTATTCCGTCAGGGAAAGGATTTCGTGGTCCCCTCTGATATTTTCTCGCTAGTTCGGAACCAGGGGTTGACCATGTTTGTCCGTGTGCTTCGGCATTGGCTCTTGCCACGGCGTGCCTTAGGGGTGCAACTTTGGGAAGCGTTTTCTCCCCGATTTCTGGATTGAGCGCGTTTTCAATCCCGTTAGTCGCTAGGGAAGAGTATGTCTCGTCTGCAGGTGCAGGTTCATTATTCATGGTGATATTTGAATGGTCCGGAATTACCTCTTGCATGTAGACTAGAGTAGTTGCGTCTTTGTCCTCTTTTAGAGAGACATTGTCTTTCAGATCTTCTCCTTCTTGTTTTTGCTCTTCCTCATCCTTTTCAATATCATAATTCTTTCGTCTGGCATCTGCATCTCCCTCTCTAAAAAAGACCTGGGGTCCAAAATCTTCGATTGTTTCTTTAGTTTCCGAAAAGCCGTCAATGACTCCAGCGGGGACTTGAATATCACTGGTCTCGGAAAGAGAGTCCAGATCTTGGTTGATATGAGTAGAGAGCTCAGAACTAGACTCGTCCTTCTCATAGTCACCATCTTTATCGCTAAACTTTACATCCTCGTTTCTCTCTTCGTCCACTTCTTTTCTCGGTCCTTGGGTTGGTTCCTCGTTCCTGCCTCCTCTACTTTCTTTATTCTCGGCCTTTCCACCCCCACCATTTTTTGGGTGTTCTTTATCGTAAGTTTGAACCGCCGGATCTTCCACAACTTGGAGTAAAAACTCTTCCGCTTGTTCCGTCTGTAAGTTATATTTTGAAATACTCAAGCCTTTAACAAGTTCCAGAATTCCAATCGCAATCCTTAGCTTTTCGATAATTTCAATCTTAATTTCTCTACCGCAAGTCCCACTGTGGCTTGGATCTGTTCGCAATTGTAGATCTTTTATCTCGCCGATAATACCCATTGCGCTCATTCCGGGATACGGTGAAATTGGAACTGGCTGGTACAGACCAAAGCTCATAGGCCCTTCGAGAATTGAATCCATGAGCATCGCATGACAGATTCCCTCTCTTCCTATCTCACTACATATACCCTCAGCTGTTTGATATCGAGCGAGTAATGCGAGGGCGACTGTAATAAGCTCGGTAATAACAGTGATACGACGGCGGGCAATAGATTCTGATGATAACATCGATTAGCTTCGAGTGTACGCCCTCAAGTACCTGAACTAGTCTACTGTTCAAGCAAGATCAAGTTTGGAGGAGTTGGTGGTTAAACGAACCAATAATTTCTTTGAACGGGCTCTCGATTGGCACAGCCAAGTTAAGTGATTCTGCCGTAGCCGTAATGATAGCCCGTCTAGTGATCTTTCTAAACATCTCCTCCTGGCGGAAAATGAGACATATGTTGAGCCACGCAATTAAATCATCCCCCTTGCTGAAATCAAGTTTATCATTATCGTAGAGTGATGATGTCCAAGTCATCACCCAGGGAGCCATCAAATTCACTAGCCCATATCTTCGTGATGATGCAGCAAATAGGCTGGCACCCTCAAGGCTAGGTGGATGCATCGGGACTATCCTCTCAAAGTGACAAAGCTCGAACAGTGTTCTCGTTATATCTGGGTTATTGTCATCAAGGGAAATTTGATACCGCTTCTTATGGGAGGCTTCGTCAGGAAAAAGGGGAGCAAAAATAGAGGAGGCCATTGAGAGCTTTCTTGAAGAAAAGAAGAAACGGCACACGGCCCGCTCGCTTTTGGTGATAATCATAAGATTCCTATCAGTAAATGATGGACCAACTGGATCCGGGGTGTATGTAGGATACTCCATGATGTGGTAGCAAACTTTATGAAGTATATGATGATGATGGATAGACACGGACTCTGATGGTGGTGTTGAGAAGAGTGGTCCACACAGCTAGGCCCGGGTAATAAATCTACACAACTGCATGCAACCGGAGCACCTACATATCACATGTAGTATACGCAGTTGAGATGCGTCATAGAATATGATTCGGCTATCAAACGAAATGAGGACGATGTACATGTATGTACCCATATAACTTTGTATAACAAGATTTAGAAGTACATTTACATACGAATATCTATATTCAGACCTTCAGAGCTACATGTATATTCCACATACCTTCAGCTCTGCTGTGCATATAATGTAACATGTATACATGTATTATCGATACTTGTAACTCTTATAAATCACACAGCGTATAGCAGGACCTGAATCGATAAATTAATATAAATATATGTTAAAAATTTAGAATTAAATATTTACATATGATACACAATACAAATGTTTGGATAGAAGCCAGATATGCTTGGCGCAAGTTTTCAGGCCGCCATCCTTACATGATGTAGTTATGCCGAACTGGTTGAAAAACAAACAAGGATCTTTGTCAGTCAAGGCCTTATTACTCAGATTGATATGCAATAACGGTTGCCTGAAATCTATTGTCCCAGATTCGTCGTTGCCCCAAAGTTGACTGTACATCGATCATGCCTGCAACCAAAAAAAAAAAAAAAAAAAAAAAAAATTACAAATAAAAACCAGATCTAATATTGCTATATATGCTATGCTATTTTGAAGTTACCCAAACCCCACCGCTATGATGCTACTTTTACAAAGACAAAGGAAACCAGCTACGTAGGTAAAATATCTGACAGAGGAAAGAAACTCGAAAATGAATGAGATGCACACTAATAATAAGAATAAGAAAGAATTGTTAACGATAAAGATAAAACCAATAGTGACCCAATAAGCTAAGATATTATAAAAAGGGAATTCTACATAACACTCGCTCGCCATCTTTCCACTACTTCTCTCTGCTTAGGGTCCAATATAATCTCGCCCGCTGGGCCCATCATCCCCATTCCTGCAGGGCCCACCCCCATGCCCCCCATTGCGCCGGCACCCCGACCTATTAAACCGGGCCCTCCCATGCCGTAGCCTCCCATACCCATATTCATCCCAACCATTCCCCCTTGAGTAAATCCTTGTTGAATAGGTAGCTGCCCAAAGCTACCATTGGAACCACCACCACCTTGCAAACCATAGAAAGATTGAGGCCGAGCGCCAGCCATGCCCATTGGTTTTGCGTGAAGGAGATCAGCCATGTTACGACGGGACTTCACTTCTTGCTGAAGCATTACTGATTCGCGTCGGAGGGCTTGATGTTTGTCTTCATCCTGCTTTTCTTTCTGAAGACGACGCCGGCGCTCTGCAAGAGTTTCTTCAACTTCTGGCTTATCTGTTTGTTGATCGCCCCCTTTGTCGCTTCCGAAATTCATATCAAGAGCACCAGTCCCAAATTGTTGCTTCTCTTTCAATCTCTTCATTCTTTCTCTCAAAGTCTCGCCTTCTACTTCTTCCTCCTCAGCACCACCATTGGAGCCACCAAGACCTGGCACGTCAAGCATACGATGAGAATTTGGCTGGGCCATTGGTTGCCCATTCACCATGCGTAGCCTATCACGACGCTTGCTTAGTGGTTCTGCATCTTCCATCTCTTTTTTCATAAGAAGACCTAATGGTATCTCATCATCGCGGCGTTTTTGAACGCCGGGGGAAACTTGAAATAGTACGCCGAGAGGTACGTCCTCATCTTTTTCATCTTCATCTTCCCCACCTTCCTCCTCCCATGCCAAATGAGTCTTTTTGGTACGTCTGTGTTTTTGTTGCACTTGCGCAACAGCATCAAGCTGCAGAAGAGTACTTCGAATTCCTCGAGGAAATGCAGAAGCAGCTGTACGGTTCCGGAGCCTTTGTTGAGCTTTTCGAGATTCAAGCTCCGCGAGAAGGGTAGTGGGAAGAGGTTGGAGCGAGGGATCCAAATTTGCTGCTGCGAATTCTTCAGAAGTACCAGAGAAGCGCTGTTGATCATAGTATTCGCCCGTTTCAGGATTCAAATGAGAGCCAGCATCGTCATCGTCGTATCCGGGGTTGTGATTGTGGTGGTCTGGGTTGTCAGTAGCTTCTAGTGATGAGCGAGGGGATTCGCCAGGATGCAACTTGACATTAATGGCGACGCTATTCCGGTAATTTCCTAGATTGGTGGCAGTGGAGCGGTTGCGGTTATGTGCGTATGATGGAACACCACCGGTAATTGGGTGATCCGTGAATGCGGCTGCGGGAGCACGAGCTGATGCATCAAGGATACTGTCAAGTGTCGCGACTGCGGACTCCTCCTTAAGGTCCGGAACTATTGGCGGGAGCTGAGAATCGAAGAATTGGGATGCACGGAGAGCAGGTGGGAGATTAGCGAGTGAACGACGGTTGTTGAGAGCAGGGTCATTCGTTGTCGCAACTGAACGCCTATGGAGATCTTTTTCTGAGGATCCCGGACGCGCAACTGAAAGCCGGTTATTATTTGTAGCTTGTCCGAGGGACTCGGTGGACATCAATCTGCTATTTCGGTTGTTTGGTCGAGCTTTGGACAGTGTCGGTGGGAGGTTTAGCATCGCAGGAACAGGAGCTGGATAATAGACTAGGCCTGGGTCTGGATAGACCTGGCTTTGGCGATGATCAGGATATGCTTGGCTTTGACGGTGATCTGGATAAGCTTGGCTTTGACGGTACTGCTGATGGGTCGGCGCCGGCGAAGGTGGGAGATAACCTTGTTGGTTTCGAAGCGGGAATCCAGGAGCTTCTGGGTTATCAAGGTCAAAATGCACGCCGTCAAAATCCTTGAACAGATCCCCCACACCAGACGCAGATGTAGCTGGCCGGTAATCCCGATCGTCGTGAATATGCAGCCCCTGTACGTCAACTGGAGGGAGTTCAGGAACCGATTGTGAATGCCTAAAAACTGGATGTATATCTTCCGAGGAGCCACTATACTCCTGGTGGTCTAAGAGCTCTGGAGGCGGAGGTAAAGGAGTGTGTATAGATGGAGAACTGCCTCTACTTCTTCTCGGGCTACGTGGTTGATCATCGTAGTTGTCGGCTTCTTCATACTCGAGCCGTGGTGGTACAGCTGAAGTTTGGGCTGAGACACCCCTTTCGTTGCTGTCAGCACGGCCGTCCAATTGTAGCCCGAGCCGAGATGGGTCTTTCATTATCTCTGAGTGCATATTGCCCGCGCCGCCATGTGCCATGGAGTCGTGTACTTGCTGCTGTTTCCCGTGGCTGTTTAGATTTCCCCCTTGCATCGATTCTGCATTGTTACGGTATGGTGAGTAGGGTTTAGAGACAAGAATGCCAGAACCGGAGATCTCGTCGTCGTGTTCTTTGGCCTTTTTATTCAGGATGTTTTCCATACCTCCGTTCCCCTTTCCTTTCCCATTTCCATCATTCTCATCCTCGTCATAATTTGATTCGGTGTCGGAGTCGACCATATCATAGGACGTTCCAGAATGTATGCTCGATTTCACCTTAGACCCAGATCGCGATCTACCACCCTTAGCTTCACTCGTACCTAAAGCAGAAGACAGGCTTCCGAAATCGAAGTTTCGGAGCTGCAGTTTCGGAGGTTGAAACGTCGGCGACTCAAGCTGGTCGTCGTCGCTCATGTAGTTGGCGGGAACAGCAGAATAGGACATCGTGGGGAGGAGTAGTTGAGCGCTACACGCAGGAGCGGAGGCGGACAGAGTCAAGGGTGGATCTCGGCAATACGGTGGATGTTGTTCAAGCAAGTTGTGGCGATTCTGGAAAGGTTATGGAAGATAGAGCATGGGGGAAGAAAGTTCTGAATAGGAGGCTTTGTTTGGGGGCTTTCTTGTATAAGAGAGAGGTAACTCTTTGGCCGTTTGAACTTTGCCGATCTAGACAACCAAGGATCCTTAATATAGCAGGTGACAGGGTGGTGGTGTACCCGAAAATCCTTCTGTTCCAAGTTCCAACCTAGCTTGATCCTTAAGTACGGGTCCAACGGCTCTCGTGGTCGTGTCGTGACTGATCAAGTCCTTGTGAAAATCGTTCCTCCTGCTGGAAGAAGGAGGTCTCGTCCAATGGAATCTTTAAATTTAAGCTGAGATACCGAAAAGTGTCCAAACAAATCACTGTCTGTTGCAACGACGGCGCTTCCAATGTGATTGTCTTGCGTCGGGATCCACCGCTACTTTGGACACAACCGTGCAACAATGCGTGATGATGGGCCAATGTGAGTCTTCTATGAATCTTCTTTCTCGAATCAGTCCAATTGCCGGGAGGTAGGTAAATAAGATTGGCTAGAAGCATTGAAAACATTCGTTATCCAGGAAATAACTAGGCAGAGTCAGATTTATCTCTCAAATGATCTCGCAACAGCCGCGAGAAACAGAACCTACGAAAGGCGGTGAATATGATTCTGTATGAAGGAGCTTGATGGATTTTGATGGAAATTTCTTGCCTACACGCATAATTTACATCATTCGCTGCCATCTTTTTAACCCCTCTTCTGTGTGCACCACAGAAACAACTTTTGCACCGGTCCATATCTTGTGTCTTTGAGATTACCTGGATCTCTAGCTAGCTATGTATTCTTTGTCTCTCTTCAAATTGTGTTCCCTTATCTGTAGGGCCACTGTAGGTACATAGATAAACCCTTGAGAGATGCACTGCCGGTAGTCTACCCGGGAGAGGAACACAAATCTACATGGGTATGCCTGTAGGTATCCGCCAGAACTGGTACTAGAGGCGTGCATGTACCTACTCTAGGGAATCCATCATACACGGTCTATTCCCATCAATCTGAGGGACGGAAACACTGGCGTTGCGAGTACTCTACTCTAGACACTACATGTCTACAGAGTTACCAGAGTTTAAAATAGCAAACAGATACATTGTCAACACGTATTTAGCCTAGTCCTAGTTCGTATAAATACAAGCTCGAGTCACTCCCATGCTGCAAGCTGCAAAGCCTGCAACGCAGTCGATCGGATAACTGATAACCTATTGGCAAAACAACCGTTATTCCCGGCAGCTCGCTCTCCAAAGGTTAGGAAGAGGGGAACCTTTATCGTATCCTTTGGGGGGTTTCGGCGCAGTATCTAGCCAATTAAAGGGTTATTAAGGGATGTCGAGTGATCTATCATGACGACTGTCTACGCAGTACTTCTTCAATCCTCTATAAGAAAAAGAAAAAAACAGCGCGCGGCCAAATGTTCATGTCTCAAGGATTATTTCTATGCCGAAATTATATATTTCGATTTTTTTTCCATCTTACTGTGGCGAAGATCGTCTAGGATACCATGAGCGAATTGTTGTCCGAGCACTTGGATTGGTGTGTATGCACAGCTAAGGACACGCTGCAACATCTAGGTGGTGCATGGCCGAACTTGCGAGACCATGTTCAAAGGCCATGACTTCTACATAGTCAATTGCTCGATACCACAAGTCATACTCGAGACAAAATGTCTTCCAACGTCTGTCAATTCGATCAATACAGACTTATCACAGAATTTGGCGACGACTACTGCGAGCACATTCTAGATCTCGCCTCCGAGGAATGTTCGTACAATCCCGGTACGCCGCAGGCTCAAAGGAAAGAAAGATGGATCAAAGAAAGAATTCTTGGCAGAGGGGGGTTTGGGACAGTTTGGCTGGAAAAGAATGAAAGAGGTGCACTCAGGGCGGTAAAGCAAATAGCCAAGACGGAAACGCGCAATAAGGAAGAATTACTGGCTTTAACGAGACTGAAAACGGTAAGAAAATTGCTCTGTATTGGTGGGCCCATCGGTGCATCGTATATCGTGCTATGCTGACAGAACCTATATAATAATAGCATCCACAATATTTCGTAGAACTATTTGGATGGTTTGAGAATGAAGAAAATATCTATCTTGCTATGGAGTACATGAAACATGGAGATTTGAACAGTCTGATTCTCAAAGACTACTTGACTGAAATTCATGCAAAGACGATCACAATACAGGTACTCGAAGGTCTCAAGATCATGCATGAAAATGGGTTCTGTCATCGGGACCTCAAGCCACAGGTTAGATACCTGCCTTCAGGTTCAAGCCTGCATAAAGCTAAAAGAAGAAAATGTAGAACATTCTCGTGGTCTCATTATCTCCTATGACCGTCAAGATAGGCGACTTTGGTGTTTCAAAACAAGTAAACGGCACAGACTTACGGACGATGGTCGGAACCCCAAACTATACAGCGCCCGAAGTTCTAGGCTATATATCTTCAGATACCTCGTCTTACACAAATGCTGTTGATATTTGGTCCCTTGGATGCCTGATTCATGCCATAATTACCAAGGAAACACCCTTTACAGACACACGTCAGCTCTTGAATTATGTTGGGGGCCAGGCCCTTTTCCCAGAAATGAGGATGCTTGATAATGGTACAAGCTCGACTGCAATCAAACTTATCGCTAGTCTCATGGCCGTACAGCCAGAGAAAAGATTGACAGCGGAACAGGCACTAGGTCACCCTTGGTTGTCGTTTGATATGGAGGTGGAGGAGGCGGATACATTATGGACAAATCTTTCAGACGATCCATTTATGTTAACGGCAGGGATAGGGCTGGGCATAATGATGCCAGATGGTAAGTTTGCCTCTGTATCTTTTCATAATATTTGGCTAACGAGTTAACTTCAAGACCACGAAGACCAACCCCTCCATAACTGCCCAACCCCATACTGTGCAATCAAACATGGAAATGCAATCGCTCTGAGAATACATCTCCAAGAATACAGTGTTGATGTCAACGCAAAACAGCGAGGCGACACCACCCTATTACATATGATTGCCGAAAGTGGTGATGAAGACATGATGAGGCTTTTTCTAGAATATGGGGTGAACACTAATACGAGAGATGGAGACGGGAGGACTGCACTTGACTTGTCGATTGAGAAGGGAAATAAGGAGATTGTGAGGCTACTTCTGAAAGGTGGGGCAAGTGCAGCGGAGAAGGACTGTTTTGGAAAGTCAGCTCTTCATCATGTGCTAGATCACGCACATTGGAATGGGCAATGGTACAGTGAGGAAGTTGTAAAACTGCTATTGGAATATGGCGCGGACGCAAAGGCGAACGATGCCCAAGGGAATACCGCACTCCACAAAGCAGCTGAAGAAGGATATGAGACGATAATACAACTACTTTTCACGTTCGGGGCATCAATAACGAAAAACAATTCGGGATCTACAGCATTGCACATGGCGGCCTCCTCGGGACATACAAATATTGTGAAGATTCTTCTTGAAAAAGGTGCAGATATAATGGATAAAAATAATTCCGGATGTACGGCGCTTCATCAGGCGACCGATTCCGACTTTGCGCACAAGGACACGGTGGAGTTTCTCCTAGGAAGGGGAGTAGCTATCATGGCCAAGAATGACCTTCATATGACAGCGCTCGACAATGCAGTCCGGAAAGGAGATCAAGATATTGTGGAACTCCTCCTTGACAATGGGGCAGAAATTCTAACAACAGAAGGTGCCGGATTTAATGCACTTCATGCGGCAGCCCAAATGCAGCACGAAGGCATTGCAAAGCTGCTTGTGGCAAACGGGCCAAAAGCGTACCCTATGATGAAGAATGAGAAGGGCGAAACAGCACTCGACGTTGCTGCTCAGCTAGGATGTGAATCTGTAGTGAAGATCTTGCTCGAGAGTGTCCCTGAAATCATCGCAAAGACTGCTACCACATCGCGAGCAACAGCCCTACACTTGGCCGTCAGCAACGGGCACGAACAAATTGTGAGATTACTTCTTGATAGCGGAGCAAATATCATGGCAAAAGACGGAGATGGATCCACGGCACTTCACCTCGCAGTAGCCAATGGCGATAAACCCATTGTAGAACTGCTAATTCAAAACGGCGCCAACACAAAGGTAAAAAACTCAAAAGGAAAGGAGCCACTAAAGATGGCAATCGAGAACGGCTACACAGATATACAAGTAGTGTTAGGAAAGGAATCTGGTGTCAGCAATGTTCATGCATTGATACTTCTTCTCTTTGGGGTAGGCCTTTTCTTTGGCGATACCCATGGAGTCCAGTTAGCGGGTGGTGTTTTTGGCTCGATTTTAGCGATCAGTATTTTTCGATATTTCTTTTCTGAATCTCATTTTTGGATTCTCGGTGTTTTGGGTCTAGGACTTTTTTTTGGTGGCGCACATGGGTCTGATATGGCGGTTGGTCTCGTGGTTGTTATGCTCTATGGTAGTTGGGTCGTTCGGAGTCTGCTTTTCGAACGGGTGAAGGAGCAGGAGCTTGGTACAAGAGGGTCTGGATAGATGAGTTTTCTTGGGATTTGTTTATAATTAAAAGTTAATTTCTTCACGTATCATATACAGGGACCTTTATTCCCGGAAGTGAATATCGTTTAATTTTGTTATCAAAATAGCACATGACAAAGGGATTATTTGGATCTGTGAGTTGACTTACCACGATAGGGCGATTCTTTTACGCTTAGCACAAGAGAATACTTACTGTCCTTCTTTAAACAAGATAAATAGGTTGGTGTGGTGTTATGGCATATCACTTAATATCTTTGCTCCTCAATCGAAGATTGATTCCCGATCGAAATCGTAACGCTAGAATTACCCCTTTATAAATACTTACACGACTACTAATAGTAGTAACATCACCCACATGATGAAATATTTCAATTCTCACCACCTGTTACATCAGGAAAGACCCCATCGTCAACGAAATCCTACTGTATCACCTTCTTTCTTATTACATTGGCAATGGGGGCATATTGTCGCTAAGATCGAAAGACATGCATGCATATGTTCTGTCCGATAGGCAAATCCTCCAGTTCGCGAACTGGGCGCCCGGTTCAGTTGATTTCCCCGACAGGATGACCAGTTCGTGAACTGTACAGCCTTTTTGAACGGGGCACGATTGGGAAAGTATGAATTCTAATCAAGTTTCGCTTGAGATTGGGTCCAAGAAAACAACCAAGTAGTGTAGTGAAACGTCTTTTTAACTAAATCACCTTATTTTGAATTCTTCGAGGCCAAATACTAGATGTAATATATTTTTATTTTGGAGGATCAAAAACCAATTGAGTACAGGCGTTATGTGGATTAATATAATATCAATCCAATTGAATACAATTACAATAGGATGATTGTGGAAGTTAAGGCTATCTCCCGGACCGGGTGAGTTTGTTGATTTTCACTGCTAAAAGTCTTTCTGAATGGGACAACATCCTATGAATTTGCTGAACAGATTAACCCGTTCAAATTTTGTATGGTGCTTCTGAGCAGGGCAACCCATTGGAAAAACTCATTGAACCGGGCGCCCAGTTCGTGAACAGGAAAATTTCGCCTATCGGGCAGAACACATACATGCTTGCTTATGCGCTCTGTTTTTGGCCATGGAAACATATAGAGACGAATTAAGAAGTAGTCTCAATTATAATCTCTTCCTTGCATTGTCACATTCAAAGTTACAAATATTCACTCTTGTATAGGTGCCGATGACAATTTGGTCATGAATTATCACTCGTGAAAATCTAGATGTGAGATTAATTCATTTAATATGCCAAATCAAGCTGGGTACTATGGTCCCAACGCGTCAAAATAGGTGGTGACATTTAAAGACACAACTATAAAGTCATCGAGGTTTCGCATCTCTCTGTCATACAACTCTCTCACTGTTATCTTGGGTTCCGATCAATTCACGTTCAGATATTCTAATCATCTCGAAGCACGCCTTCCTCTTGGTTGTTGGTCCCCTTCAGGCTCGAGATCTTGCGGACCAGAACGCTCACTCGTCATGCGACCTCTTGAACATCGCCTCCAGCTGGCTTTATGGCACTCTAGCAAGTAATATTATTTTTCTCCCTGAGATAGCCAAGGTTGAGCACCGCTCTTGAGGTCAGGCCCGCAGCTAGTTGCGGTGGCATGCACGCTAAACCGAAAGTGGCCACAGCCAAGGCGAGTGATACCGTGTGCCTACATCTGCACGCATACAATAATACCGTCACTACTGGAGATGGAGGTTATATTCAAGGATCTTGAAGACTACTATAATGATGTATGTACTTTTTTACACGCAAGAATCCACCATCTGCCCCTCGTCCCAGAAATAACAAAGTACAAAAAGCCCCACCCACAACCCCGGATTTTAAAATTAAATAACCCTTACGAAAAAGACAAGAGGAAAAAAAAAAAGTCCCAGAATGCTAACACCAATATGAAGAAATGAATTGATTGCTGGCCTGCCAGCGCAGCCAGGAAAAGGGCTCGGTCCCTCTAAGCCTTTCTGGCGGGACTAACTCCCTCTACTTCCCCTGCTTCCGACTCTTCTACCATTAAAAACCCAATTCTCTACCTCCTCCCTCTTCTCCCCTTCATCCTGGCCTGTCGTATCAACAGGAGACCCAACCGCAGACGCATAGCTTGAGTCTGCCGTGGAAGCTTTCTGATGTGATTGTTGGGCTTGGGTCTGTACTTGCATTCCCGAATTCTGTTGATAGAATTCGTTATTGGCCGCTGGGGAGCTGTTTTGCATTTGCATTTGCATTTGCATCTGCATTTGCATTATCTGCCTCCCCTGCATCATCAGCAGCTGTTGCTCATCAAACGAGCCCTTTGTCGGCAGCATCGCGTTTACGCCTGGGTGTGCTAGACCCGGTGGCGGTGATGAAAGTCCAGGTGGCGGCGAAAGGCCAGGTGGAAGAGGCAAGCCAGGTGGGGGGGATAATCCGGGTGGGGGAGATAGGCCCTGTGGTAATGATAATCCTGGTGGTGGCGGATAACCCAAACCAGGCGGCGGTGATAAGCCCGGTGGCGGGGTCAACCCTGGAGGGTAGCTCATGAAGCTCCCAGTGCTTGCTAATGGGCTTCCCGGGAGTACCCCAGGACTCCCGCCCCCGCCGTTAACACCTGGACTTCCTGCCGCACCGCCCATAGCTCCCCATCCTGGCGGTGGCGCAACTGGACTATTTCCTCCGCCAGTCCCAGCAAGGCTGCTCTTGATGCTCCCGTTACTCCCACCCCACGCACCTCTCCTCAATTTCATCAAGGCGTCTAAACTCCCATCTCCACCTCCTGTCTCTTCACCACCGCCGCCAAAAGAAAGCGCACTCAGCGGCCGCTGAGCGCCAAGTCCTTTCCATCCCTCCACAGGGAAGACTGCACTGTTCCTCCATGAGCTTTCACTGCGTTCACTTATCGGCGTGAGCGACGGTCTTCTTAGCAACGGGGGCCGCTGTAGAATCTCGCCTCCAGGTGGCCCAAAGTAGCCGCCATATGCTCCCGTCTCTGATGTATCGGAGGCGGATGATGGCGGCGCCGGATAGAAACCAAATTCTTGCCCGTAAAACTCGGTGTCGTACGCTAGTGCCTCGGCATTGGCTGCGGCGACCATAGTTTCGTCATCTTCCTCGTACTCATCAGAGTAATACCCACTCCGAGATTCGCCTCGTGAGTAGGAATAAGGGTTGTAGTCACTTTCGTAGCCATTGAGAGGATCGTTTAAACCTTCTTCCTCTTCAGCAAGACGCTGTTGCTCCTTTTGGTATGCATGGAGAGACTGTGTCAGGGTGGAAAGCGCAAGAGGGCAGCCGTTTCCGTCGAGCATTGTGCCGTCTGGCGCATAGAATTGGGCATGTTCTTGGGTAAAACCAAGGCCGCCACCAATCGGGTTGATGAAGGGGGGGAAAGAACGATTATCCGTGCCGGAGCCACCGCCGTTGGTGGCGGAACCATGAGTACCGCTCATGCTACCGTCCTCAACCATCATAGCCCCACCGCTGGAAACTCCAACTGTTGATAAAGAAAGCCTCTGGTCTTCAGATAGTAGAGGGTTTGAAGCGCCGAGGGGTGTAGCCTCGGCAGTATCAGGTGCCGTTATATATTGACTTATGTCTTGCGGGGTTGGATCCATGATGATTCCGTCATCAAAATACATGTCGTCCTCATCTTCATACCCCTCGATTCCGTTGTCGCCATTTCCATCTCCGTCCTCAAGATAGTCGAGATCGGAGTCATCATCGAGGTCGTAGCCTCGTGGGTTGGCAATACGCTTCCGCAGTGGGACCTCAGTACCGGTGTATGGAACTACCGCACCAGGGTTTGGGTCCATTGTTGGGAGTTCTTCTTCCATGTCTGTGTATTCTCCCTCGGGTGCCACAGTGGAGCTGTGTTGTGAAGACTCATCTCCTCCAGAGACGGCAAGTCCAATGGACATTGGGTGAAGACCAATAGACATAGGCTGTAACGCCATGACCAAGCCATCATCATCATCGTCGTCCTCATCACTTCCCTCATATTCATCCCCTTCTCCAAACATTCCTTCGTTTGCGCGCTCAAAACCATCGTCGTCCTCGCCGTCCATATCTATATCATCCATATCCATTTCAGCGTCGGAATCGTCGGGATCAAAATCAGGAGCTGTCCGCGGGATGAGCGAGAGGTTATCATTTGACTGCGTTGTTGATTCCCCTGCAGCGCTACTACCCTCAAATGAGAAGCGGGAAGAATTGTTGATCAGATGATGCGGAAGTGAGAGTGGGTGATCGAATAAAGAAACTCTTGGACGCCCATCCGGTGGTGAATGAAGCTCGCCTTCATTATCAGATTCCTCTTCTGGCGCTGTCTCGACTATTGGCGGCACTGGGACTGTCGCTTCCTTTAACGGAATTGGAGGTGAAGGCGAAAGATCCTTTGGCGGAGTTGGAGGTGGTGGAGGGGCTTTCATTGGCGGTGACGGGGGCGACGTCATTGGCGCCCTCTGCGGCCCTACATCCGATAATGACCTCTGTTGCTCCTGCACTTTCTCCTTATTTGGAATAATATCTCCCTCGGCCCCCTTCTCATCTTCAAAATGCTCCTTGAAACCTTGACCATTCCTCTCCTTAACAACCTCAACCTTCAACAACTCCTTTCCCCCAGTCTCCTGCCTATTCACTGGAAGCAATCCACCCCGCCTTGGACCTGATGACCAATCAGGATGCCGTGTCCCGTATATAATCCCGGGATCAAAGTCATCTGGCAAGTCGCGCGCCGTCTTCTGCTGCTTCTCAATCGTAGACTGAGAGCTCCGTCGGCGCGAGAGAAGCGACATAGGATTGAGGAGCGTTAGCTTCCTTTTATCCTTTGGCGCTTGCGGTGATGATGCATTCTGCTGTTTCCGCTCCTTGTCAGCAGACTTTCGTGACTTCTTTGGTGAACGGGCGGGCTCGGTCGAGGTGCGGCTCAGAGGGGTAGGTTCGGGGGCGGTTGGGGTGGTGGTTGGGGTGGTGGGGGCGAGCCACGTGTCTGGTGTGCCGAGGCTAGGTGAACCGCTACCAATGTTGAGCGGAGGGAGGATTTCTGGTGAGGGGGTATGCGGCGGAGGGGTGGTGGATGGCTTGTTATGTGTAGATTTTGATGATTGCTCATTGCTGGACCGACGGTGATGACGGAGGAGATTTAGGCGGGGCATCATTATCTGTTAGGTATGTACTGCAGGGAAATTTCGGATGGGTAATAGTTGACGTATTCGAGTGTATGAAGAGAGCTTCTGGAGTCAATAGTCAGAGCTCATACAAGACGATGTCTGAGGTCTGAGTGATGTTACCGAGCGCCTGGCTAAGCTTTGACTAGGAATGGTGGGCCTTGCACGACTAACTGCTGATGATGGTAGTAGATACCTCACCTTTAACAGTCAATCTTGAAGGAAGAGGGGTTGGCGGTTGGGGGCTGACTGAATGACGACGATGGTTGTAAGCGGTGATGAAGAAGTTGGGGGGGGGGGGGGGGGGGGGGGGGCGGTGAGGTAAGGAGTTGTCTCTTCTCCAAAACGTTCCAGAAGAAGGAAGGAAGGAAGGAAGGAAGGCGCAGCCTGTACGCTGTATGCAATGATGGGTGGTCACTTGTGGATGCTAATTTGCTGGGAGTAGGATTTTCTCTGGTACGTAGAAGAGTAGAGTGCAGTGCTTTCTCTGCTGTGCCTTTTTCTTTGCATAAGGCACGTTGTAGGTAGGTACTCCACACTCCGCCCTATCCCTACCCTACACTAGCTAGCTAGAGCACGGTACGTACTCTTCCACCCTGGTCTCTCCTTCCTCCCCTCATTTAAACTCGTAACTACACGATATTGTTTCAAACCGCATCATCCCAATCCAATGAACGAATGGTGCAATGCGATACTGCACTGACAGACCAATTGTCGTGCTCGAGATCAACCTTTAGGATTCAAGAAGAGAAGGTGGGTTATGGGGAATGACGTTGACAGGGGTGGCAGACTAGAGTAGAGCTGCGCCTATTCTGGCCTCCTTACCAGGTTAAAGCTGCGCTATAAATAGATGTGGGCTGAGTTGGTGTGTGTGGGGTGTGGACTCAAATATACCGTGATAGGAGGTAATTGCGGGTCTCACTTCATGAGTTATCACTCTGTATGAAATTTTTTTGAATCTGTAAAAATCCAAACGGTTAATAATTGATTATTACATATCAAAGATGGATTTCGACTTCAAGAACACAAAAGAGAGGATTGATCACCCATGAATTAGATGCTTTAATTAGGATGGGTATAAAGTCAATGTGTAGGTGGGTGGTCAATATACAGGCAACTTTAACTCTAGATCTCCTCGATTCTAGATCTTTTCGTGGAACTCCCGGCCATTGGTTGCGCAATTGTAGCTTTCTCTTTGAGAGTTCACTTTCTTTGTGTCGAATCAATGTAATTGATTTTTAGAATATGCCCTTGTTTCCCAATAAACCCCCGAATTCTATATCCTGTATCTGGCATACAATTAATGAATTACCAATCAATCAATATATCCAGTATCTGACTGTTCAACTCAATAGCCTATATAAATTATGCTTCGACTTACAGCTTATATACAGACAACTACCAGTTTAGTACTCGTTTTGAGGTCAAATCGCCACCTATCTAGTGTAGACAACGTAGGCAGATCTACGGTATGTAACTGAAAAAACAAATACCGTTTTCTAGACGAATATTTTGACTCGTGCAATCTCGAGGTATAGTTGGTCGAACTGTCCGCTTGAGACGAAGACTTCGAGAACCCCCGTCTGCTCACCTCAAATCTTTTTTTAGCCTTCTAGAGGTATACCATCAGCGTTGTGGCACATGCCATCTAGAAAGATGGCCACCTATATATATATCAGGACAAGCGGGATATGTGGTGGAAATGTAGTCGAAAGGCGGGTGGAAAGTACAGGTATGTACGTGGTCAGAAGTGAAGGGTAATATATAGGCTACTTCTCGTGTTCACTACCCTACGCACCATCATCATAATCACATCAGTTCGTCGCTACAGTTATTCACGCCTTAACATCAGTTCGTCAAGAACGTGAATATTACAAATGGCTAAGCAGCCAACACCGTCCCATGCGGCACCAATACTGTATGTGGGTGTAAGTACATATGGAGGTTTCTATCTATTTTTATGATTAGTATAGGCTATTTCTAACCACTTCTGCTTTGGTATAGGTCAGGCAGTATTATGGCCGTGTATTAGTACAAACTTTTACAGAAGCTGGGCATAGATAACGTAACTGAGAGCCTAATCTCGTGTCCACAGACTGTGCGTGTGTGTCTGTATAACGAGTGACACGACAAAAGCCTGGATACGAGACTACTGAGAGTCTACTATAACGCATTCCTATATTATTGTGCACAATTTCTAACTAAATCATTCATCTACTTATTACTTCGATTTCATGAACGCCTCTAATTCTAGACCCGGCACTCCATCCGGCTCCATCACTTTGGTCACTTCACTAATCATCTCATTAAACCACGAAGTCACACACTCCTCATGTCCGGTAAGTGATCCCCGGATCCGTTCCAAGCTTTGTGATAAACCTCCAACACAAAATATCTCATATGGGCGTTGCGGTAGCGGGAATATGCCGATTTTTGAGTAGCAGTGAATGATAGAGCCCAGAAGGGTAGCGTCGCAGCCTTGCGACCTCCTACACTTCCTTCCAGGAGAGTAATATTGGAGGCGGGCAGTCTCGGCGACGGCGAGAATCTTGTCTATGGCGGCGAGGCGGACGGCGTGGGCTGCGGCTAGGGATTTGTCAGTAGTATTAAGGTGGAATGGTGTAACATCTACCACAAACCCATGATGCTATCCGGAAGCGGTTCAAACATTGCCCCCTCCTCCTCACAGGGCTCCGTCCATGTAATCGCCATCGACGTATACGATTTGAATTCAGATGCCTGTCCAAACACATACATCATGAATATCTCCCGTTGCCAGCCTCCCCCGTCACATGAGCCACAGTCTGGTAATATAACTCTATTCAGCCATTTATCTCGCCATGGTCCTAATGACTTAGCCAGGTCGTACTTATCCGCGACGACCGCGATTTCGAGTAGATCATGGAAGCGCATCTGCACCGTGACGAGGTCATGTTTGTAGTGCAGCACGTTGCAGATGTTCTCCAGAGCCGCCGGTGCGTCTTCCAATAAGTCAATTGTGATTGGAGCGGAAGCTGTAGCTAGCGAGTTGCCCTCGCGGAAGTGCGGGGAGAACATGGCGGCGAAGACGGGCGAGGCGACGGAGAGGATTTTGGAGGAAACGAGGAGGGAAAAGCCTTCGGCGGATGTGTTGATAACCACATCGCCCTGGGGGTCGATACACTTTACCATTTTCAGATACAGGGAAGATATGGCAACCCAGTACTCTATATAAGGTTTCTTGCCTTATCCAAGAGCGTCCGTGAAGAATGAAGAGAGCGGTGGAGGGCTGGTGAGAAGGAGGGGATGGCCAGCGACACGAGAGTCCTATTAAAGCTCGGCAGCACCTTAATACGATTCGAAAATTGAGGGGAAATAGTTTTCCTAGATAGGTGTAGTGAATCAAAACAAATTCCTTGGATGAGCTTAATTCGTTGCTCTCATCATTACTCAGGCAACATAGCAACTCTCTCGAAAAGTCATGAACTCTCCTAGGAGCAGAACACAGCAACAACAACATCAATCCGACATCAATCCAACATTCAATTCGGTCAATTGATGCATTACTCTATTCTGATTCCATATATCTGCTTACAGGCTATGCACTCTAGTTGATATCAGCTTATTCTAGGATTTCAATAAATATTTCGTGTCGCTGTTTTCATATGACTAGCTACAAGTAGAGTAGGCAGGATGATGCAGAGCGAACAGTAAGTTCAATCCTTTCTTTTTTCCACCATCATTTCCACCGTAATTTCCAACATCTGCAACATTTGCGAAGTAATTTCCAATATCTGCAATATTTGCGAAGTAATTTCCAATATCTGCAATATTTGCGAAGTAATTTCCAACATCTGCAATATTTGCGAAGTAATTTCCAATATTTCCAAAGTAATTTCCAATATTTGCGGTCATTTCCAATATTTGTCCAAAGCTAATTTCCATTTTTGCGCTAAGTACCGGCTCGGTAGCCCAACGGAAACCGGGTAGTTGTAGATTGGCCACTAAGGGCATATAGCGTGGCAACAGGGATGCCTTTCCATAGATTAGTAGATTGTAGAGATACATGTATGTCGAGCATCGATAGTAGATATTGCGTAGTAGAACCAGACAATTGAACTAATAAACGAGTAGGCGCGTACTGTGTGACCCAGGTCCACATCAACAAAGTAACATTTGGCCAAACGAGACTCCAGGTCCCCACATTCGGACTGCTGTACAAACCGACAAATGTTCCCGTTCAAGCACTGCAGGTGGTCCCCGTTCAAAACATCTAGCTAGATCCAGATCTAGAGGTTACAGCTACAGCTGAGAGTCTAGAATCTGGAATACGCTTCAGCGTTCCGAGCTCGCCTACCGAATCCCTTGGCAGCCCCAAAAAACTTGTGGTACCCCGGGGGTGCCGATAGCTTCACATCTGAGCTGTAACCGTACTATTGCAACGTCGACGGTACGGTGGGAGGAAGTGCATCTCGAGCTCGGCGACTAACTGATAGTGGGCTTTGCAGAAGGGTAGACTGGCACGATCAATGTATGTATCGAGGTCGACGGTTGCACAGGATAATAAATGGGAAGCGTTATCATTGGATACCTCTCGCTAACCCTCTGCTTTACTACATGTAGCAATATATTGGGCCAGTTGTACGACGGCACCGGTTGTAATACCGTCATGCGATGGAAGGGGTTGGATCGAGTGCGGTGTTCGAGTGATCAGGTACCGTAGCTGTGTTCAAATTCTTCGGCATTGTTAATTGGGTGCGGGCTGGCACGGCATATCGTGGGTTGCGGTGGGAATGATCGCGAGGTCGCTTGATGGATTGAGAGTATCGAGGTTGGGGGGTTGGTATGGTGCGGTACGATAAGGTTGTGGCAATGGTCTAGTGGGGCGGTATGGGAGGAGTAAGTAATCATTTAATTTATATTTTTTTATAATTACTAAATGGGTTTTTTTTTCAGTAGTACAGTACTAAGTAGTTGGTGGAACTGTACTGGCACTTCGAATTTGTATTGTAGTACTTGTGGTGGATCGAGAGGCCTCGAGAGGGGGTATAAAGGCTTCGTGATATCTGCCCTTTTTGAAGAAGGAGTATCACATCGACAAGCTACAAATCTCGAGACTCATCTTTCAGTATATTAATAATTGCAATTATGAAGCTCTCTGTTATTTCTGGTGTTTTTGCGCTTCTCTGCAGGTATGGACTCTACTCTTTGAGGATCTAGCTTAGCTATAAATTTAGGGAATTGGTGAGTTAGTTAACATATATAATTTCCTCTAGCATCGTCCACGCCGAAGCAGAACCCGAGGCCAACCCCGACCCCCAAACTAGAGTATCCCTCAGCCTCGCCACACTCAACCCCTCCCTCGCAACCCTCATCACCTTCATCACCGTCAAGCCCACCACCACCACCACCATCACCTCCACCACCCCAACCTCCACCTGCACCAACATCACCACCGTCATCTACAAGACGGCGACCATCTACGTGACCCTCCCCGCCACCACCGTCACCAACACCACCACCCTCACCCTCCCCGCTACCACCGTCACAAACACAACCACTCTGACCCTCCCGCCCGTCACTAACTACACTACCTACACCCTGCCCCCGGTCACGGTTAGTAACACGACCACGGTCACGCTGACAACCAAGGTGCCATGCTCGAGCACCACGACGAACCCGTGCCCGAACCCGTGTGTGGTAACGAAGACGACGGATGATTGTACTATTGATAGAACGTGCTCGCAGACGGTGGCGACGGAGACGGTGGGCTGCTCGACGAGTAGTTGTCCGGTGGCGAGCTGCACGAGCTATCAGGTGGTCACGACCTGTCTGACGTGCCCGCCGCTGGGGACGACGACGGTGAAGTGTAGTAGCTATAGCACTGCTATCTAGGGTGGCTGAGGGATGAGGGGGCTTGGTGGAGGCTAGGGGGGTGAGGAGAGGAGAGGAGAGGAGAGGAGAGGAGAGGAGAGGAGAGGAGAGGAGAGGAGAGGATTTGTTTGTAGAGATTGAGATGTAGTTGAGAAAATTGAATGTAGTTGTTTGTCTTAGATGTGGTGAACTATAGCTAGCTGTGAGGTTTTCGTGTCTTGTGAAGTTAGTTTCACCCGTGAGTGATATTTCATGATCGGGCCACATTGTACCAAAATGCAAATTAAATGTTGCCAAGCTGCATGATTATGGCCGAAAACTCTCCAGTAACACACGGCGCACGCGAGCAGAGCAGAGCAGTGCAGTGCGTACGCCAACTGCTGCATGACATTGTGTACATGTAGGTACATGTGTACATGTAGGTACATGTGCACCACCCGCAATGAGAGGACAAATGGTCACTGGGTCAAAGGACAGGTCACAGCGAGCACTGTGTCCTCACTAGCTATAGTTGCTCTTATCTTCGGCTATTTCTTTTGTTTTTGCTCTCTTCTTCTTCCTCTCCTTCTTCTTCTTCTTCCTCTCCTTCTTCTTCTTCTTCCTCTCCTTCTTCTTCTTCTTCTTAATTCGTCATCATAAACTGAGCTTGAGCTTCTCTTCCGCGGTTCACGCAACGTGTAGAACCCGAAATCCATACCGAAATCCAAAACGCTCGATGAAGCAATATATCATTAATGTCATCAAAAATTCCTCTCTTTAAACTCGTGGAAAGCTAACTAATTAAATAAACTTTTTATATACACCAGTCCTACATATAAACACTACTTTTAAAGCCCCCAATATCTACAATAATCAAAACCCATCACAAACACACACCCCAACCCAACGACATGTTAGTAGCCAGCTATTCTACATATCCACAAACCTCCTCTCCCTCGCATACCTCTGCTGCATCACCCCCGCCCGATTGACCCCAAACTTGTTAAATCTCTCCCTCGCCGCATACCTCTTTCTAAACATCTCACTCCCCCTATGCAGCACCACCCCCATCTCCCTCCCCTCCTCCTCCTCCCCCTCTTCCTCCTCTCGAACTACATCACCACCATCCGAATCCGACACCTCCGTTACCGCTACCGCCGCCGCCGCCGTTTCATCTCCGGCGACTCCATACGGCTCCAGCATCGGATCAAGTAACCACGCATGCCTCAAAGCCTTCTCCGCAGAGATCCGTGACCGCGGATTCGCAACCAGCACAGCCTCCACAAACGCGATCCCCGCACTACTGATCCCCGCCGCCTCCAGCGGCCCTCGGGGGAAAGAGGCTTTGCCGCTGCAGTAGTTTGCAAATAGCGCCATATCCATCTCTGGATACTCCACCGTCTCCTCCTGGTTCTCGAAGCGGGAGTCCATCTCGATCCCTGACTCCGAGTCTTCGTCCCCCGAGTCTGAATCCGAATCGGAATCGGGAGAGGCGCACTGGAGAAAGGGAAGCTGCGTGGTGAGGATTTCGTGTGTCAAGACACCGAGTGACCAGATGTCGACGAGGTTGGTGTAGGTGCGGCGGTTGCGTGACGGGCGTATGAAGCCCTGCAGCTCAGGGGCGATGTAATGGGAGGTGCCGCAGGCGGTGCGGAGGGAGGTGGTGTTGTGGTCGTGTTTGGAGAGGCCGAAGTCGGCGATTTTGACGGTAATGGGGTTGGTGTGCGCTACTAGGATGTTCTACGGGAGTGGTTAGTATGGCTGGTTTGTGGGAGGAGGGGAGTGGAGAAAGGGAGAGACCTTGGATTTGATGTCCCGGTGGCAGATGTTTTGATCATGGAGGGCTATGAGGCCTTTTAGTATTTGGGAGACAATGGCTTTTGCTTGTGGCCTGGCGGAGGGGCCGGCTTTCTTGAGGTATTGGCTGAGGTCGCCGTGGCGCATGTATTCCATTGCGAAGTAGACATAGTTGCTCCTATCGTCATACCATCCTCGAAAGTCCACAAATGATGGGTTCTAACAATATCTCCCTTTAGCTCCCTCTCCCTCTTTCTCGCCAGAATCTCCCAAACACAAACACAGCATATGGACTCTCACGTTCTTCAACTGCGCCAAGATTTTCAGCTCCCTGGACCAGTCCAGGTGCTGGCCGGTATAGCGTATCCGTTTGACCGCCCGCAGGTCCACATCGGGTACCCGCTCCACCTCCGCCTCCGCCTCCCCCAACTCCGCTGTGTGATCAGCGCGCACCTTCTGCTCGAGCCAGACGTCGCCGAAGGCCCCAGCGCCGATCATTTTTACGCGGGCCCATAGCTGCTCGTGCGTGCCGGAGCGCGAGTGGATGGTGAGGTTGTTGTGGAAGGTTGTGGACAGCTTGAGGTCTTCGATGGATTGTTCGGTTTCTGTCACCATGGTTGCGGTTTGAGTATGGAGATATGATGTATTGGAGGTGGGAAGAGATGGGATGATATGATGTAGTGGGAGGAGGACAGGTTTCATATTACCCCCTCTTCCCAAACGGCCGGCTATCAATTAATGCATGGCTACGGCGGAGTAGAAGGGTGAAATTAAGGGTTTGGTTTGGTTTGGGTTGGCGGTGAGGTGAGGTGAGGTGTGTCAGGGTACGAACTGCAGTGGTGACGGGCGTCGAATAAGCTTTCCCCCTGAGGTCTATATACCCTAACTAACTCTGCAGGTTATGCGCATATGAAGATTGTGGCAGTGCTGGCTGTTACTCTAGAGTGTCATCATGTAGTGTTGCACAGGGATGGGGGTTGAAGTCGGGTTGTTCGTGATTAATTATTTTTAGAAGTTGGGGATACTGCGGGTCATTATGGTGCCATCATCCGTTACTGATTGAAATCATTTATACATGTATGTATGTACATAGATGCCAGTGCCAGAGACGTTTGTTCTACACACAAACTCACTCGGACGTTGTACGCTGGCGGGAGCGGGTACAGCAGGTGTCTGGCTGCATAGGGCTGTTGCCGGTTTGGGTTAGCTTGGCTGGCTGCTTCATCGATTATCATCCGTTGCACGAGTGAGAGTGCGTGTTTGACGGGTGCGTGGGTTGGGGGGGGGGAGAAGGTTATGTGGTTCCTTGTATTTTCTAGGCCTTTTTGGATCAAAAATTCGAATATTTAATATACATACGCTTGTTCGCCGTGCTTCCGCTTAGAGTTCTTTGGGGCCTCGTTCACCGGTGAGGTTTAACCGGACGTTATATCAAACGTACACCCTCTCTCCTCCTCCTCCTCACGACTCATAGATACGCATTGTATCTGCTGTGGTGGTACATGTACCTACCCTACTTACGTATGCCGTAGCAACGCCGAAAAAGCCCCCGGGCCCGTCCGACTCGAGCTCGCAGTGTGTCACAGCGGGGAAATGATTCCGAGGGAGATCAAGAGATGGAGGGTCCCGTATCGGAGCACCCTGGATGAAACGTCAACGTCGATCGGGAGGGCAGTATAGTACGTATACTCCCCCGGAATTGATTGTAAAAGCCCCCAATCACCCCACTAGGCACGGTGAGTCTTGTTTATATGCTTAGACGGCAGAGGTTGGAGGTGGTGATGCGTTTGGTGGGGTGTGCGTAAGCTAGAGGTTAGATATAGCCTTGTGGTCGTGGTTTCCGGATCTCTGGGGACCTTTTCTCGGGGACGGGTGGGCGAGGTTGTGGTTGATGGAGGTATAGTTGAATGGCCTTATAAGGGTACGTATGTACGTCGGAACAGAATTTTGGTACAGTAGTACAATATCCTTATAAGGGTACGTCGGGACCGAAATTTGGTACCCTTATAGAGCCGTTACCCTTATAGGAGGAGGAGCAAATACCTACCCTTATAAGGCGAATACCCTTATAGCCCGAACGCTTATAAGGAGATTGTACTGTACCATTATAGTAAGAGCGAATTTGTATATACGAAGCCCGATAAGGACCCAAAACACCTACCCTTATGGGGCGATTGTTCTTATAGCAAGTACCCTTAGGGAGATTCGACTGTACTCCAAGTTGGTATAGAGAATCCAGCTAGAATAGAATTAGATATAACGAAGGACTTGTTTGTTTGTAGCTGTAACTGGATTTGGCGTTAGTTCCTAGAGTTTCAGACTTGCATTCAGCCTGTAGCTAATAAAGCTTAAAAGATTCAAGCTTCTCCTGGAGTTCATCCAATTGAGCTTGACAGTCAATATAAGTAGCCATGGTTGATGATATGTAGCTAAGTTGATAACAGCTCCATGCACTGCGTCGCACAACCAGTGCACTCGATGAACCAAGCTGTCTGATATGCGTACTAGGAGCTCCAATGTAAGGTGGTCTTAGTAACGTAGCGGGATCCACAGTCTAGCCGAGCTAGACGTGTCATCTTTATGTGTATAAGTTGATAGGCTTCCATTCCCCCTCCTTCGTAACAGAACCGTTCATCCGATTTCTATTGATCAATTGCAATTGAGACTTCCTACATCGAATCCGAGCTCTGTCTCTGTCGGCCTGGGAGTCAGCGTACGCGTAGAGCAGTGCAAACTTGCTCAAAGCTGCTGGAGAGGTTAGTGATGCCCTAGGTCAGTCCTGTTGGTCGGCCAGGGAGAGGTATCGTCAATCTCGAGCTCCAAGCTCAATGCGCAACAATGCAATGCTGAATTGCGGCTCTGCAGAATCGCAGGCTGGGCAGAGTTACAGTGTTATCCCCGTCCGGGTAACGTGGTTGTGCCCATTGTGTCATCCCCAGAACTCGCAGGCTACCAGACTCTGTAGTGAAGGTGAATTCATCCTCTCACGGGACAGCCAGTCCATCCATCTACACCCCCCCCCCCCCACACACACACACCATACTCCACACACCACTCACTCCCGCTCGCTCACACGCTGAAGACAGGACCCCTCCTCTGCTCTGCTCTCCAGCTGCTAACTCTGCTTCTACATATTTTCTTCTCACGCTGCAGCATCCTCAAAATACCCACCATTACTGTGAATGAATTACTAATATTTTTCCCTTTTACCCCCCCAAAGCCTCCCCAAGGTCTACAATTCTCCCCACCCCCTCAAGAACACCACTATAGCAGCAGCAATATCGGTAGCAGCAGCAGCAGCAGCAGTGCAAGGTCCGCCACACACACCCTAGGCACACCAATGGCATCCAAAGCAGCACCACCCCCCGTGCCGGGCCCCTCAACGCCCCTCCTCCCGTCCAGTGCCCGCCGCCAACCCATGCGACAAGCCCGCACCAACCCCCCGCGAAAAACCGCCGCGCACCCCAAGCTCGGCGGCGGAGGTGGCAGCAACAGCATCAACGGCAGCGGCAACCGTCTCGCCAACGGCACCAACCCACACGCAGGCCACCCCACACCCTCCACCCAGCCTCCGGCAAAGTTCTACCCCGCCCTCACAGCGTTCACCGATGCCGTCGACGCCCTCCCGTCCGAGACGATCCGCCACTTTACGCTCCTGCGCGAGGTGGACGCGAAGGCGTACGGGCCCGAGGCTGTCCTGCGCTCGCTCATCACTGCCGCGCAGGAGCTCCCGGCCCCCGACGACCCCTACGAGTTTGATCCAGCGCTGGAGGCAATGAAGCAGCTCGACGAGCTTCAGCGGCGGCGGGAGGAGCTCGCCACGCCTGCAGAGGCCATGCTCCTGCATGAGCTTGAAGCCACCCAGGCGGCTGAGATCGCGGCGGGGGCTAAGACGATCCTGGGTCATACCGAGACGCGGCGGTCGCGGTGTCTCCAGATGCGAACGCAGATCTCGGAGATCCTTGTGACGCTGGACGAGAAGATTCATGTTATAACGACGGCGTACGAGGCGCTGCAAAAGCACCTCCAGCGTATCGATCACGCGTATAGCTATGTGCAGCACGAGATCCCGGATTTGTATCGGCTGGGCAGCACGGAGCACTGGGCCTACAAGGAGCCGGTTAAGAAGGGGACAGCGGCGGCACAGGCTCGAGCGGCCGAGCGCGCGCAGAGGGAGGCCGAGGAGAGGCATCATGCTGCGCAGCAGCAGAGGGAGTTGGAGACATCGAATACGCGCTCGGAAACTAGACGGGAGGCACTATTACGGCAGAAGGCGGCGGCGGCGGCCCAACAACAGCAGGCGGCAGCGGCAGCGGCGGCAGCAGCATCGGCTCATGAGGAGGATGAGCAGGCCCCGAGAGACCAGAACCACCACGCTCAGCCGACGAAGAAGCTACACGGAAACTCCAAGATACGGAAGGAACAGGAGGCCCTGGCATCGGCAATGCGGATGGCCGAGCACCAATCGGCGAACGGGGGTGGTGGGCTCATACCGGTTGCTGCTGCCGCAGCAGCCGCAGCCGCTACGGCGACTACACCGCTTGTTCCGCCGCAGCAGAAGAGACGAAAGACGACGAATACGACAAAGGAGACGCCGACGGCGGAGAAGGTGTCAGCACCGGGGACAGCGACAAAGGGTGCGGTCAGCCCTAGGGCGGGCACTCCGGCGAGTACGACGAGCAAGAGGGGAGGGAAGTCGGGATCTGGGGCGGGAGCGGGTAGAGGGGGACGAAGGTAAATTCTCCCCAGTCTCATTTTTGAACTCTTGTTTCTGTTTCTTTTTTTTTCTCTTTTTTTTTTTTTCTTGGGGTCTTTCTTTTGGTCTTTTTACCATGTTTCCTTTTATCTTTCTGTTTATCTTCATGGATTCAAGCACTTTATTTTTTGGGCAATTTCTCTCTCCCTTCTCCTTTCATCTGTTTGGTCTGCGTCTGTACAAGTATTGTTCGGAGAAAAAGGCGTAACTGTAATATTTTCCCGGTGTCATGTGGGGGCGGGGTGGGGGCTTTATATGCTGAAGAAGTTTGATATCCTGTTTTTTTCTCTATATTTTTATTTTTTATCATACTATTGCACAGTTTTGCTGCTTTGTCATTAGCCATGGGCAGGGTTGGCGGGGGGCCGGGGTCAGGAGTATGTATTTTTTTTCCCAGTTTGTCTATCACTCTGTTTGTCAGGCCATGCGTCTATCGCGCGTGAGCCTTTTTTCCTTGTTTCTTGCTGCTGCTGCTGCTTGTACAATTAGATGGGGATATGGGCTACTTTAATAGGTTTTTTAGGGGCCGCCTCCTTCCAAAGAAAAAGGGACACCCACCCACCCCCCGCGCCGCACGGACAAAAAAAAGCCGCCGGGTGTTTTCAGTCCCTGCGTTGCTGCAGCTGTCCGTGTGGTGGGGAGGGATGGTGGAGGGAAGGGAGGAGGGAAAGAGGAGGGGAGAAGAACGCCCTTTTATTGTTTTTATTGTTTTTGTGCCGCATATCCCTTCCTTTTTGTTTTTTTGTTTTTCTTTCTTTCGTTCTTTTACCCCTTTTTGCGTCTTTTTGCACATTCCCAGTGTCTGCCTAGCTGGCTGTCTGGTGTCTATCGTTATTGGTGTTGTTGATATTGGTATCTATGGACTGTTGTTTATTGGGCGTCGTTGTTGTTGTTGTTGCCTGTTGCTGCTGCTGTCTCCTTTCCCCAGATTCCCCCACGCCTGCCTTGTCTGCCCTGCCTCTCACTCTATCACTTCTCATTCCCCTGGCAACACCACCGGCTTGTTGTTGTTGTGATCGATACCCCTGACTGTTTTTCTTTTTTCTAATCTCGCTTATGCGGCTCCTTCCGAGACACCGCCGCGTCCGTCGCAGCCCGAGGGCCCGGCACTGCGCTGTCCCTGCTGCACACCTCCACTCCACTTCACTTCACTTCATCCCGTTCAGAGCCCCGTTCTAACTGCTTTCTCGCAGCAGGAACCCCGGCCCCGCAACAACGGCCACCGCGCCCGCACCCACCACCGCAACCGGCACACCGGCACACCCCGCCCAGACACCGATCTCCGTCGCAGCATCATCACCGCATCTGGGACCCCCGCCATCGCCCCTTCACGCCCTCTTCCCGCCTATCAAGACCAAGAAAGAAAAAGACCCCACCACAACCGCCGCCTCTACCACTGTTGCTACTGCCGCTATCGCCGCCGCCGACGAAGGTACAATAGTACCCCCCGTCCCCGCGGCAAGAAGGAATAGCAAAGTCACAGGCCCACCCCCAGGCCCAGAAGCCTTCCGCGATGACCGTCACGACGTAATCATGGGCGGGACCGCCGCCGCCGCCGACCCCCACCCACAGGCGCCAAAAGCATATACCACAGAGACAGCGGAGAAGCCAGCGGGCGGAAAGCGGAGAAAGGATCTACAAACACACCACAGCATCACCGTCGCCAACAATCCTGAGGAGATGCAGGGCGTCGAGATGGAGCACCCACATGCGCATGGGCACGGGCATGGCGGCCACGCAAGAAAAGACTCCAGCGACCGTAAAGACGACAAGAAGCGCAAGCGCCACGACGACCCCACGTCCGCCACGTCCGCCACATCCGCCACGTCCGCCACGTCCGCCACCTCCGCCGCCGCCGCTGCCGCCCCAGACGCACCGCCCACCGCCGAAAAGGAGAAGCCCTCCAAATCGCACGCCAAAGCGCGGCCCTCCACCTCCGATGGCCTACAGCCCGCCACTTCCAGCAGCAGCAACTCCAAACGCGGGGCGCGCAAGCGCGCAGACTCGTCTGCGGCGGCGCTCATGAAGGTAGAGGAGCCGGAGGACGATGCGGACGCGGACGCGGAGGACGACGAGGATGAGCCCGTGTATTGCTACTGCCAGCAGGTGAGCTATGGCGAGATGGTGGCGTGTGATGGCGAGAGCTGTCCGAGGGAGTGGTTCCACCTGGATTGTGTGGGGCTGCAGCAGGCGCCGAGGGGGAAGGGTATGTTTTTTTCTCCCATCTCTCTTTTTTTGCGTTTTTTATGAGGGGAGTATGCTGACGGGTGGGGGATGTAGCGAAATGGTATTGTAATGAGTGTAAGGAGAATATGTCGCGTGTGAGGAGGACGGGGAGTAGGGCTTAGATTGGCGGTCTGTCTGTCGGTCTGTCGGTGCCTGTCTCCCAATTTCTCGACCTCAGTCGTAGCATGGATGGCTGGATATCATGGATAGCGTAGGATATGGTAGGATAGGATAGATTTTTTTCAAAAAAACAAAAATGACGGTGAGTTTTTCGCGGGATGGAGCATGCAGTTGTAGCATAGCATACATGGGGTCCTTTCTTTCTTTCTTTCTTTATTTTCCTACCTATACTTTTTTTCCCCCTACTTTTCCTACTCTTTACTTTGGCTGTTGTTACCTTTGGCTGTTTGTTATTGGCTGTTGCTTTTATACTATCTCTGTCTGTCTGTCGGTATCATTATCATTATCATTATCGTACTTCTCTAGGGTGGTTTTTCTTCTTCTATTTCCTTCTTCCATTCTTTCTCTATTCTACTTCTTCCTTCATTGCCGCTCTGTTCCCTCCCTCCCCCATTGCGCTCGCTCATCGAGTCTATCTCTGTCTACATATGTGTATTAGTCCTCTTCCCCTTTCCCTTCCCTCTCTTCCCTCTCTCCGCCCCCTACCCACCCCATGCATGAAGCCTTTCGTTTTATTTCATTCATTTGGAGCGTTTTACGTGTGTGTGATTTTGTTTGTTTGTGCGTGTGTGGATAATAGAGCTGCATGGCCTGCATGAATTGGAAGCATGAGTTTGTGTTTGTTTTTGTGTTTGTGTGTTTGTGTGTGTTCTTCATGGGCGTCACTCGGTGTAGATGTATAGTAGTAACTAGAGTGATGTGGTGATTGGGCTGAGCTGGGCTACTGGATGATCGGTTAATAATGGATGATGTGCAGCTATTTTGGTTTGCTTGGGGTGGGGTTGGCCTGTTGATTGGGGGTTTGAATGATAGACATACATGTAGGCATGATTCGCAGCCCGCTGGTCAGAAGATGGAATATCCAATTGCACAAAGTAGCAACCATTCGACCTGTGAGTCTGTTTCCTGCACTTGAATATATATATCGTACATCTAATTTTCGTAGATAATGGACCCGAATACAGCCCTGCAAGTATGGTAGTCAAGTGCTCATACGAGTACCAACGACATGCTTTCCTACAATAAACGCAATGAAATAAAACCACCACACTTCTAGCCAGAGCTAGCCCCATAGCTGTTATCCTTATGTATATATACCACGATGTCCACCACTCTCAGACCCCCATCAAACCCGCCTAGTCCCTCTCGGCCAATACGGGCACGGCGCGTCCGCCGTGCCCGCCGTCGCACACGTACACGCCGGCCTTTCCCCTGGCAACGCCACCTCCACTCTCGGCAGCCAGGACCAAATCCACGTCTTCCGACGCCCGCTAACAGGCCCAATAGACTCGCATATCCTACAGTCGTAGAACTTGGCCACCATCCCGCCATGTATGGACAGCATCGGTATTGCGTCATCCCACTCGTCAGGCGGAGCAGACATGATCTCGAGAACCGCCGTGTTGACGCAGAAGCCCTTTTGAAGGAGGATCCTGACAAGGCTTTTGTAGTAGTTAAAGGCAGCCCAGGTCAAGATGCTGATGTTGCCGCTGTGGGGCATGGTGACTGCTAGGTCGTGCAGGAGGGGCGTGAGGAGTGTGTGCAGGTGGTGGTTTGTTTGGTGGAGCGCATTGATGGAGTGGATGTCCAGGTGGGCGGCGATGAGGAGGGTGAGCTCGTTGGGGAGGTGGGAAAACGCCATGGAAGCTTTATGGCGGAGGTGTGGTTTTCCTATCGGTTTAGGCGGAGGTGGATGGCTATTTATTTGTATAGTCGTTCACCGTTTTTTTTGACGAATACGGCCACTTGACGAACAGGGATCCCAAGTACGACAAGAAACAGTCAAGCAATAGCCAAACTACGAGATCTCCAGTGCTTTTAATTTACATTGGCCCAAAGTCCCCTGTTCGTCAACTGGGTACTCGTTAAACGATGGTGAATGACTGTACTGCTTAGTTATGCCACGCAGTTGGATGCACAGCCTCGTTTCCTGCATATATGTACCTAGTCTCGTACCCATCCCCTACTTAGCAGCAAGCTGCTGTACCTACTTAAGCTGTTGCTTAAGTGCTATAAATTTCAATATGAGTCACAGAATTGAAATTGAGGCTAGGCTAAAAACCACTTTACCGTCCGATTCGAACCAAGCTTGTTTTCTTGAGCAGTGTTATCTGCAGGTTGAGAAGGCACAATCCAGAGAAAAGATTCATTAAAATATCAACTTACTCGTAGATAGCACCAGCCCTACAGCCTTCAGCATGTATAGGACATAGTCGATGGAGAGGAGGGGAAGGGTGAAGGGCGAGGGGGACTCGGCTGCAATGTAGAATAAAAACCAATAGAGAAACAGAGAATTACTTCCTTTTAATTCCCCAGTCTAATTATATAAAGACCCCAAAACCAACAATGGTTATGCTCCTGCGGGAAGAGACTAGACGCGAGATGCGAGATGGGTGAGGATACATGTATTCAGGAAGTGAGGAATTGGAGGGGTGTGTTTATATAGCTGTTGGATGGTATTATAGTGTTGCAATGGCCCTTCCGCTTTGTGGCCACGGTATCCACGGACCCACCCAGAAAGCCAGGTTGTAAAAGTTTGTAGACACCGTGTTTTGTGAGACGTGGTGTATATACATCTGGAATCTTTCAAGTGCAGTCCCTCTTCCCTCTTCCCTCTTCGTCTACATTCATTTTGTCTTCACCTGCTTCATGGCGGTTATTTGGCTACATGTGCGTACATACTTGTAGTCAGATAACTCATCCCCAATGCTAAATACAACGTCTGTTTTGCTTCCTTCCAACCATCTCGTTTTTCGATAGTCCGCTTGAATTCTCGCAATAGGGGCTCATACCTCTGCCGATGAAATAGTACTTAGTGGGCACTCGAGCTGACCGAAACTAACAAGAAATAGGGCCTACACCAGAATCTATTCAGTCACCCAATATCACTCGGCTCATTGTATCGCCCCCCCGAACCTTGAGGCTCGCCTCAGACATCTTTTGAATGTGTTCTATGCACTCGATATCACCCATCTATTGCAAGAAATATCTTCCTACCAAGTCCATCAATACATGTAGTTAGTCCCCCCAGTCAATTGCCGCCCAAACCATACTAACCCGAAAAACCTGCCGCACAATCATTTCCCTCACTGACTACATATCACCCATGGCACCTCATCGTCCGCCAACTCTGCACAAGTCAGATACGCCATCTCTTCCCCCCGTCTCAAGTTATTCTTTACCAGACCTCTCGCGATCTCTCTAATCTTCTCCACCATTCCCGCCGAGCTGTTCACCACCGCCCCCACATTCGCCCGACTCGAGTACCTCTCTACATCATACGCCGAGATATCAAACCTACAATTAACAATCATCCTAAACAGCGCTCCCTCACTTCCCTCCCCACTATGCAGCTCCAAACACGATGCCAACCGCTCCCTCAACACCGCAACTGCAATCTTATAATGATCACTCTCCCTCTCTCCCACCGCGCCACCACTCCCAATACACTGCAGACTCTTCACCGCGGCCATAAACACCCCCGTGAGACGACTACACTCCGCCTTCACCAGCGCCACCACACACTCTGGTACACTGCGGTCCTTACACCAGCGCACAAGGCCCTCGTGCCGGCCGCACGACAGCTTCCCCACGACGTGGATAAACGCCTCGCGGAACACGCGCACCGACTTGACCTTATACCCCAGCACGAGGTACGCTGTCGGGGCCTCGCGGATCTGCGCATCGATGTGCGGCCACTCGAGGAGGCGGGCGCGGACGCTGTCTGCGATGGAGTCGAGGGCCTCGAGGCTCGCGGCGAGGGCGACGACGGCGGTGCATTCTGGGAGGGTGGTTAGTGCGGAGTGCTGGCGGTAGAAGAAGGCGAAGAGGGTGCGGAAGGCCGCGCAGTGCTTCTCTTGGGTCTCACGGCAGGGAGGCACCGGCTACAGAGAAACGAGCTACTACTCAGCACTGGATTATAGCAAATGCGGAAGGAGAACTTACGCCCTGATCTTGGTCCCCACTCGTAATCTGCAAACTCGGATTCCCATCACCATCATAATCGACGCCATAATAAAAGCGATACTGCCTCGCGATCGCTCCACCGGCAAACTGCGCATCCTGTCTGCCCAGACATATATGCGCCGCGAAGCGTCTCGACACGCTCTTGAGGACCCCCGAGTGGAGGTAGAACACCTGGAGCGGGACCGTGACAAGCACATCCGGGGCGTCGCTGCCGTTGCTGCGAAATGTGCCGTTGCGCTCTGCGTGCGTCATTGCTGTGGTGGTGAGTGGCAGTGGCAGGGGAAGGAGAGAGGAAGAGGCGGGGGCGGGGGCGGGTGCATATGACACAGTGGGGGAAAGGGCCTACGGGGTTCTTGATCATTGACACCCTGTTCTAGCTGCAGGACAATCATTTCCATGTTCCAACATGTTCTGGTTTTGGCTCGATTTCTAGATTACTTACTTACTACAGATATCCATACTACTACTAGTACTGACTACTGCCATCATCCCAGTTCCAGACACTCCTTCAACCCTCTATCCATGATCCCGAATCCCTCGCCTCTTCCTCCAAGTACCAGCCCAAACTCCTCACTTACTAACAACTACTACCTTACATCCCACCACCGAAGATCCCAGCATCAAACCGCACGTAGTAACAGCACCCCTGCCCCCCGGACCCGGTTACTGCACCCGCCCTCCCGCAAAAAAAAAGCTTGACCGAAGATCCAACCCCCCCTCAATGCAACAACTTGCGGGGTTTTCACCACAACCCCCCACCCCTGCATTGAGGGTTGTATATATGTATGCATGTGCAATATGTAGCCTAGCTAGGTACTATGTAGTGCTCAACTTTGAAAGGCTTATATTGTGGATTGCGTATCCTGTCCCCTCTTTTCGCATTCACCCGGAATTGGGACGTATATGTGGGATGCAGGTTAAAGAAATATATGGATTACTTGAGCATGGGCCCGAGTATTGATTTGTGTTTGTTTCGCTGCTAAGGAGGGGATTGTGATTACTTATATACAATTTTCGAAAAGTAGTGATCAAGGTAAGTTGTGCTCACGAAACACAGGATCCAGGCGTACCACCGTACCAGAAGCTAGTCGAATGAGAAACAGAACCAATCACCAATCCTGCCTATGAGGACACTGACGGCAGTTACCACTACTAATACTGACTTTACGGCAGCAAGTTATATAGCTCATCTATTAAGATAAAATTACTAACAGCGTATGTCTCACTTCACGAATCATCACTCGTTCGTTCCACTCCCATTGTTCAAATCACTAAACACTATACAATCCAGTTCAGTCCATCGAAAAAAAAATATTAGTATCATAAGAATAGAGAAAAAAGAAAGGAAGAAAAAAAAGAGTAGTAGGCAACAGCAACACAAACGCCTTGGATTCCCAGATTTCCCCCCCTCCCTCCCTGCCCCAGTCATTTATTTATCACACTGAATCATTGTCCCGTTCCATGACGTCGCATGGCAGACACAACACAGCACATCATTACAATTCGAGATCAATCAACACACACAGCAACAGAAGAAAGGAAAAAAAGGATAAGGAATAGAGAGGTTTTACAATGGGTCAAGTCACAGACAAAACACATAAAAAAAGGCTTCCGCCCCCACAAGCCTGCCAGCCTGGCCGCCTTCACAGAAAAGGTTGATGGGGTGTTCTCGTCCGTCCGGGTCCCGTAAAGACATAATAATAATGTACTGCACAAAGCTCCTGCCCGTTTAAAACAAAAGAAAAAAAAACTCCCGGACTGAGCCAATAAAAGAACAATCACACACAAGAATAAAGACCCGCCGCCGCCCGTTTATAGTAAAATGGATTTTCGTTTTTTTTCTTTTTTCTTTCTTTTTCCGTTTGAGTTTCACTTAATCGACTTTCGCGTCGGCCAACTGTCTAGTTGTAGCGTTCGCAGTCAGGTTGTTCGCCAGCCGGACGTTTGTGTTTGCATATTTCTTTGTATGCTTGAGCTTCTTTCGCGCGACCATCACAGGTACCGATGACTTCGTAACGAGGTAGTTTGAGAAGGATCCGAGGAGTACACTGTTGGATGTCAACTTCCTGAATATCGAGGAGGAGAATATGCGGAAGATATACCCTTTGAGAGCGCTTCTGCCTCGTGAGCCAAGAACGACTAGGGTAGGTTCTACAAGATCGATCTGCATGCAGGGGTTAGTACAAGGCAAAGATAATTACTAAACCACTTTCGCTTGTTTCAAATAAAAGCTTGTCCAATGGGAAAAAAAGGCTATACTCACGATTTCTGTCAGAAGATGTTTTGGGCTTTTGCAATGGATCACCTCCACAGTGCACTTGACTTGTAGTCGCGTTTTCTTCAACAGTTTCGAAACCAGCGATGTGATCGCTTCTGCGGCTACGAATCTCTCCTGCTCCGCTTTTGTCCTTTCCCGACTCCTTTCGGACCTTTCCATTACTTGAAATGGTGTACGCGGTGACGCACTCCCGGGTGTCTGCGTTCCTGACGTCAGAGTCTGGTTGGACCCCACTGCCAATTGGGTAGTCATATCTGCGATGATCCCATCGTCGGATACAATCTTGCCGCCATCCTCAACGGAGTCTTGGTCGATTGCGTAGATAGCCATGAGGGTGTCTCCGTCCCTAAGAACTGTTCCGATGGTCCATTCGAGTGCGTGCTGAGCCTCACCACTGAGATCCGTAGCAACAAGGTATTTGCGGACTCGTCTGTTTCCCTCCTCGGCTTCCTTGGAAATTGCTGCATATTCACCTCGCAGAATGGTACGGACCACACGTTGGGATTCGGGCGTTGAAACGATAGGGGAAACGCTCATGTCCATTCGCTGCGCACGGCGAAGGTCTAGAACATCCGCTTCCGTGTCAGATGACATGGGAGTAGAGGTGTGAGATGGCAGATCAAAGTTTGTGGTTGGGTGTACCCCCGTGCGTCGGCTTGTTGTGGGGGAATTTGCGCCCGGAACAGTACTACCGGAAGGAGTAATGGATATTGAGGGAAGCAGCGAACGTACTTTGTATCTAGAAGATACTTCCTTGCCTGTTTAGAAACTCAGTTAGCTACTTAATTTTGAAATTTGCGGGGAAATCGGCCCAGGCAACAAACGTTCTTCCTCTGCAGCAGCCAACAAGCTCATACTAGTCCTTCGCATGTTGCCCGTCCCCTTCTTTGCATCAATACCGCCGCCCTTCTTTCCCTTCTTCTTGACACCTCCACCAGGATCGCCGACACTCCTGATCATGCTCTTGATGATCCCGGAAGATTCCCTAGTATTTTCTTCAAAGCTTGGTTTCGCGCCGTCTATGCGCCGCGACCTTGATCCTGGCCTACCCCTCTCCTCTTTGTCCTCCTCTTCACTCCCGGGGGAGCTCCCCAGGCTGCTGGACTCCTCTTCAGACGAGTCCTCAGGTGCGCGCTCACCCTCCAGATCGTAATCTTTCTGCAGGCGAACACCGCCTTCGCTAGTAAGAGACTCGCCTGTTCCTGCACGTATATGTTCTCCATCACTACCTGTTAGCGGCTTGCGCTCGGGTAGCTTACCCAGTATGCCACCGGAACTCGCAAGGGCTTGGTCATTTAGCCGGGCGTAAGCGTGACCAAGGTCTATCTTAGGCTCGTTGTCCATCGCAATTCGGGGGTTTTGTCGGGAAGGCGATGATAAGCGTCCTACAGAAGATCGGGGTGATGCTGACCGCAATAGCTCCTCCCGCAATAATTCCCCTGTATTCGGAGATATTGATCGTCGCCCGATGCTTCCTCGAGCGGAAGGCGCAGCACTTGGATCGCGAGAGCGAGGCTTTCGTGGTATGGGGGGCGCTACAGACGGCATCATCGAGAAGTTGTAGGCGTCGTTCGGGGTCAAGCTGTTCACTTGCTTGTCACGATCCTTGAGCAGTTTTGGAGGCCCATTGAGAACAGGGCCAGACTCGGAGCGGTGCCTGCCATTGACATTCTGGGTGACGGTTGGTGACCATGTAATTGTAGTTGCAGCTCTGGGGGGAGGTGGGTCTGCCATATCAATTAAAGAAGATATTGTGGGGCCGCGAATAGGAGATGAAGTACGACTGTGGTGTGGGGGAAGTACAGAGTTGTACTGTTGTCGGGGTGAGGAAGGAGTGGAATATGCGCCAGAGGCATGCTGGTACACGGAGGCCCTGCTTGGTCTTTCGAGAAGCTTAAGAATCTCTAGACGCTCCTCCTCGAGGGCGGATTCAAGAGACATCTTGGTGTAGTGAGCAAATCAGGTATCTAGTATTAAGTAGCACTAAACGGTTGTCAGTTGACTGCACGATAGGTTGATTGGACTAGCAGATAATCAATAGAACCAGCAGGTAATAGATGAAGTGATGAAGGATGCAATGGATGTAACAGTACAAGCAGAGTTGATTGATCGGGGTTGGGGGGAGACAGTGCAGCTTTTTTCGTTGGGGAAAGAGGAGAACGGTTTTCTTTACCTCCGCTATGAGGCTGCTATTTGCAAGAGCAATATGATGTCCTTTAAGGAAATGAAAGCTGATGGTGATGATGCTTTCGAGTACTGACTGAGTGGAAAGAAAGAAGCAACGGAAAATTCTAGTGGGGAAGCCAAATGAAAGGTGGTGAGGTGGCGGGTTGGCTGAGTATCCTCTGGGGATGACCGCGTGGGGATGCAAAGGTGAATAGAATGTGAGATGGAGTGGGATGGCTTGAAGATAAAGAGGAGGAGAGGAAGAAGAAAAAATGCAAGTAACAGTAGATCCCTTGTGAGAGAAAGAGAGCTCTTGGGTCGAATTTGAATAATGCCGAGAACAGTTTATGCTGGTAAAGTGGGTGCGGGTGGACTGATGACGAAGATCCAAGTCCCACCAAAATAGGGAGGATGTGCCCTGTCTGTTGCTTGCTTGCCTGCCAGCCCTGTTTACTGCTGCTTTATCTGGTGGCGTCCGAGTGCCTGGGAGGGGTGGTCTGGGGGCTTGGGGCCTAATGTGGAGCTCTAGACGCAACGAGCAAGGTGCGTCTTTTCTCTCGACTTCCCCCGGCGGTTTGTTAAGTGTAAAGAGTAAACGATGAAATAGCCTCCGCCGAAAGAACCCGCATTTTCGCCCGAATTGTGGAACGGGTAATTCAAGGAACGGGTGTTTTAGGTATGTATTTCGTTACAGCTGCTCTTTCTGCGATTCTTTCTCTCTCTTGTCTTTTTTTTTCTTGTCTCCTTGCGGAACCTACCTACATAGGTTCATGCAGCTAATATCACCGCAACCAACGCCTGGTGTGTAGGGCGACGAAAGCGATTGCACGATGCAAACAATGGTAAGATGGGAAGAAGCCATGAAAATCGATGGAAAATATTAGCCAATTACCCAAGTGGAAGCAGCATGCACGGGGCCATTAGAGTTGAGTACATATAGGCACCACTTACTGGCTAGGGAAGTAATGGAATCAGAAACAGAAATCAGAGGAGAGGAGATGGGGAAAAAGCAACAGGGAAGAGAATTGTCAAATTCCCCCTCTTCCTTTTCTACAGCAGAAAAAAAAAAATAGGATGTGCGTGGGTGGTCTGTAAAGTACTTTGAATCACTGGCCTACCAAATTCCACTTGTTGACTGCATCGTGTACCATGGAGGACATGAACCCACTATCAATAACGTCCAGGTTTTGCATATGTGCAACCCTACACGATACACTCTTTTCGGTTTCTTCATCTCGCCTGCTTCTGTTTCCGGTACTTTGGGTGAACTAAGACACGCAGACCCTATTGCTCGTTGATAGAGCAGCGCCATCTAGCCATGCACAGAACGTGATGACCTCCCCTTTGCACATTGGCAGGGGTCCACCCCAAAAAAGTTTCGCTGCCATCCAGTCCTTTATCTGATCCGCAAGCTTGCCTTAGTTCCACCTCTCCTCCTTTGGCCTCACGATAACCTTCTCTATGTCCCCCTCCGCTTTCCCAACCTTCACCTCTTTCGCTTGTTTCGCCGTCCCCATCCCCCACAAACCCTTCCACGAGCTTGTTCCATTCCCTGAGCACTCTGTTCTAGCTCTTCTTCCTTCTCGTCCTCAACTACTACCCGCACGTGCTCCACACCACCACAACCGCTACCTCCCGTTCGCTTCGTTCCCACGCACCCATCACCACCGCCATGGTGCCTCTTGGCCTACATCTCTTGGACTCTTGGCCATACAACTCCGGCAGTCATACACGCAGGCCAAGCGAAAAAAATAAACGGGGAGGGGGGGCAGTGCAATTAACCTCTCGTTTGTCCATCCAAGGAAAGCGGGGGTGCGTAAATTATAATTGTTGGATTAATTATTTTTCAGCAACTGAGACACAATCAAGCAAGAAAGCAGGCAAGCAGGAAAGCCGGTACATACTCTAGGAGTTAGAGTACGCAACGGCTGATTTATGAAGAGCACTTTAAAACGGACGGACCTTACAAGAGGATCTCTTCTAGACTCAGGCGTACGGACTCGCTGCTCCATGGGCACTGAGGAGAATAGTCACCTGGGGAAACCTCCATAGGGAGCTGCCCTACCAGGTACCAGCACGAAAGGGAGAAGGTTCACCGAGACCTTCGGCGAACCAAATTCGAAGTTCATGAACCCTCCCCATTCCTCCAAACCAAACACTGTGGTGTCTCGCCTGCGTGACATCCGTTCACATCCTTGCCGGACCCTACCCGCAGCGGGTAGGAAGAAAAAAAACCAAAAAATCACGGCCGAGTGCCAAGTAACGTTAGATAGCCCCGTGTCCGCGCCGAGACAAACATCAGCTCCAGAACGATTACATACATACAGGGGGAGATCGTGACGTACTCCATGCTTGGTACCTAACAAATAAGCATAGCAGAGACATAGATCTAGAGGCTTCTGGTTAGACTTCAGAGAGGTAAGAAAGACTGGCAGGCGAACACGGTCCCCCCGATATTGTTTGTGTATGTATGATTCAAGTATGTAAGGTTGATGTTGAAACTTGGCGCTGTTCCCTTACAACACGCAGGTGGTTCACAGAGTTGCACACGATACGTGAGCAGCATGGCACTTATCTTTGATCGACGTGAGGTCTTACAGTCACGTCGTGTTATTTTCGAGTGATACACTGTGTACCTACATACAACATTGCAATGCTTGCTTGACAACCCAACGTTGCAATCATTACCAGGCGAATCCCCTTCTCCCGGGTAAAGCACCGCACATGTATATACCTATCATTCTGATTCTCACCTCCTATGTAGAGATCAGCATATCGGCCTGCATAATTGTGTAGAGTGCTACACACATCATATTCATAAATATAGTTCTGTCGTATGATTACATTTGATCACCTATCTATCCGTCTCTAATAAATCGTCCTACTCGTTCGTGCACCCCAAAAAAGGGGAATTGTCCAAGGTTCAGGTCCCTAGGCAACCGGAATAACTACAACATGTATCTACAACCATATCTTGCCAAGCTCATTCCCACCCTATCTATCATCGCCCAGCCCTTGGCTCTCCAGCCAGCCCGGAAAACCAAGGTACCGTAGAAGTTGAAGGTTGACAGGCAGGGAAAGTACTCTACCTAGCTGCGCCGAGATCATCGTACGCGTCCTCCCCAGCAAATGCGGGACTTAGGCGAGACCGAGATAGGAAGTGATCACGATCATGCGGGTACTGGATTCAGACGTTGTGTTTAGGCCCTAAAGCTAAAGTTTTGTAGGGTACCTACATGTAGGTAGTTTCACGCGAATCTAAGGGGATGCGATTCGTTAATTATTTGTTGGACACCAGTACTGAGAACAGGTCGATGTATCTACCCTACCCGTACAAAGTCGTGTATACATCCCTTTACGTGTCATAGAGTACCTGGAAGCCTACAGGTAGGGAGCGTTTTACGTGTACGTATTGTATTCACCCATTCTTGGTATTCCAGCGCCTCCCTCGCCTCCTACAAACCCCCCACACGCACGCACGATGGGTATCGGAGCTTAAGAGAAAAAAAGACACGCGCCTCCGTGCAGAGATGCCGACCGACCCGTGAGTCAGCATCAGCGGAAGGTTCGAAGCCCAATCATGTTCGAGGATGTTAATTTAGGTTTAGGTTCTGATTGCTTAATTGCTTGAACGTGGGGTCACGCGGGGTACCGTGGTGTAGGTACATGTACCTAGAGTACTCTTAGTCACGGCGCGTCCGTGTGGAGAGATACTTACCTACGTGGGATAAATGAGACTCGGAATGTGCCAGTGGGACGGTCGTTGGATTAGAGTACATGAGACCAAAAGAGATGATGAATTGGGAGACTACCTGCTCTACCAATGTGTTTACCTAGAAGCTTGCCCCAAGCTTTCAGCCAACACGATCGAGTGAGTATCCGTGAAGCCCTAACCCTAGAGTATAATAGGGTATACAACAATCATATTTCTTCGAGAAAGCCCATTTTCTGCTTGCTTGTGGCTTTTTCTCCTTCCCCTCTTTCCCGGCCACCTTTGGTTTTTGTGCCCCCTGTTAATTTCGGTCTGGTAGAGCAGATGGGTAGAGTATATGTAAGGTAGACAAGAAAGGTGTATTTAAAGTACCTGCTGTACATTACATACCTCGGCGGTACGCATGTTCCTTTACTTATTCAAGTTCCTGCTGCATATGCTGGGTGGGAAAAGCGATCGGATCGCGATTTGATCCTAATCAGACCGAGTGCTTGTTTGTGGGGTTACCCCGGGTTTTTCTTTCCCCTCTGTGTACCTACGTGTCTCTCCACCCATTCCACCCATTCCACCCATTATGATCAACGATTCAGAAAACTCCGGTTCCCTTGATTTAAACACCTAGGGTTGCGGATCAAGGAGGTTGTGATCGACTTCAACTTGAATCCCAGACATTTCCCGTCGCTTGGGACAGATCTAACTACCGATTATCTAGAACTGGCGGCAGTTCAAACACGGTTAGTTTACTATAGATAGGTAACTATAACAAGCTAAGCCGGATTAGAGCGGAAACAAGCCATGTGGCTTACTAGAGTAAGGCAAACCAAGAGGGAGGTCTCTACCTATATCTAATGTAAAATGAGGTGGGAGACCTTTCTTTGAATGAGTAGAGTCGGGGTTCTGAGCGGAGGTTGTTTGTTCCAATAAAGTAAATATTATCTCCGCACCATGTTGAGTATTGCGCATATATTCTGCATAACCGGGCCGGGAGTCGATATTAATAATGCGATATCACGAGGTTCCCGAAGTTTCCGTCTTTTGGTCTGATATGATCATGACTACTAGGCAACAGCTCCTTACAGTGAATTTTTTTGTTTTCTTTTCTGCATGATATTCGCGCTGTTCATGCCGGAAAAATTAACAGACGCAACCAGGCAACGTGATAGTCGCAATAAACAAGCAAGGATATATGTACTCTAAGTACCTAAAGCTTACCAACCAATCATGATAACCGGAAGAATTCCATGGCATGCCTATCTGACTAAGAGTAAAATGCTTGATGTAACGTACCAGGTTCTTCATATAAAAGAAAAACACGTGCTCCTTGGCCCCTCGGTGATTGGAGATTTCCTGTTATACCCGCCACTTTGTAATAATACTCTGTTCATTAATTATCTCTTCAAATCCTCCGCTCCGAAGTATGTAAGCTTCGTAACCAAAGTGTTGGATCTGAGCGACAGGGGATGTCTATGTAAACTTTGTAAACCGAACTGAGATGAGATGAGAGTAGAACATAGTGTAGCGATGAGCCCCGAAACCACAAGTGCGCACGTGAGTGCCTAGAATATCTGCGTATATATTTACCCCTGAGAGATACGTGCTCGCAGCAGATATCAAGCACCGAGAAATGGAGCCCGCCCATAGGAAACATCTATTGGCCTTCTTGCAACTGGGCGAGAAGTGCATCTATGCGTTAGAGATGCGCTCCCGGGTATTTGTTATCTGTCGCGAGTACACTAGCATTCAAAAAAAGTAAAATAAACGCCCACAAGGGGGAAGATTCGGGGCACGTGAGGGGATCCGGAATCGATGCCTCGGGGTTGTTAATCGTATTCGGAAATCAACCGAATGATTTAGAAGCCAGATAGTTATTAGAAAACAGTTCTAGTAATTTTCGTTAGAGTCTTGAAATTTTTACACGTATAAGATGCTGCTGCCATGGAGATCATTCGAGGGAGACGAGGATGTGGGCTTACTTGGCGATGATCGTGCTGCGTGTATATCAACGTATTTGATACATGGGCTGTTAGGCTGGAATTGAAGGGTTTCATAATCCATGAATCCAAGTCCTCGCGATGAAAACTGGAAAGATACGTAGTATAGTGCCGTATGTGACCCAAGAATGGTAGGATTTGTGTCGAGCCCGAAGAATGAATGTTGGTAAATATCGGCCCTGAATGATTATCTCCGAATTTGCCCAGCGAGAAGTGGGCGTTTGTGTTAAAGAATGAGAAACATGCACCGTGACGGTCCGATAGACAAATCTATTGTATGAAACAGAACATCCAACTCAAGCCTTGCGGGTGTGATGGTGTTGGACAAGGCCGGATGACCTTATTCCCTTGTGATGATATTTCATCAAATGCTGAACAGCAGGCTCAGCATGAGGGTGACCTGACTACGATTGGTGTCTTGGGGACTCGCTTGGGAGGGGGATAGAATGATACAAGGTAGTTTGGTTGATGTTCACAACACGTTCAGTTGATACATGATATAGTGACGTAGCATCATCTGCTTCGTGGGCTTAACCACCCGTTTGTGTCACAATGTCCGTCATTGTCATGTAACTACACCATAATCTACCGGGATAAAATTGTCATACTTTAACTCCATCTCCTACTGGAGGGTCAATCATCGCTGATATTGATTAGCAACACTGGTCTCGGTAAATAAATATATTCATGAAATATCACTCGTGAAGCGATAATAACTGCTCCGATGAATAATTAGGAGATAAAGCCTCGAGTCACCAAGTAAGTTCTATTCCAGACAAATCCTATAACCGAAAGCTTAAATATAGGCTTCAAGACGGAGAAAAGTGGGTAGTGGAATTCGAGAGGATCTTTCTGTTGCAGCTGCATCCGGGGGACAGTACTTATCTTGAATAACCCTGATCGATCGAGGGATCTGGGACTGACTAGGAGTTTAAGTTTAATGAATGATCGCCGACTAGATAGGTCTAGCCTAGGTGGTGTAGATAGCATGCTCAGCTCCATGTCTCCGCGCAGTACGCTTTAGGCTGGCCAGAAGCCAAGGGCAAATTCCAAACTGCGGGGGTTTATAAGACCTTACGAGATTCATCTCGACATTTAAAAATCTTTTCATTAATCACACAAAGTGAGTAATCTACTGACTAACCCCCCCTTATCCCTTGACGTACTGACTGTGTTGCTAGCTAGAGCGAAGAATTCTGATTTTCAATTGCGTTAATCATAGGAAAACCATTCCCCTTTCCCCGTTGGCCTAAGAATTTCCTGGGAGAGACCGATACTACATGTACTTTTACCAAGCAATCTCACACTATCTTAGGGAACCTCGAGAAAAACTACGTATGTTCTAGATTGGTACAACGTATTGTAAGCCTCGAAAAAAAAAGAATTGATGATGTCGTCGGTTGGGATTTGAACCCAAGATCTCCTCACAGCACTAACACCTACGAGCTGAGTTTCGGTATGTTAACCACTACACTACCTGACGATTGCTTATAGGTGCTATATATCAGACCTTAAACTCACATTGGCGCTAGTTACCCATAGACAGAAGCGGGACGCGTCATGCAGTACGTGCGCCACTTGTAATGCTTTGCCGCTATGTACCTTTAGGTTTACTAAGCTTACGCTAGTACTTCTATTTTTCTACTCGGGGTATTTGTCTCTTAACCATCTCTACGAGCAGCTTACAGCTCCCCACCCCGGTAAGAGGCTGGATACGAGCCTATACTCGGGGCAGGTATATAAGAAGAGCCATGACTTTTGATGATACTAAACAACCTCTCACTCGTGGCTGGTGAGAAGCTACACCAAACTGAGCCTTGGATTCCAACTTGCATTTTCAGGTTCTTACTAATTAATTGCCCGTCCCGAGTACTAAGTTGCTTCATCTGTAGGCTCAGACAAAGCTCATGATCACAGCAGTGTTCTCCATGAGACGAGACGTCTTGAAGTCTTGTCTTACAGTACCTAGACAGGCAGTTCACGTTGTTTAAACAAGTATTTGAAATGAAACTTTCGAAAGGGCTCCCTAACAAGGTCATCCGGATTGCCTAAGTAGGCAATTAATTTAAGGTTTCTTAGATTACACTGTATATATGTGTGTGAAAGTTCGCCAGATCTCAAGTTTTATAAAAATAACTATTAGACTCTTATCTTGAACAGCTCGACACTACGTGTCGTTATAGGTGTTAGTGACAAAATGGCCCAAGTAGGTCTTCCCTCGATCTCCCGTCATGTGGACAACTCCTGGCAGCACATGAGCTTCAAAAGTATATTACACGTTTATCGGGTAGCTACGTAGCGTCTGAACAGCTAAATAAGGAAACGGATAATTTAAATATCATTGATAGTAGTATATCACTCGACTGAAATTTTAGTACGGTCCACGATTTTGTCTAATTTATTGATTGTATTAGTGAGGTCCACGAGGCTGATTGATTAATTGATCGATTGATTCATGTATGCAGCCCGTAGTCTATGGCACTCGCCGGTCTCCGCCTCATGGCCCAACCGATGTCCACGAGGCTGCTCGTGCAAAGAGAGGTGATGCCTTGAGGCAGATCCCTATTACATGTATATTTAAACCTATCAAAGTTGGGGTTTACTGTTGAAACTGTAATACTGCTATTCAATTCATGCGAATCAAACATATGTCGATTTAAATTCTGACGAGACTGAACTGGGGAATCGGGGAATAGTAGTACACGTGGGGATACTACCAATACTTCTATATAGGAAATATCAATCTCACTGAATACGCACCATTATGATTACTACATGTAGTAATATGATTACATTCTAAACATCGAACAGGTTAAACTAGTGTAGTCTGCGAGTCGAGCCCGCTTGAGTTCACAGCTCAAGCTTTATTCCCTAGCAGGGTCGAGCAAGAGGAGTTACGAGTCGAGCTTTTACGAGCAATTTATAAAAGTTGCTCGAGTTTTCTAATCATATAGAATTCGGATTTAAGCATATTTCGACAGCTGCAGATAAAAGACCATTTGGCCCAATTGAAACCAAAGAATACTTGAATTCAATGCTTTGCCTTTTCATGTCAGGTTAGTAAACATATATTAGAAAAATCGAGTTTCGCCACGTACGAGCAGAACTGATCCTACGAGTCGGCCCTGTAGTATATTTGAGCGTGGTTCAGCTTAACGGTAAAAGACTACAATGCCACAGCTTTTTTGTCACATATATCTAGGATGCCATGCATGGCAACCAATATGTGCACCAAAACTCGAACCCTATAGTAACTAACCATAACTAACCAAATCTAACTAATTTAACACTGTAGAGCCTATGGTGTTCCATACACTGTAAGCAATGAAAATAACACTGTAGTGGCTACGGTGTTCCATACAGTGTAATTGGTGGGAGTAACACCGTAGTGGCTACGGTCTTCCACAAAGGGTAATCAATGAAAAGAAGACTGTAGACTCTACACTGAACCGTGTAACATCACTAAGCCTAATTAGGGCTCTTGGCAACCAGCACATGCACCAACCTCACTATCAATAAAAAATAAAAAATAAAAACAACTGTAAGTTTAATGATTTACATCCATCAAGGTCAGTTGGAAAAACTCTGTGATTTTTAACTGTTTTGGGGGGTGCATTAGGTGGTTTCTACGGCTAGTAGCAGCCAACATTCCTCCTTGAGTACAACCCCCAAAGATAGAGCAGAAAATGAGATTGATTGATGGATAATTCATCAATTATATGTGGCAAAAAATTAGGGAAAGAACACCCCGAGGCTGAACTTCTTTTTTTTTCTTTCTATTTCACAGTTCTGGCCATGAAACCTAGGTCTTTATTGACATCTATGGTGTTGCGATCGAGGGTATTGTGTGGTGGTTGTCATATGGGTATCCTAAAATGTATATATCACAAAAGTCCGCGTGGCATTGTAGTCTTTTACCGTTAGTTTTAAACCATAGACTTGACCCCAAAATAGTTGAATTCAGACCACGGTGGTAATATACGCCACGGGAAGTACACGATCTTATCTAAATCAAACCCTGCCGTGGTTTGGTTCGTGGTTAGATTAAACCATATTGTGGTTTAAATTATGAGTGTCGTGTGGTTTGAACTGAGTTTGAGGTTTAGTTTAAACCACGGGGCCATGGTTTGGTTTATACCACTGATAGTTGGTGGTTTGAACTAAACCACAACTACGAAATCGAAAAACTTAAACCACAAACATGGTTTAAATCAACAGAAAAGGCCTAAATAACATAATTTTCGGTAAACGTTGTGCTCTACAATAACACATGATGCAAGATAACACAGTTCGCTATAGATGGCCGAGCATTGACACCAAAGGGTTAGGGCTTCCACTCCATCTTAGCACACCGCCAAGCCAAGCCAAGCCAAGCACAAGTACCACTCCCAGCCCAGCACCACCATGGGCGAGTGGTCTAGTGGCTAGACTGCTCGCCAGGCTAGACACCGCGTGTTTAACCCAGGACGCCAGGTCCCGGGTTCAAACCAGGGGTGGGGATAGTAACGCACCCTGATCAATAAGTCGTTGCAGTATCTTTTGTTTTTTTTTGTTGCAGTGGAATAAATTAGCAGACTATTTTTTGATTTTTTTTTGATATCTCTAGAGGAGGAAGGAAAGAAGGAAGGAAGAGAGGGGCATATCTGCCCAATGTCTTTGTGCTCTCGGCGTGCGCGAGGTCGAGTGGATTTTTTCCATTTTGCATCATAGTGAAGTACACGTAGCTACATGTAGTTAGCCAGGCCCGAAGGAAGCTCCAACCTACATGTCAGTCATCCATGGCCACCTTTCATCAAACACAGAGCTCGAGGCCGCGCCGACGACCATCCGGCAGAACCAACCCCCCCCCGGGCCAAAACCAACCCCAGCCAGAAACCAACCCCCGCCAAAAAAAAAAAAAAAAAAACCAACTCAACCCAAACCGCCCCCCCAAACGCACGTCACCACCACCGCCAGAGGTCCCCACGCACCCTCATCCCCCGAGTAGAACCACGGACCAATCCCCTAACGCCCTCACGCGCGCAAAGAAAGACAGAAAGAGCACGCGCCCCCCCCCCCCCCCTTCCAAGCCGCCAGGGTCAGAGGAGAAGGGCCCGCAGACGAACAAAGATTCTGGAGACGGGAGGGGGATAGAATCATCACCCGCTGCGACTTGGGGGGGGGGGTGGGGGGCCCTCGGCGTATGGGGGATATGGCCATGTATAGACCCCCATCATAGCCTAGCTAGAGTTAAAGAGACAAAGATATAGGATACCAACCAGGTTTGCAATCAAGTAATGAGAGATGAATCAGCCTCACCACCGGCGCGCGAGGTGGGTGGATTGTCAATCAATCAATCAATCAACCACCAACCGACATGCGAGGAGTAGAGTGCCCAATGGTCCGTACTACTAGTAGTAGTAGTAGAGATAGCCTCTCTAGCTAGTGGCCCATAATAGTGGGAGGTGAGAGTGGAGTTTTATGCCCAGGACACTAGAGATCTATCGACGAGTGATGGGCTGTGATTCGGATTATGAAATCACTCATATTTTGGGGATAATTCGACAACACAGCAACATCGCATCTACAGCACCACCAAAGCTCACGCTCACGTACAAAGATGACACCAAGCTCAAAAAAAAGCGATTTAGACTTTATTATCTCAGTCTATCTCAATCTTCCAAGTACATACCAAAAAAGAGTGAAAAAGAAAAAAAAAATCACAAACTACTTTTACTCACCGCCAACGACATGCTCGCGGCCGCTCTCACACCCACATCCAAAAAGCGCAAAGAAAACAAAACCCCCGCCATAGCACGCCTAATCCACACCCATATCGACATCCACCACCACGCCCCGCCGCGCACCATGCGCCGCCGGCGGCCTCCGTCGATCCGCCTCACCACTCCCCAACACGCCCCTGCCGCCCCTCTCCACCAGCAGCTCCACCACCGCATCCTCGCCCCTCGACGCCGCCAACGCCAGCGCCGTCTTCCCCTCCGCCACCACGCTCCCATCCGCCCCGCTATCCAACAGCACCCTCACAATATCCCTCATCCCAAACAGCGCCGCCCAATGCAGCGGCGTCCTCCCGTCCGTATCCCTCACATTCACATCCACGCCCTGCTCCAGTATCATCTTCAGCACATCCTCATGCCCATTCTTGACCGCCCACAGCAACAGCTGCCAATCCAGCGTGTGCGACGCATACCGGCTCACCCCCCGTGACAGCAGCACGCGTATCGTGGCCTCAAACTCGGCCTCCGGCGACCCAGCCCCCGCGGCGCCCGCCCCAACAGCAGCGCTATCAATCGGCGTGTACCCCGTAAAGTCACGCGTCGTCAGCTCCGCCCCGTGCTGCAGCAGCACCTCACAGATCTTCGGGTCGGTGCCCCGCGCCGCCGCCATGTGCAGCGGCGTCTTCCCATAATCGTCCTTCGCCGCGACGTTGGCGCCGTGGCGCAGCAGCGTGTCCACGAGCACCGCTGTGCCGTGTTCAGCAGCCACATGCAGCGGCGTCTGGCCGCGGGAGTTGATGGCGTTCCGGTGCGCGCCGAAGGCGAGCAGGCGGTCGGCAACGTCGGGTGCGGTCTCGGCCGTGTTGAACGCGATGGCGTGCAGCGGCGTGTGTCCGAAGACCCGGGCTGCAAGGTCCGGGTTGGCCCCGCGCGTGAGCAGCAGCTGCGCAATCGCCGACGACGGGTTGTCGGCCGCGCAGCACTGGTACAGCGGTGTTTCGTCCTCGTCGTTGCAGGCATCGATTGGGATTTCCGCGCGGTCGAGGAGGAGCTGCACGGTTGGTTTGTGGCCGGCGGCGACGGCGGCGTGGAGGGCTGTGTTGAAGCGCGGGCCGCGGGCCTGCGCCGTGATGTTGGCGCCGTGGGAGATGAGGAGGGGGACGATAGTGGTGGGCTTGCGGCCGGCGATGGCGGAGAAGATTGCGGGGGGGGATCCGGACGAGGCGGAGACGCCTTCGGCGAGCAGGAACCGGACGAGGCCTTCATGCCCGCGCAGGCAGGCCCATTGCAGGGCGGTGAGGCCGTCCTTGTCTTGACGGGCGAGCTCGTGGAGGATGGGGAGGAGGAGGTGGGCGAAGTGGCGGCAGGTGCGGAGGAAGTTGTAGATGTCGCGGGGGTGGGTTACGGTCTGGACGATGTTGAAGAGCAGCTCGTTGGGGAGCGTGAGGAGCGACATCGCGGGTATCAATTGGTGCTGTAGTAGTAGCAGCAGCAGTAGTTGTTAGTTGTTGTGGATATCTCGAGATATCGATGTCTCTTGTCTTGTCTGCGAGAGGTGAAGTTGCCAGGGTGGCGGTGCCAAGAGGACGATCCCTGTCTGCACGCTGCATCACTCGGCCTTGGCAGCTGGCTGGCTCTTTGTGGCCGGCTGATCATTGGCCCACCGTCCTTATGTAATCAATGGCCCTAACCACCGCAGCCTGCAGGGATCGTGATTCGCTTGTCTTGCTCTGTTTGAGCAGGCACCCGGTCACTCTAAACTCAGGTGCTACACCGAGATCAGCAAACAAGCATCAGCCTTCGAGAAGAAGAGGGACGAGAAGAAACACTACCCTGCACCCCGGCGATGATTACCGACTCGATGCTTGGAAACCTTAATTTGGAAAGAAGAACATGGTACCATCTTTGATGTCTGTTGATTGTGTTCTCTTGCAAGGCCACGAACAGGGTGGACAGCAGAGATGGATACATGTAGATTAGAGGCGAGACAGCATAGACCTAGGCCAGTAGATAGCAACTTTCTGGGCGGGGCAGGAATCCAGGTCCTACGCGAGCCACAGGAGTGTGCACTCTAGACAAGCTCGAATGATGATGAAAAGGAAAGAAAAGAAAGCAAGACACAAAAGAAACAGCCAAGCCACCAAGGACACAGTACTCGCCATGACCTATCCTTCAACCCCCCGCCACCTGTCTCTGCACCCGCGCATAGTCCCACGACGGGCCATCATACCCTGTCCTGCGTACATCTCATCCCAGCCAACCCCAAAGAGACCGCTGCACCGTCCCCCAAACAGCACCCGTCCAAACACACGCAACCACCACCACCCCACCATCAAGACAGAAGCCTTTAACCCCTACCTGCCTGCCCTGTCCTGTCCTCTCCTGCCCTGTCCTCTCCTGCCTTACCGCACAAACCCTCCCGCCCCTCCCACTGTCACACGAACCTCCGGTCCTCACACACCACACCGGCCCCACCCCTAGCCCACGCGTTAGTAATCCGCGTTACCCAAAATAGCCCCTGTTGATCTGGCGATAAGATAAGCGACCGCTACAATCAATACCCCCCGCAACGCAACCACACACCGGGGGTCCACCGACAATGCGGATATTCCTCACGCTTCCCCACCGCATACAAATAATCAATGGGGCTGACCGGCTTAGGGCGCAGTGCGTGGTGCGGGACGGATTGGCTACATATATGCTCCCTCTCTCCGCCTCGAACTCAACCTTCTCCTGCTCTGTTAAACTAACCAGTACGGTAGCTAGCTAGTTCTATCTACTGCGAGGTCCTCTCGCCATCCGCTCTTTCGTTTGTCTCTTCCGAATCACAGTCGCTCCTTATTATAAGCCCACCAGCAGGCTGGTTTCCCATCATCTCAGTCTAGAATAGATATATATATATCCCCAACTGGCTAGCTACACAGCTACGCATTCGAGATGCAGCACCGTCTCACCCTTTTCCCGCTCTTGCTCCTCCTGCTCCTCCCCTACACCCATGCCCTCAATCCGGCTCCGCATGCCACCCTGGCCCCAACGGCGATAGCCAAGCGCGCACCACTACCAGGGCCTTCTCCTCCCCCTCCAGCGCCTCCTCCACCAGGGCCACCATCACCACCTCCTCCTGCTCCATCACCGCCGCCAGGCCCACCAGGAGGACCACCGGGAGGACCACCAGGGCCACCAGGAGGACCGCCAGGAGGACCCCCAGGGGGACCGCCCGGGGGACCGCCAGGACCGCCAGGGGGACCGCCAGGAGGACCACCCGGAGGACCACCCGGAGGACCGCCAGGGGGACCGCCAGGAGGACCACCAGGGGGGCCGCCCGGAGGACCAACAGTAACCCACACCGTCACCAGCACCGCGCTCACCACAAACACAAAATGGGTCACCTCCACCACCGCCACCACCGCTACCTCCACGGCCACCTCCACCTCCACCGCCCCTGCAGCAGCGCCCAAGAAGAAGCCGAACGCGATCCAGAAGATCTTCAAGAACATCTTCAAGAAGAAGGGCAAGAAGAAGGACGACAAGAAGAAGAAGGACAAGAAGAAGAAGAAGCCCAGAAGGAAGCACAACAAGAAGAAGAAGGGCAAGAAGATCCAGGTCAAGCCTACGACTACCACAAAGACGGAGACGATCACCACGAAGACCAATGGTAAGGACACCACGCAGACGCGGACCACCACCATGACGCTCCCCACCAAGACCGTGCGGAAGGTCGTCTACACCACAACCATCAAGCACCGGCGCCCCGGCGGCAAGAACATCGTCAGCACCGTGACCAAGCTCGTGACCGAGAACCCCAAGCCCAAGCCAACCAGGAGGCCCAAGAAGATCATCAAGAACATCAAGAAGGTTGTGAAGAAGATCAAGAAGGCGGCCAACAAGAAGAACAAGAAGAAGAAGAACAAGAGCAACAACGCAAAGCCAACGACGCAGACCATCACGAGTACGGTTGTCACCACCGTTCAGCCTACACGGCCGGGGATGGGGGCGGTTGTGGTGACGGTCGTGAGGACGGTCACCACGACGCGGAACCCGACGGCGGCGAGGAAGGGGCCGAGCATGACGACGAGGATTGTCACGACGACGGTCAAGCCGGGGAAGAAGGGGGAGACGGCGGTCGTGAAGACGATCACGAGGATTAGCAAGGTGGGCAAGACGAAGAAGAAGGTGAACAAGCTTGTGGAGATGATACGGAAGAAGAAGGCGAAGAAGGCGAGGAAGAAGGCGGACAAGGCGCGGAAGAAGGCGGATGAGGCGCGGAAGAAGGCGGAGAAGGCGAAGAAGAAGGCGGATGAGAAGAAGAAGAAGGAGGAGGAGGCGAAGAGGAAGGCGGAGGGGTCGAAGGCCACTTCAACTACTTCTTCGAGTACTACTTCGACCTCGTCGTCGTCGACGACTAGTACAACCCCTTCGACCATTTCTTCGTCGAGTACGACTACGACGTCGAAACCAAGTACAACAACGAGCACTTCCACGACGTCCTCAACTAGCACTTCTACAACCACCTCGAGCACTACATCCAAAAAATAGATGCTCTAGATGAGTATGCACGGCACGAATTTCTTTTCTTCTCAAGCTAGCAGGACCGTAAAACGAATCTTCTTCTTTTCCTTTTTTTTTTCTGGAGGGGACTACATATAGTTTGGGGGGGGCATGTTTGATAGGAGTTTTGGGTGTTTTTTTTTCTTTTCTTTTCTTTTCTTTTTCTTTTTCTTTTTCTTTCTTTCTTCCAGGTGCATTTGCATTTATTTTGTTTATTAGATTGACAGGAGACGGGCTCATGCTATATGGTTATGAAAATATACATGACAAATAAGCACATCATAGACATTCGAAGCACAGAAGATGTAGTTGTTGAAGCTATTCAATTGTGACGATGCAGAAAAAAGTGCCTTGATGCCGGCCGGTCAGTAAAGGTCTCACTTTAAAGTCTGATGTTGATGCGTATGTAATCAATCATCTAGGTAAGGAACCCCCACGGACTCTTTATTTCTCCTTTCCCCATAACAATATGTCAATGCCCCTATGATAGCTACTATGGTTCACGAGGTAATAGGATCAGATATATTTTTCAATAGCATAGAAATGGCAGATTTAAACTCGCTCTCTTTAAGGGCCAGTGTGGTCCACGAGGACGAGCGTCCTTGTGTCCTTGCCTCGAGGATATGCTCTCGATGACAAACGAGGACAGCGGTCCAAAACGACAAGGGGGCCTAGTGCACTCCGCCATGATCAAATAACCAGTGAATGGTAGTTAGTACCGTACCCCCTTACCCCTATTCCTATCACTGCTCTAGCTCAGTTCGAGTATACGGAGAGTAAAAGCACATGTTAGCACTTGGTTTATGTGTCTCCAATTAGCGAAAGGCGAGTGTTTAATTAGGCGGCCTATATATAACGACTTGATATACATACATGTAGTCATATGCAGGTTCGGTGGGAGTTGGGTAATGTTACACAGGCTAGGGCGATTCCCAGATGTGAATAAAGCTGGCCAATTCCCCACACAAAGATCCGCAACGAAGTGCTGCCATTTTGCTCTACTAACTGTCCTGAGACACACACCACGCGCACCACACACCAGTTATTGCACGCTTGCTTTCTTGTCCTACCTTACCCCAGCTGCAGACCAAGAAGATCAATCATGGATCCTACCAATTGGTAGGAAATACTTTTTTTTTGAGTACTAACGCGATATATCACAAATTAATAGGAAATCGTATGCATATGCAGGACAATACCCCGGCCATAAACTACCCTTGTCATACGGGGCTGTTGTAGATCATGATGTTAACGGTCCACCCGCCAACTTACCCATGGATATCTCCGGCATATCTGGGCAAGCTGGTACTATATGTATCCCCGAAGCACCTGAACAGCCCGAGGTTCGCTACTCGCCAGAGGAGCTTCAGTCGTGGGACCTGCTCGCCGAGACGTTGGTCTATCCATCTAAAGAGCCGCAGGAACACCCTATTGCTTGCAATGGAAAATGCAAAGGAGATCTATCGTAACCCCCCCCCCCCCCCCCAACCAAACCTCTTTCTTCCTAATACCGCCATATACTAACACCGCCGCCGTTTGTATCATGTAGTGGTCCCCACACGTGCACCCGCGACAACAAGAGACGACTTGCAATCACCTGTCGCAGCGACAACTGCGCGGCAAAATTCACCAACAAGTGCGCCTTCAACCGCCACTGCAGATCCGTTCACGGGCTCGGAGAGCTAGTGGACTGCGGGTTTGCTGGCTGCAATAGGGTTGGCAGTGAGGGGTTCTTGTGGAGGGACAATATGTTGCAGCATATGAGGGAAAAACATGGTGCGGAACAGAGTGACTGGCGGTTTGTGCTGAGGGGCCCAGAGAGGGGCTTTGAGATGATTCGCCGTGACGTTTAGTGCTTTGGGGGTTGGGTGGTTTGCCTAATGCTTCCAGAAACATGATGTCTTGGTTCTCATCCGTCTCTCTCGTTTTTATTTCCGCGGGTACTCTTTTGTATTCTTTACTTCGTACAATCTCTTCTCGATACTTTCACTTATTTTTCCTTGGTTCTCTTATCTCTTCTATGCCTTACTTTTCCTTTGTTTCTTATCTCTTCCAAGCCTTACTTTTCCTAAGTTCTTCTATCTCCCAAATAAAACAACACAACAGTCGTTACCTCATACCACCAGCTCATCTCACTACATGACCGGCCATATATAGGAAACCCCAAACTACATGTACCTTTCCAAGCTACCAATAATGAATCAAGACCCAGGAGTGAATTCAGCCCACAAAGCGTCCATGATGGCTTTTAGCATCTGCTAAGGAACATTTGCCATCAGTGGATGCAGGAATGTGGTGCTAGATGGTGTTCCATTACCGCGCGTGCGTGAAAGAACAAATCCATACTTTATCCATGGCCAATGTTTGATTCCCAAGCGTGTGTGTCTATCTCTACCAATAGACGCAGTAGCAATTCGACCGATACGTGTTGCCAAGATTAGGATAATCCCATACAGAACAAAAAATTGAATTTTGCAGGAAGAGAAATTTATATGGGGCAGTAAATTCAAGGGATCTGGCCGGGTCTGAGCTTCCACGGCGCGATAGGTAGAGCAACCTGCACCCACAGCCTCAAAGGGGTTGGACAGGCTACTCTCATAGGCCAAAACTACGAGCTAATGCAGGCTCGAAGGTAAAAAATGTAACGTTACACAAATGCTAAATGTGGCGCAGATATTGAAGAGGTGGATGCAGATGCTGCTGCCTCCAAAACAATTCGAGTGTAATATAAATTGAGCCCATCCCCGCACCCTCTTTCACAAAGAACTCGCACGAAGTGCTGCAAAATTTTGTCACATACGACTAATCAACTAATCTAGCCCACTGCATAATATCTGATATGTCACACCCACCTTACCTCATTGGTCCTACCACCATGTCTCATGGAGACGTGGGGGAGACCAATCGGTAAGTTTTTTTTTTTTTTCTTTTTACTAATGTGCGCTCGCGTTCCCCCGCAGAATATCTTGGGGTACATGTATCCCTGTACCTGGGCACACAATTTATTCAGCCCTACGAGCAGTGGAATTGGTCCGTGCGGTTGACAACCTATTCGATCTATCCAAACAGCTCAATTCATCTGAAGATATCTCTGGAAAATCTGATGCACCCGAACAAGTGGATCTACTCGATGTAGGCGTGCTTGAGAAGTCTAATGTTTGCTATACATCTGAACAACTTCTCTCGTGGAATCTACTGTCCGAGCCTCTATGTCTATACGACACTGTCGGTCCAGTGCTCGAACAATTGAATCACTCAAGCTCAGAAGATGACCAACAGCCGGCGGAAACCATCAATGTGCCCTCTGTGCTCGAGAATCAATTCGTCCCCCAAGTTCAAGCTTTTTGTGGTGGAAATTGCAATGAAGATTTGATGTGCCTTCCCTCATTTTCCTTCTCGCTGCATACTCTCGGATCCTCTTCGTTCGTATGCTAACAACATGATGCTTCATAGTGGCCCTCACGCATGCAAACGTGACGGAAAGGTTCTCCGTATTACCTGCCGCAGCAACTCCTGCACGGCCGGATTCCCTACCAAGCATGGCTTCAATCGCCACTGTCAATCGGTGCATAAGCTCGGGAAACCCATCGATTGCGAAGTTCCTGGATGTGATCGAGTTGGTACTTCAGGGTTTACGCGCAGGGACAATATGGTTCAACATTTGAGGGAGGTGCATGGAGTGGATACTCCGATTCAGAAGTATCGGATTAGGGGACAAGTGCGGGGCTATATTCATTGATGTAGCTGTTTCATCGTCTATTGATTGTGTTTTGTGTGAATTCTTGCCTGCAGGATCTTTGAAATGTCCCCTGGTTTTTAGCCACGATTTGTTCTTGATTGTTTCCTATCTCTTTGATTTCCTTTTCCTATTTTTTGTTCTACTGGCATCACTTGCTTGCTATTTCAATTTATTATTTACCACCCCCTTTCTCTTCGATTCCTTTTTCCCTATGTTCTTTCTACCCTGGCATCACTGGCTTGCTATTCCATTTAGTATTTTACCACCCGCTTTCTCTTATTCCCTCTCTTATTAGCATTTTCTTCTACTTCTCTACGATCTTATTAGTGTTTTTTTCGCCTCATAGCCCTCGAGTATTTATGCCCTTTGTGTTTTGCCCTACGTTGAATGATCATTTTCCATATATTGAATATATGTGATGAACTAGCTATTTTTGAGTATTGGCGTAGCCCCAATCTTTGTGATGCACCCGCTAAAGCGCCTCCACCATGGCCGAATGGTATTGTAGCTGCTTAGTAAAGAAATTGTAGATTACTAAACAAACCGAGGATTCGCGCACTCTTGGGCACTTGTGGCACCTCTTACCAATATATGCTCCCTGAATTTAGGTGCGGGTACAAGTAACAGTTTCGTCCACTGGGATGATATTGCTGGACGCCCTGGCAACGCTTTTCCACTCGTCTAATACATAAACCGCTGGTTGTTAAGTGTTTAATTCAATAAATTCAATAATCTTCAATTGAATTCGCTGTTTAATTTTGGTCTATATTCATACTTACTTCATGTATTAGTGTTAGAGATCGAGTGATTTTATGTGATCGGTAATGAAACAACGAGGCTCGTGTAACACCAGTCGACAACAGCTGGCGGGAATTGAACCAATCAACCCAGAGAAAAATATGCAGGCTCGAGGAGCTAAGACAACTCTCCTACAGTCTACAAGCGGAGTGCGGCCTCCGGCCGCCCAGATGTAGTGAGGAAATGAAGGTGCGCGGTACTACGATAGTACATGTAATTTCTTAGATTATTGCTGTCATTCTGGATTATTGGGTCATCCAAAAGTACAGACACGCACTAAACCTCAACTCCATCTCTCCTAATAGGTAATCTGTGATATATTAGCTCTAGTATGCACTCTAAGTCATTCAATGAGTAGCTTTAGTATGTACATGTAGTTCATGATAAAATGCTATCAGGGAAATTCGACCTTGAGATATAAAAATATATATAGCTGTAGTTCTGTCAGTGTTTGTTCATTTATATCCATCAATTGCAATAGCTACACGCCTTTTAATATAATGCCAGTTCCCTTCCATCTCGGGAGTAGTTCTTTGTCTAACGATATGCAACTAATATTAGAAATATTACGCAACCAATAGAAAATGTTCCTGGTGACGATGAGGAAGACTATATAGTTTAGACGTTTCAGCCTGATTGCAGGCCTACCGCCAAAGTCGAATCCTGCTGTTAGGCATCGGGGGGCTATAAGCACAAACGAGAATGTAGGAAAAAGAGCGCCAAGAGCCTCGCAGATATCCTAAGTTGAGAAATGAATTTGAGTCCTTCGGTGTGGAGTTCGGACTCTATTTTGAACGCAGTCAGTGTCCACCACAGTACTCCCATCAGACACAGCTGGATGCGCTCCCTACTAGAAGAGATAACCAGCGCCAAGGTAGGTAGATTCACTTGATCTGGTAGTCGACCAAAACATTTAGTATGATTTCATCTGGATTTTCTCTGGCGTGCCAACGACCTCAACACCCAAGCTGTATTTCAATTGAGAAACCGATATCATAACCGAGTGATATTTGGTGACCAAGGCTGAACTTTCAATTTACTGAGTGTTGTGTCACCGGCTGTCTGTACCAATGAACTAGATTGGTACCAATAAACTTCGTTATACTTATGCGGGACAAATAAACCCTGCCAGGCTCGGTGATAAAGATGCAACTTTACACGATGGGGGCCTGGGTGTGGATAAAGTTAGGTCTATCTCCTCTCCTCTCTTACACTAAAGTTCACACGAAGTGCTGCTATTTTTAACTATCACCCGGCTATAACTACCTTGCTGCACGACTTCTGCCTTGTTACAAATTTATTGGTCTCCTTGTTGCCTTAATTGGGGAACATGGAAGCCAATTGGTAATTTTTTTTCTTTCTGCCTTACTAACATATGGCATTCCGACTAGTCAGAGGTTATTATTTCGCGACGACGTATCAGGAGATGAGATCGAAATAGATCTCTATGACGGCACCGGCGAGTATCCCGAGCTGCAGGGCTTACCCGAAGATGTCATTGCGTCTGAGCACAGACCTGAGTCATCCTCGAACGACGGAAATAAACTATGCGAGTTATATGATCCACCCAAACCGCTCAATGAGGCTGAATATGACTTTGAATGTTTGGATATACCTGGACAGTCTGATATCCTCCATACGTATACGCCCGAGGAACTTTCTTCATGGGATCTACTATCCGAACTATCTGATCCATACGCGCAAATCATTCCGTCCGGGTCATCATCGGTTCCCGACTCCCCCAGACTAGATCTCCAACTAGTCCTAGTCCCAGCGCCAGATGTACCAGGCGTTGAAAGAGTTCTCGCGGCGGGAAGCCCACCATCTCCCCCGGGCAATCCCTGCAATGGGAAATGTAAAGGGGATCTATTGTATGCTGTCCTCCCGATGGACCCACTAGTCAAATACTAATATCAATGAACTCACACAGGGGGCCTCATAAATGCCAACGTCTCCAAGGAAAGCTGAAAATCACATGTCTCGGCAACAATTCATGTAACCGCGTATTCATCACCAAGAACGACTTCAACCGTCACTGCAGGACGAAGCATGAGCTCAAGAACATACCGCTGATCGACTGCGAGTTTGCCGGATGCAATAGGGTTGGCAATGAAGGGTTCTCACGCAAGGATAACATGCGCCAGCATATGAGAGATGTGCACAGGGTAGCATGTCCTGTCAGACAGTTTAGAGTTCAGGGCCCGGTGCGTGGTTTTGTTTAGTTGATAGAGGATTCTGGAGTAGAATTGGCTCTTGTAAGGGTGGAAGGATTTGCTTGTGTTTCTCTTTTTGGCCGTGCATGGTTTACTCAATCTTTCCCTTTTTGTCTTGAAACGATATATTCTAGGCCTAGGCTCTCTCTCTCTCTTTTGTTTCTTGGAACACTCCTTCTCGCTTTCTCTCTCTCTTTCTCTCTCCCCCTCTCTCTCAAGTTCTTTTCCTATTTCAATATTTACTTCTTAAGAATAAAAATCAAAAACACTTGTAAAACAACTTCCATTATCCATTCTTCCATACTGACATGCGCCTGCTTGCCTGCCTGCCTGCCTGCCTGATTGTTTGATTCCCGTACTGGCGCATGCAAGCATGGATTAAACATAACTTTCGAGTATTATTAACATCAACTCCGCAGAACAGGCAACAATTTAGAATAGTGGGCATTAGTATGTGCATATGTATACATGCATACACATAGTTTACAGGAGCATGTACCAAAAGGTTCCCCTCTGCCCTAAGGAGTCAGATTCTTACCCAATTATTGTGTCGGGACGTCATGATCCCTAGGCTAGCTAGGCCTGAGAGCTCTAGGGCTGCAGTTTAAACAGCGGTCCGATTATTCGTAATCCGACAGCTAAAGGAGAAGAAAATATTGAAAAGTAGCTACTGATTATGATATTGGTATAACTCCACACGACACCTTGAGTATAAAATGAAACATGTCCTAGCCACCTATCATAAAACTTTCCGCAAACCACGTCGTTCCGAGCACGAAGAAGCATTCTTGCATACAATACAAGCCACCATAATTACGGGGGACACCAACCCAATCCGCATTACTTATTCTCCCAAGACTGACTAAACCGGAACATTTATCTCCAAGACAGCTACCTTCATGACTCGATTCGATCGAGTCCACGCGCACAGTACTAGCGTGAAGTAACAGCAGCCAAGTCCACCGTTCGCCGGCACGTGTACATGTATCGACATGCGTGCGTCTACTAGTGGCGAAACCAAGAACTTCCCGCTAATGTTCTGGAAGGACTCATAGATCAGAGACTAGGGCACGTGTTCGGGCCGTTTCTTGAGTTGAACGATGGCGATGCGATGGAGGCCTGGTTTGTGGGGTGCAGATGCAAGGTCTGTTTCTGAACCTGGTATTCAACCGGTAGGCTACATATACATACTTGATTAGGAGAGGTGGATGAATCTTGGTGTGGTACCGGTAGTCTAGAAGGGCTTTGTCATCATCTGAGTAATTATCCTATATCTATGAGCCGCCGAGACAGTGTTTGTAAAAGGCGGGAAAATGACTAGAGACAATAAATTCTATTGCTTTTGTTAATCCTTAATTGACTAATCATGCTGTGTCTTTATACCCCACAAGAGAGGTGGCAGCATCGATGGTTTATGGGATACTGTAGCCGCAGGTATTCGTACCTACAAATCAGATTGATAGGCTTCGGCTACTATACTATTCAGAAGTCAGTCATAGTTAAGGTTTCGGAAGTGGCGGTGACTGGCGTGGGGCTTAAGTAGGTCGCAACGATAACATCTATTGAGAGACATATGTTTTGTTTCTGTTGGTTATGATTTTTGACGGTTTGGGGCGCGTAAAAAGTGTTCATGGAATTGAAAGGGGGGATGAATAGTAATAATATGCCGTAAAGAATCGAATCATTCGGTTGCTGGTGATTGGTGGACTACCATGCATGTCCTCGAGAGAGAGAGAGAGAGATTATAACTGATTGATTGAGCAGGAGAGATCATAACCACCTCCATATAATCAAGTTCAAGTATGTAAATACCGAGTTTTGTAGCTTCCTAACACGGTAGAAGATCCAGGAGGACTTTTACCAATATCATCGTTATTGTCGTCTCGACAGATGATTCGCACAGAGCGCCTGCAGCTGCTCGTTCGCCGAGTGATATTTCATGATTTGCCAAGGAGTGTCGTGTCACGAATCGAAGCCCCACGTACATGTACATACTTGCTGCGAGAATAAGTTTCCGCCACCACTTTTTGTTGCAACCGCATTTTCACGCACAAATTTGGCGGAAACTTATTCTCTCCGCAAGTACTCGCGCGGCCGGTTTGAAGCCGCCTAAGGAACTGTGGCGAGTGATCTGGCAGCCAATAAGAGCTCAAGTTTTTTGCAGTCTTTAGATCAATTACCTTTTTTGTATGAGCGGCTTCAATCCGGCAGCGCGAGTAGGTATACGAAAAAATAGACTGGATACGTATTATGTGGGTACCTAAAGCCAATTAAACCATCATGAGCATATAGATTCTGCAGGCTCGAGGAGTTAAAACATATCTTCATGCAGGCTCGACGAACTCAAACATCTATTCATGCAGGCTCGGTGACAAAAAAGAGCAACTATAGACGGGGCCAGATAGATGTATGTAAAGCCCACGCCCTCCCACGGTCTTTGTATCATCAACTCTCCCGAATTGCTGCCAAATTCTTCCCCGACTGCTCGGTTATAACTGCTTATCTGCTAAAAACAATCTTTTAGCCTTGGATCTTGCATATCTAATAAGTATATAGATATACCGATATGCAATGTGTTATTTAAAGGTTTTGATTGGCCAGGTTTGAGGGGTTTTCTTTTTCTCTATCAAATATGTTTGTCAGTAAGTAGATATTCTATCAAATATGTTGGAGTTAGTACTCGCTATCATCCATAAGAACCTGAAAATGCAAGTGACAGTTACAAGGATTATTTGTATGTAGTGGCGCCGTTCTCCCATAGAAATTATCCCTGTCTTATTCACCTGCATTTTCAGGTTCTTATGGATGATAGCGAGTAGATATTCTATCAAATATGTTTGAGTCAGCCAGTAGATATTGGTTCCAACATACCTTGAGTCAACCAAATAGTATATCAGATATATGCACAGGGCATCTTGGGGTTTCAGTGATCTTAAGCGTTGGTAAACTGATATTGTTTAAGCCATAACAGTTCCTACTCCGGCCAAAGGCCGGAAAATGCTTGTTCTACACTCGTCTTACTTGGTCATCCTTGTCTCAACCAGAGCCATGGATCAGACCAACGGGTGAGGGTTTTTTTTTTTTTGCGGTGCTAATAACTTGTCAGGCAGCAGTTTCTTCACATACCGCCCCAAGTGGCCCAAGTTGGGCCACTTGCAGATGCACCCGAATATCACAACCCACCTGGACTATTCGATCTACCCGAACCGCTTATCTACTGGCAGTGGGATGGACTATTGGATCCATCCGAACCGCTTCTCTACGACGATTTCCCCAGGCCCGGATATCTCAACCATCCAGGGCTATTTGATCTACCCGAACCGCTTCTCTACCAGTGGGATGATTTACACCGGCCCGAATATCTCGACCCACTTGGACTACATGTACTTGACCTACCCGAACCGCTTAGGCCCGAACAGTTCAATCCCCCTAGACTAGAGGATCAACCGCCAGCAGGAATACATGTAATCAATAATAACCCTATCGTTGAGCGCCAAGACCCTCCCCAGCGTTCCTCGAGCTCTGCAACGGGAAGTGCAAAGGGAACCTGATGTAAGCACCTCCTTTTAGTTGTATATATCCGTGCTTATATATTAACTTGATAATTCTGCACTACTACATAGCGGCCCCCACAGGTGTCAACGTCTCCAAAGAAGGCTTCACATTACATGTCTCAGCAACGACTGTACCCATGTGTTCACTACCAAGAACGATTTCAACCGTCACTGCAAAACAAGACATGGGCTCAGGGAGTCGCTACTGGATTGCACTTTCGCTGGCTGCAACAGGGTAGGTAACAGTGGGTTCTCACGAAGAGACAATATATTGCAGCATTTGAGAGAGGTGCACGGCGCAGAGGTTCAGAGAACACGCTTTAGGATTCGGGGTTCGAGGTGTGGTGTTGAGGTTTGAAGTTGGCTGGTGATGGTTAAGAGGAGGATGCCCTCGATGATGTTTCTTAGTGGATCTCTTCCGTTTTACTTGGGCTTTCTATCATTCCATCTTTTCTTTTCTATTCGAGGATTTCCTTCCTTCATCTCCTGGTTTGTTATTTTTGTCTTTGCCCCCCCCCCCCCCCCGGGGCGCGGCCCCACCTTCTCTAGGCTCTTTCTTTTTAGTATTATTTCCACTTCTGTTATTTCTTTGATACCCTCTTTATTTCACGTCCTCTCATTTCGAAATATCCACTTATAGCCCCTCGGCTGTTCAAGCCCTTTCTTTTGCCATGATTTGTCTTTTTTCATCTACCCCTCCTTCCACTCCTTTATGTCATTAAGAAACACCAAAAAAAAAAAGACGGCCGCTTGTTGGAACACTGGAATATCTGCACATTCGAAATTTAATTTTCCCAGTTTGAGAAAGTGATAGTATTCGCCGCCGCCCTTCTGTATGTTCGGGGGACAATTCGGCGGCTTGTAATAATTTGAGTACTCCCAACTCACTGGTATCAATGCGGTGATCATATGTGAAGAGTTAAGCGGGTTTAGTCAGGATCTAACTATGATGGATAGCCCTTCACTTCAATGTGTGTAGTCTGTTAGCTATTGATTGAAGAGTAATAATCCCCCGGCCCTCACTACCTACGACCACTCATTAGCACCATTGGCCCGACTTATTTGGGGTCTTCCTCTCCAACCTGCCATAGGACTATTTGGGAGGTTGAATTCCGGTATGTATAGGCTCTTAGGACTAGATTACGCAACTTCTGAGTTATCAACTCATAAACATTTCTTAATTCATAAGGGGCGCGGATACATAAATAGCCAAGAACCTCCCAATAAGCTCAAACATTGCAGCCACATCTGTAGGGGCACCAGCCATAGGTCTCTGCTTTAAAAGCCCAACTCAAGGAATGTTCTAATCGGTAACCATGTACCTCAGCAGGTTTTTTTTTTTCACCAATGATACTCGGGCGTTCATTAAATGGTCGGATATCGTTGCAACCAAATCCCTACTAAGAATTCCGACCATTTAATAAACGCATGAGTACAAGTCGAAAAATATCGGGGGGGGCCTGTATCGTTACCTCTTTGCATGAAAAATCACTCGGGCCCTGGTCAAAATCTTATCTTAATTTTGACATCCGCTCGGAGATTTACAGGTCTTCTCATCATCTCTATGTGGAAGTTTAATCAACTCAATGTTTATGGGCCGAGGATATCATCCATAAGCAGTTTATATTTGCCTGATATATCCCAAGCAGCTCAAAGCATCATCCCTCCTTATTCAAGAGCAAGGCATACCTTCCGGTCCCATAGGTAACGCATAGGTATCATTAGATAATTGTCTCTTCTTGTCTCGGGAGTGCTAGAATAGCCCTGATTTACAGCCCGTATCAAGGGATATATGCTCGCTCTTTCAAGTCGGCCGGCTTATTGGACCGCACTACCCGAGACTACAGTCGGAACCATAAGTCCAATATTCCTGCCGTCTACTCAAATATGCTATTTCTTTAGTGCCTGGATCTCTCCGATCTTCGCGGGCAGTTTCTGCTATCCTGCAGTTAGTCTAGAATTACGAGTTTAATGATGGGCACGAGACTTAATGCCCCGAGACTTTATCTCAAAACCTAACGAAACGACTCTGGGACAAGATTCAATATCTTAAAAAGTTTCGAGATAGGTCTCGAGACTTCCAAGTGATGCTCGATGATCCAAAAATAGGCTTTGTCTGGCCCTCTCTGGTGCCCAACCTTCTTCAGGTTAGTTATAAACCGGGTGTACACTTTGGCCCTGAATTTAATCAGCCGTTATTTGCCAACGATACTAGCCTCCATTTACTTTTAGGAGTTATTGATGACGAAAAGACAGATTCGTAAAGGTTCTTATCTTGAATCTGGACTTCCTTGGTCATGAAATTCTTCCTTAGCTCAGGTCTCGAGACTTTCAAGACTAAGATAGAACGAGACAAGACGAAAATCAGTCCACAATGGTCTCGTCCTGTCGTGCCCATCATCAGGCAGGTCCATCCCTGCAGTTACAGGTATGACCAGCGGTGATCCAGATTCCCACATATTCGGTCTCCAGATGGAGCCAGGTGAAGACCCAGTATCTGAAGTATTGGTACCCAGGGACTTCTCATGGAACAGAAGCACCCGATGTCCAGGGTCCACGCAAATGCGGGGACGGGAGGAAATAACCTTAACTACTAGTTTGAGACCGGAGCCTGTACGCATCTTTGTTCAAGTACTCGCAGTGTCCTGACGTTTGTGGACGCGGCTGATATTGCATGCCATACAAAAATACGTCAAGCTTCTGATTTTTGGTGTATGCAATAGTGGCCCAGTTCAAAAATGTCAAGACTTTGCGAGTAATGAGAAATATCTGCCGAGATCACGATCTATACTCGTCGTGTACAACGACCCGGTTTTGAATGACCATCAGATATGCATGCCTTCCCCAATGACACCTGTAGAAACGCATTTTTTCTTTTCTTCCGATGGTAAATTTACTCGAAATTGCACTTTTGTGGTAGAACAAAAAGTAGCCATCGAAATTGGGGGGGGGGTGGTCGAATGTTCACTAATCCCGAGGGGGAGTTGCTCACTGATGTTAACCCGCGTATGTTTATATCCAGAAAGAGATCAACCTGCATCGTTTGACAAGCTTGGCATCCGGTGATATCTTGAGTCAAATCAAGAGAGAGTAGGATGAACATCAGTGCATGGTGTTTCTCTTTCTTTTTGGTGCCCGGCCCGTGTTGGGCCCCATGTTAATGTCAAAACCAAGGGAATAGAGCTCATTTGAAACATGAGGTTGAGAGGTTGGTGGGTTAGCTGGGCTGGGGGGAACTTCAACAAGGGTAAGGCACCGTGTGAAGTCAGTTGCCTGTAGAGCGAGAAACGGATTCCAATCAAAAGCTCGGCATCAATTTGTTAGTGGATACAGTACTAGTGCCAAGTCTCGACATACATGACCCAACCCTCCGCCGCTTTACATGTACTCTATCTCTCTATGCTATGCAGGTACCTTAATAGGAGCTGCTAACTGAGAAAGGTCACATTAATTGATGGCTTGTCAGCTTAACGAGCTGGCTATCTAGAGTACCTACAGTTGACTTTGAGTACCTGGTGGAGTAAGTACTCGTGTAATTGGAAGTGTCACTCATAGTCAATTGCGAAAATACATGTAGCGCGTACCCATCCTGCAAGGCAATAAGCGGGAACGTGCATCGCGGCCACTAATGTGCTGAGTACGTGGTGTTTTCTCATCAACTTGATTTTTTTTGTAGTAAGCTGTCTGCGATACCTAATCTGAATCAGATCAATGTAAAAGTAGCTTAATCGAGTACTGATAATGGTTAGCTAAACACTCGGACCGAGCTCATATCTGCCGTAGAGCGTGGAATGTGCGCACGTTGCGTTGAACTGTAAGGACAGTTTGGTGCTACTCTACGTTGAATTTTCAGGCGTGAAATATATGCATGAACTCATGATCCTCTTTCCAATTCCTATCCCATAGATCCAACCCATCGCCAATCCTACAGGCCATGTACGTGATGTGATTACATATTGATATCACTTTGCCTTCCATCTGATGTACAGACGTCAGAAAGGGAGAATGGCCCGGTAACCCTAGTACCCGTGTTGCGCAGACTTTTGGCGGGGTTTTCATTCATTGAGTACGATCCTAACTGCGCTTATCATCTAAGCCTGAATCCTTACGGCAACAGAAGTCTAAGAGAATCCCAGTTCAACATAAAGCCTGGCTAATGTCAGTAGAGACTTGGAGACCTCAGCACTTTCCTGCATAGCAAAATTCTATCGAACATGGCTGGAATTTATTATGGTTGTTGATTTCCCGCGAACACGCGCAGGATTACGAAGCGTGAGATGCTGTGTGCTGTTACACTGCAAGGACCAATCTCTCACATAATGATGTCAGACCGGTATGTACAAACAAGCGCTTCTAACGCTATATCCCTGTATGCGGAGCCCGGATGGGTTACATGCAATGCATGTGTTTGTCCCGCCGATTTACCTCGCATCATACGTACTGGTTTGAACCAACACCATCTCTACACAAGGTCATTCTCTAACAATCGATCCTTGCAATTGGGTGTACTAGGCTACCTATATAAACACGAGCCTATCTTGATTACCACATGATCAACAATAGCATCCTCATTCCAAGTTTACATTACACCAGAATCCTCAATTAAAAATACCCACTCTATAAAGGGGTTATTAAAAGTATATAATCTACATCCCTTCAAGAGTGCATATCGATCACCGGGCTTGCTATATTCTCTACAGCTTTGTCAAGCAAAACCTACCTAAACCTCAAAAAAATGGCCATGAAATCAAAATATGCAGGTCCTATTACTGTCGATTCGGAGGATGATGACTACACCATATGTAGTTCATCCAGTACCAGTGGGTAGTGCGTTTTTTCTCTACATATATCTATATTATGACTTTGATTGTTTTATTGAGTTGACCTCTTACTCTACGGCCCCCAACAGCGTGAGTGATACAACGACATTCGCAACTACCATATTCGATTACAAGTACGAAAATGGTCGCAGGTAATTATTTCCCCCTCCTTCCTCGATAGAGAATCGTTAGTTAATATCATGAGGTAGATACCACTCGTATAGAGAAGGCGCCTATTGGGCGCCCAACGATACCCAACAAAACGATCAGCTTAATCTATTGTAAGTTTCTCCGCATAGATCAAGAGACTGAAGGCTGATTCAAACCGATTTAGCCATCAAGTTTATACCTTGGTACTACAAGGCGAGCTCTACGATGCACCCCTCACTAAAGACGTAAAAAGTATCCTCGATGTTGGCACCGGCACCGGGATCTGGGCTATTGAAATGTCGAATAAGTTTCCCTGTGCAAGAATTGTAGGGAATGATTTATCGCCTACACAGCCATCATGGTAGTTACACAGAATCATCGCATCTGAATCAGTGTGCTAATGCATGATCATGATAGGGTCCCGTCAAATGTTGAATTTGAGGTGGACGACATCACGCAAGACTGGACTCATCCTCCTTGTAGCTTTGACTTTATACACGCCCGCGCCCTCGCTGGCTCTATTCCCTGTTGGCCTACGTTCCTCTCCCGCGCCTGTCGCACCCTCTCGCCTGGTGGTTGGTTCGAGTCCGTCGAAACCACACTAGAGCAGCTCAGTGACGACAACTCTGTACCACCCGAATCTGCCGTGGCAGAATGGTATCGGCTACTCTCCGAGTCTGGGGAAACGGTTGGTAAAACATTCGATACAACGAATATAAGCACTTGGATGGAGGAGCAGGGGTTCGTGAACGTATCACAAAGAGTTTTTAAAATCCCTACAGCGCCGTGGCCGGTCCTCCCGGCGTTGAAGGAGATTGGGAAACAAAATCTAGCAAACTTGTTGGAGGGTATGGAAGGATTTTCGTTGGCGCTATTCACGAGGGTTTTGGAGTGGGATACTGCGGATGTTGATGCGTTGCTGGCGAGAGTGAGGTCGGAGTTTTTGGATAGGAAGGTGCATTCATATTATCGGATGTAAGTTTTTTGCCACCCTTTCGACTATATATCCGATTCGAGACTAAGGATGTAAAGGTTTGTGGTTATCGGCCAGAAGCCAGAAGACGCAGCTGCGTCAGAGAAGACAGCTGGGAATCCTGTTAAATTCACAAATGAGGCTGGTCCGAGCTCGTAATATTAGTATCAAAATGTTAATGATAGCCTACATGCCAGTATTTAGGGGATTTTTTAGGCTACTGAGCAATATTTAGACACAAATGCAATTGCAATATATTCCAACGTAACCAGTATTGAGAGCTCGAGATTTCCAATCCCCAAAGACTTTGATCTTACTAAAAAAGATATTCAATAGTATCCGGGGAGATTCGGTTGACTGAGTTCTCTCGATAAATTCTCTTTCACTTAGTACACAGCGATATCAATTCAATTGCGTAAGGAAAGGTGGGGGTTTGCACCTATTACTTCCCTGGATTAACGACCCAGTCCAGGATTTTAGGCTACCAAATGCCTGGGTACGTGAGTAGCAATGTATCCTGACCTACATGCAGGATACCGGTATGTCAAAATTTGAGAATCCAATACTGATATGAGGAGTAATAGTTGAAGGATACCCCCAATGCCGACAGAGACAAAGCTTATATATGTCATGTCGAGACTGGTAATACTAGCTATTTCTTCATCGAAGTGAGGATATAAGTACCTCAAGCCTCAGAATCCGCTCAGAAAATAATCCTATCTAGTATTAATACGCGGTAACAATGGTATTGATTTTACGAAAGCCTTTATCACTGCTACGTAGAGGGAATGCCGCCCGTATCCTTCAGGATATATCGATAATGAAGGATGTATTCCCCAGTCGTACATACCCGTAGATTCATAGCAACTAGGCGTCCGTACAGCACGTATTCCAGTGGGGTAAGATGCGGGATAACCTCTATATTAATGAAATGACCCGCTTCAGTTTTATCCCCGGACTAGCTACATGTAGTTCGTTCCAGTTCCCCCTTATTACTGTAAAGTACAGTTGTATGCAGCTCTTTGTATACGTATTGATAATACGCGTACGGCTTGTAGTTGTGCCTTCCATGGGTCATTGCTAAAACATCCATCTACTGACATACATACCGGACAAAGGATCAGAGCTCTGGACAAACCCCCCTCAGATTTAGCACCGAGAATTAGCAGCCCGAGCAGAAAATCAACCTGGAATATGTATCTGTTCCTAGGCTAGCCAGGCAGTTAACACCTAGCTCAACCCATGACCAACAGACCGCAGATCCATGCCAAGCTGGGCCCAACTCACAACCAGCAGATGAGCATTCCCCAGCACGCTAGCACTCCCTACTATTTAGTACGCAGTCTCCAAACTGGCTAGCGTTGTGATCTACATTTAGTTAGCGGCTAGTCCACATTCCCCCATCCCCCCCCCCCCCCCTTTGATAGTCGATACCGGATGAGTCATTCGGAGCCCGAGTCTTTCAAATCCTGTTACTACATTATCGATATTGATGATTATTCGCATTACCAGGTACGGCTTGAAGGCGTGTGGAGTGTTTTAATCTACTCTAGATCTAATAGCCGGCCGGTGGTGGTGGTGGTGGTGAAACAGAGATCCAGATCTAGATCTCGCAACAAGACGTTGTAGGTTGGGGCGCGGCGGGGCGTCTAATCTTAAGAACCGAGAGTCGCAACAAGATGTTCTGGATTTTGGTGAGAGATCCTCGTGGCTCTAGACTCGGCGGTGGAAAGCTGAGGAAGAGTTGTTGAGGTTTTGGGGTTTCTCGCTTGTGGTGGGTTGTGGTGGTGGGGATGGGGAATAGGCGTCATGGGGGGTCACTCGGTTTCGTGGTCAGGCCGGGAGTGGTTGTGCACGAGTGATCTGTTGAGTGAGGATAGGCAATTGAATGGTGTCACTCAGCAATAGGTATTTTAGCTATCCCAAGATCATGAACAGTAAGATGAATATTGAAAGATTCATTAAAAACCTACTAATACGTACATTCGACTATATACCAACTAACTATAACTATATACCCCATAACTCCAATTGAAAAGAAAGAAAAACACTGATAGCTATATACTCAATACTTACAAAACTCCAAAACCCCCACTCACACCTCCCCCAACTCCTTCACCTGCCTCCTCTCCAACTGCCTCATCAGCGACATCCTCCCGACCACCTTGCCAATACTCCTAATCCTCCTCCCCCACCTCTTTCCCTTCTCCTCCTTATCACCGGCTCCGTCCCCCTCACCCTCACCTCCGGCCCCGCCCTCCACCACTGCCTTCTCCTCCGCCAGTAGCATCTCAGCAACCTCACACCTCCCCACTACCATCCTCGTAATCTCCTCATCCCCTTTGCGCACCGCCCACTCGACCGCCGTCTCCCCATCCACACTGGCGACATCCGCATCGGCCCCAAACTCCGTCAACAATGCCACCGTCGCCCGCTGCCCCCGCCACACAGCCCAGTGCAGCGCTGTCTCGCCGCGCTCATACTCCTGCGCGTCCACCACACCCTCTCCGCCCTTCCCATCCCCGCCCTCATCACCCTCTTCACCCGCTGCCGCCGCTGCCGCCGCTGTCGCCGCAGCGTTTTCCAGCAGCATCCGGAAAATGCCCACAAGCGACTCACCAGCACCCTGACACTTGACCGCCCACAGCAGCGGCGTCATGCCGCCATGATCGCGCGCGGCCACGTCCGCGCCGCGCTGCAGCAGCAGCTGTACCACCTCGGTCCACCCGCGGACCACGGCCTGGTGCAGCGCCGACTTGCCGAACCTGTCGTCGCGCGCGTTGATGTCCGCGCCGTGGTCGAGGAGGAAGCGGACCATGTCTATATGGCCCTGCCATGCGGCGCACTGTAAGGCGGTTTTGCCGTGCTCGCTCGTTTTGGCGTCGATTGGGGGAGCCGGGGAGATGGTGGTGAGGAGGAGGCGTGCGAGGGAGAGGTGGTTGTACCAGGCGGCCCAGTGCAGGGCGGGGAGGACCATGCCGTAGCTGTGGCGGTCGAGGGTGGCGTGGGTGTGCAGATGGTGGGTGGTAAGGTGGTGGAGGCGGTGGTTGGTGAGGTGGAGGTGGAGGAGGGAGGGGAGGGGGAGGTGGTCGGCGATAAGGAGGAGGAGCTCGTTGGGGAGCGTGAGGAGGGACATATTGGGTGTGTGTGGGTGTAGTATGTGGGTGTAGTAAGATATGTAGGTATGTTTTCTTGGGTGTTCCTTTAATGTGATACGATCTGTGGTGGTGAAGAGAGCTAGAGATATCGATAGATGGAGGTTCTTCTGTGCTGTGCAGTGCAGCTGTGTGTGAACAAAAAGCCAAGTGTATATATATATATAAAGAATTCCGGTTCGACAGTTGCGAAAACGACTTTAGTTGAAATGAGCGATAGCTTACTCTGATATTAGCAATGATTCAAAAAGAAAACCCAAGGGGAAAAGAAGAAACAACATAAAAAAGTGCACTCTACTTTTTGAATTCTTGCACCATCTTTAAACATCCTCCGGGAAACAGTTTATTTTAGTCCCCTCCATCCTCCTCCTCCTCCTAGCTCTCAACACAACAACCCCCCCCCCCCCCCTGGTCTGTCATTTCGAAATTCAAGGGCCCCTTGTGTAACCCCGCAAACCAACCAACAATCAATCTCCCTCTAGCTTCTTTTTTTCTCGTTCTATTGCTTTTTGCTTTTTCTGCTGTCTGTGCCTTATGTTCGCTGATCATTGTTTCAGTCCCAGAACGCTGGGTTTCACCCACGTTGGCCCAGTCCAGTCCAGTCCGGCCCTGTCCTGTCCAGGGTTCTAGCTGTCTCCCCCTCCCTTCCCCATCCCCCAACCAGAAGAATTTCATTTTTTCTTTGCTTTTCTTTTCTACTCCCCCCCTCAGATCATGAAACGCAAGGGGGGCTAGATCTTGTAAGGCAGGTTTTGTATGGGGGGATCTAGCCAGCCAGCCAAGGACGAGTTAAAGGGCGAGTTAGAGGCCGTGATTATATATATCCCCCCGTTTGACAGCGCATAGGTCGTTTTGCGGTCTAGGACTGGTCCAGGTACCATCATAGGCCCATAGGTAGAGTGATGTGATCTCTGGACTAGACCGTTCGCCCATAGATGAACCAGCCAGCCACCTTGCAAGCTAGTGACACCGCGGCCGGCCAAACGTGCAAGTACGATAGATGGAATGTAGGCCAATGGTTCTCGTACGATTCAAATCTCGTTTGCTTGTCTTGCTGGGATTACTAACCCACTGAGTGCATCCGCCTAATGTCGGGAACGCTTTATCGCAATGTGGTAACCGGACCGGTGGGTACCCCGAATCACGGCCAATCACTCGGTTTGGACCCGTTGATGGCTGCTTACGTGGAACCCGTTTGTTTGGCAGGCGCAGCCAATCAGTGCTTCCTCCTCCCCTCCCCGGGGGGTTTTAGGCGGTATTAACGGGGAGGGGTGGGTGGTGAGCGCCAATCACCACAACTCTGCCGGGAAAAAAGGGACATTTGTTTTCTCCCGGATCAAATAGAGTGATACTGCGGAAGTTTGTTTCTGTGTGTGTGTGGTCCGGTTGTCCCGAGATGTTGCGATCCGATCTGATTCCGAGATATGGGTGACGAAAGAAGATCGGTGCATGGTGTGTGGGTTGGTTGGGTGCACAACTTCAGTGACATGACATGACAGGCACATACAGCTCATGTATAGATAGATAGGTAGATAGATACCGGGAATGAAGCGAGTTGTCTCACTCTACTTCTCCCTCTTCTGCTGCTGGATGATGGTGGTGATCGGTGCTGTATCGGGCGCATGTCAGTGGTATGTAACTTGGCGGGTAAGCCGGGGTGCGGGGGGGGGAAGAGGGCCGGGGAAGAAGACGTATTGTTACCGTCTGTCTGTACGTGAGAGGAAGAACCGGCCCAACGTCTCTCTTGATAGCTTTGCTAGCCAGGGTTGGGTAACACTCACTGTACTGATCCACCTACTGCTCCACCCTACTGATCCACCTCCACCCAACTTTCTACCTCGCTGTGCACAGTGTTGATACCTAGCACTACGCCCACTGTCAGATTGGGCGGTGTGCGCTACGCTGTGGTGCTGCTGGGTATGGGTACGCTTGCCCGGCGCGGCCGGTAGGTATGCTGCTCTGAACACAATTATGGCTTCAGCTGATGGGTTCGAAGCAACGTCCGTCCATGAGGCGGGGATGTGTTTGTATCACCAGAGCAAGAACAGCCCTATCTGCGCAGTCTGGCTGGCTGGCCGGGCGGATAGCGCTCCAAAAAGAGAACTCTTTATTTATTTTTTCTTGCCAACTGGAAAACATTTTGGATGATATAGCGCCAGAGAGTTGGAAGATTGCAAAAAAGAAAAAAAATCACAGAGCGCAGAGAATTTCAAAAGTCTATATATCTCCAGTGCTCCGTGGAGGCGCGCCTCACAACCAACGGTCAAATTTCCAAATGTTTCCAGTTGATTGCATATATTGATTGCACTCGCGGGGAACGTCCTTAAATTAGCCTGAAAGCCACGCTTAATGTAGCGTAGCTATAGATGACTTGATTGATGCGAGAAGAGGAAGAGTCCTCCAACCGTTAAGATATACCGGCTATTCTGGTAGTTATATCTGTTTTACTTTGAGGTGCAGTGCTGAGTGCTCTCTCTAGCTGTGAATGCGGTGTTGCTATGTAGCTAACTATTGTATTGACTAGCCCTTATCGGCACTCCCGCAATCTATCCCTACATAGCCGCGGGTTGCACGTTTTGCGATTTGCATCCCGCCCGGTCCGGTGTGCCTGGCTACCTACGCGCTGTGGTGCCGGCCGGAGCGATGCCGCACTCGACATCATGCTCATTTTTTGATAGTGACACTGAAGGAACAGAACATATCGCGAATATTCAGCTTCGGTTTCAGCTTCACATAAGAATTAAGTTACATTTCCATCTTGGGACCAGGTTATTAACAGTCATCAACAGTCACCACTGTTTCACTACTCTAGCCCTGCCATGCATCGATTACTCTTCTCTTCCCGGTTAACATTTGCACCTGATCAGTAATATGACCCATATGCATCCCAACCTCGAAAACACACTTCTCGAATATTCTGAGTAAAATGGAACCTTAGAAATTCAATTACGCTATGTAGCCCTCCACGCACGGCATCTGTGACAAGACACTAGGAACGTAGGAGCGCAATCGACTTTTGCACCGCACCGTAAGGCTCCATGGTTCAAACAGTGCAAATACAAACCTGGCAGTTCCTAATTAGGGTGGACGTCGTAAAGTACATACGTACATGTAGCTACATGTAGATTTGCACCACCGTGCGTTACGGACGCCCATTGCAATATTGCAGAATTCAACCCAAATCCCCTAGATCCCAACATGTTTCGTTTCAAGATCAACACAAACTCCCATCTCTCCATAGAGATACATGTATGTTTATCCCCAGTATGTACATACAAACACTCATGATCACCCACGGCCACACACCCACTCCCACCAGCCCCATCCACGGCCACGCGCCAGTGCGCCTTCGCACCAACGCCATCTACCTCATCACATCACCCCCGATGAGCCATGCATCCCTTTTAGATCCGCACCCATCTGCAGGAACCTCTGCCCTCCCACCCGTTATAGGGTAATTATAAGTTGGGTGCACTCACTCACTTTCACTCAGGTCCTGCTTGACTAATCATCTCACCAGTAATACCTGCCGCACGAACTATCACTCGTTTCCCGCATGTTCCAAAACCGGTGCGCTGCGTTGCGTTGCGCCACGGGGTGGCGTGTGGATGGCGTCCACTATCCGGGTTCCCCCCCCCCAAGGTATGTAGCTGACTGGCTCTAACCTAAAGCTAAAAGCTAACCTAAAAGCTAAAAATAAACTTTCCCTCGCTCTGTTTCTCTACTAGGGTTAGTTTTGGGCCGTAATGGGCATCAGTGAAGAAACCCTCTGCCAAAAAAAGCGAAGCCTAGGGTGTCGCAATGTGTAGAGTATGTGGTAAACATCCCGTCGCTCCATCATATCATCGCCATCACCAGGCCGTGGTACATGTAGGTAAGGTAGCGGCAGTCTATTCGATCCGCCATCACCATCACCATCATCTCATAGCTCTGAGCTTCCAACAATAGCGTTGTCCCAGAGCTACATGTAGCTAGCAGCTTACTACACGACTCTAGCTCTAGTTGGACCCTGCACTAATAATAGCAGTCTACCTCACTCATCAACTCCGTTCACCGTGGAGCGGCAAGTCCCGCCTTCGCCAGCTGGGCCCATGGATTCTCGTTCGTCGACGACGTCCATGGCAGAGAAGGACGGGAAGATAGAGAGATGCAGGCAGAAGAGGAGAAAGGTGTAGAAAGTGCGGGAATGGACTCTGGAGTGGAGTGGATTGCGTTGGATTTGAAGGGATTGGATGTGAAGTGGAAGAAATTGGGAGGGAGACTGCCTACTGGCCTGCCTGCCTGTATCAACACCACAGGCTGCCGGCCATCAAATATTACCATATCATAGGTTATGTTATGTAGACAACGCCCAACACTCCACTCTAACCAGCCCTGATCGCAACGCCCAAACAAACAAAAAAAACCCTACTCGTCGTTCTCGTCGCGTTTCCTCCTCGCGGTGTGAAGAAGAGGGAGGGGGGGTGCAAAAGCAAAGGGGGGGCAAAATGCAGTTTCGAGAAAAACGGGCCCAAAATCCCCGGGGGACCCCCCAAAAACCAGGTTGGATGATTCGATTGGGGCGCGTCCGTGCCCGCTTCACAAAAGTTAACCCCAGGTTTTTTTTTTTTTACCCTTTGGTGTGGCACTGGGCGGGATCGTGGCCGGGCGGATGTGAGTGTCTGGGAGTGTGTGAGACATTCGCGGTCTACGGTGTGGTCTACCGGCTACGGTACGGTTTCGATCCCTTTTTGGGTTTGGGGGAGGGAGGCGCTGGGTTGCCAACGCGTAGGAATGGTGCGTTTTTGCTCTGGGTACATACGGCACCTATGGTGGAGGAGGTGGAAGTAGAGTAATGGGGATTACTCCAGCCAGATGCAATGAAGGGAAGAGAGGGCCGAAGGGAAGGAATCGTGCTTGTGCTTGTGCTTTGCCTTCCCTTCCCTTCCGGCCCTACCTACATACATCCATAACTTGCAAGTTAAGTTGCCTGTTGCCAGGCGGCAGGAAGGCAGGCAGGCTGGCAGGTTGGTTGATGCTGTTTCAAGGCTGCGGTCAGGTACCGATGGCGACAAAGGCACGGGGGGTTGATTCTTCTTTAATTTGGGGTATGGGGGGGGGGGGGGGGCAGTTCGTTTAGCTAGATGTTGTATTGTACCTACCTCCTAAATCTACTACCTAGAGTACTCTACCTGCCTGCTCTTGCTCTACAAAGAAGACATGCGCACGGGCAGTGTAGAGTAGGTAGAAGGCAGGCAAATGACTACTTTACTAAGCTGGCTAGCACCTACATGTACCTAGCTAATCTGGAAAAGCAAGAGGGAAGGAAGGAAGGAAGCTTCGGTGTTTGTTCCCGGGGAGTAATTATCACAGTACCTTGCTAGCTACTCTAGCTAGCTAGCTAATTGGAGCTGTGATACCTGATGTTTGCCTTCCCCCTCTTCCTCGAGCTTTCCCTCCGCTTCGCGTTGGGAGCTCTCTCTTCTCTACTTCTCTACTTCTCTCGTCGTGCTAGTGCATGTAGCTCGCTGCTTTGGGATTAATGAACCGTTGCAGCGCACTAGCTCGGCCAGTTAATTGGAGCAGGGGAGTTGTGACGTATGGTAACAAGCAAGCCAATCCCAGCACGCCGGAAAACACGCAATTCGTATCCAAAGCATGGATGGGCGGCTGGGAGATGTGATTGATGCCGGCCGGAAAGCGACCGACGGGCGGGATACCGAAAAAAAAACGAGATCAAGATTCGATTGGAAGCAGCCAGCCGGTCCGAGCGGGTTAGTTTGTTTGGGGGGGGAAGGAAGGAGGACGGACTAGGGGTAGGATCTGACATGAGGGACGGCCGGGTAACCTGTAATGTAGGGAGTCTTTTTTCGGGAGAGGGCGTTCTCACGGGTACACAGGTGCCACTGGGGGTGGTATCCAATGGTGGGTGTGTGATCCGTCCTGTGTGGTTCGCCCCGCTTCTTTGGACCGGGGGTCTTTGGATGGCCCGAATCAAACGGATGAACCTCGAAACTTATTCACGAACACGTAGATCTAGCTTCGTATGTAATGTATGTAGGTAGCTTAGTAGAACTGTGAGTACATACTAGCACGGCATGATGTGATGCTCTCTTGCTTTCTCTTTCAGCTGTGGAGGAGGAGGAGGAGGTTTTTTTTTTTTTTTTGTCCCTCTTTTCTATTGTCTTTTTTGTACCTTATTTTATTTTTTAAAGCCTCACCCAATATAAGGATTTTCTGGACGTATCGACGTGGCAACCCTCACGAAGCATTTCATCCATAAACCACCCCGGGAAAAAAAATCCGAAAAACGCCCGGAAGAAACAACTTTGAGTCAGTGTCGAACAAGTCACTTCCCTCGTCCACTCTGCTCTGCCCAATTCTCTCCAGCTAGCTGCTTGCCCACACCGAAATCCATCTTTCCCATCCCACTTTTTTTCCTTTCCCTGTAGTTTAGTGTAGTAAGGCACATACTCGTACATTACAGCTTCTCCCACACCTCCTCCTTCTTGGTTGCATGATCCCCAGAGTGCATCGAGCATTGATTGATTGTACTGCACACACCACCACTCTACCACACTTACTCACCCTCACCTTCTGCTCTTTACCAGAGCAGTTTAGTCCCATCATCAATCATCCTTGGGTTAGGTTCAGTTTTCCCTCGTTCTTCAAAGCAGCAGGCCAGCTGCTGCTGCTGCTGCTGCTGCTGCTGCTCGTGACTCGCTTGTTCCTGTTCGTAGTCAGCAACGGCACCGCCCCGCCACCCGCTTAATACCACCCGCAAAACCTGCGTCTCCTCTCCCTTCCTCCCTTCCTCTTTCTTTCCCCTCTCTCTCTTTCTCTTTCTTTCACTTCACACAACAATTTCACTCCCCACCCACACCCCCCCCTCCTCCCCCCCCCGTTCTCCACCCGAACTAGGTGTTGCTTGCACCTACCCACACCACCCACACTACTCTTCTACGAACCTAACCTAACATCCTCTTTCTCTCCTAACTACTTCTTACCTCACCTACACCTACCTACCTCACCTTACCTACACTTACTCTTCTACCTACCCACCTTACCTTACCTTACCTTACCTTACCTTTCCTTTCCTCCACCACACTTCTTTTTCTTTTCTTGGTTGTCGGTTCCTCTTCCTTCTCCTTAGGTTTCGGTTTCGGTTTCGGGGTTTCTACATATCTGTTCGGTCGCATTTTGGATAGTGGTAATAGTACATCGTTGCTGCTATTTTACTATCGTCCGCTATTGCATTACTACTGAGACTTCTTCGTTCTACTACCAGTACTATCAAATCTTCTCTCTGTGTACTATTCCCACGTACCCTTCTACCCCCCACACCCCACACTCCGCACCCCTTGGTCTATTATTTTTCCTTTGGGTTGTTTTTGGTTGTTGCAACATTATCCATACATCATCAGAACAACGGGGGCTGCTCCATTTTCTTATACTCCCCTTTTTTGCGATCTTTCTGCTGCTTTCCACGTATAATTGCCTCGTAAAGAAAAGAGAAGACCAAGTATACGGGAAAGACAAGACAAGAAAAGACCAAGAAACAAGAAAAACCCACTAGAAAGGAAAGAGAGAGAAGAAAAAGGATAACTTCCCAATTTTTTTTTTTCCATTCTCCACAACCTTTTTTCTCCCCTACAATACACGCACAACCCATCATTTCCCCACGAACCAATCATCACGCCCTCCACTTCTCACCACAAACCACAATGGGCTTCCTCCGCCGCAGCCCCTCAACCTCACGACGCATGACCCCCAGCAGCACCAGCAGCAGCTCCCCCACAACAACACCACCACAACCACCCTCACAACCCCCATCTACCACGAGCACCCCCACAACGATCCCAATGTCCGCCTCGCATCCCCGCACCTCCACCCGCAAAATCTCAAAACACACCCGCAAGACGCGATCCCGAACCTCCGCCTCCACCACCTCCTCCTCCTCCACACTCTCCACCTCCGCCTCCACCTCCCCCTCACCAAACTTCTTCCACGACCACCCGCACCACCACCACCACCACCACCACCGCCGCCACGCCCGCGTCACAATGGTGCCCACGACCTTCGCCCCCGTCAGCGCCTACTTCCCGCGCGACTACCAGTTCGAGTTCGAAGACGAGGGCTACGACAGCGCGTCGTCGTCCTCCTCGTCCGACGAGTCTGCCGTGGCGGTGGGGTGGCGGCCCGCGCAGGGGAGCCTCGAGATGGAGTTCATGTTTGGCGACATGGACGACGAGTTTATGGCGGAGCTGACGCGCGAGAGCACGCCTGCTGCGGGGGAGGAGGAGGGGGAGGGGGACGGCGATGTGGTGATGGCCGGCGCGGAGTATCGGCCGATGACGACGGCGTGGGGGGTCGGGCAGGAGAGGGGCGTGGGACTGGGGGGGAGGGTCGTGGATGAGGATTATGACTAGATTTGGGGTATAGGGAACGGAATTACATGTCCTGCCTATCTTACTTCTACCTACATACCTACCGATTCACCTGCTATATACCGCCTGCTACTACCACCACAGCTAGTACCACACCCAGTGCTACCTGCATATCACGGACACTTCGGAGTTGCGTTATTTTCTTTTAGCTGGGGGAGGGAGATATCTAAAGGTCTTCAATTGCCTCTTTTCTTCTTCCGCCCTTTTTTTTACCCTTCCCTTTCTTGCTCTCCGTAGGGGGGTTTTTATATTAATTCCTTGGTTTCGCAGTCCTGAAGAAAAGAGAAACAAAAAAGGAAAGACATTTGGAAGGAAAGGGGAGAAACCAGCATCGTCACATCATTCATCACTCTTACGATCTCAAGTAAGGTCTGGTTTTTTCCTTTCTTCACAGCCTTTCTCTTCTTTTTTTTTTTTGTTTCTTCACCTATGGATCGATCGATTCTTCCCACCTTCCCCACCCCATTCATGAGCTTATAGTGGGGGGCGAAGAGCTGGCTCGGCTCCTTGTCACTCTCCTGCGGGACCAGAACCTTGGATTGTATGTGTGTTTTTTTTTTTTTATATTATTTGTCCGAGGTTGTTTATATATATATATTTCTACTTCTTTTTTTCTATTACTTGTTTTACCTTTACAACGGCGCCGGTGTGTTACGGGGGGGGAGGAAAAGAAAAAAGCTTGTTTTTTTCTCTCTTTTCCTCTCTCTCTCTTTTTTCCTTTTAAAAAAAACCTCTTGTATATTTTTTTTTTCTGTCATGGGATCCGGATTTTGCAACGGGGTGTTCTTCTATTATTTATTTTTTATCTCTCTGTGTGGTTCTCTCCTCTTTCCTCCTCTTTTTTTTTTTTCTTTCTTGGGCGGGCTTCTTTTTACTTTCGGATGCACGGTTGGCTTTTTCACCTTCAGCTTGGAACGAACACACGAACGATCGATCGATAGCCACCACTACTCGACTCGGTTACTACTACTATTAGCGGGAACTAGTCTTTACATGAGGATCCCCCACTTGTTTGTTTATCGGAGGAGCTGGCGCGGAAGGGGGGGGGGGGGGGGGGTTCGTTTCCTTTTTCATCCATCAACGCGCGGTTGGGGGGTTCATTCTTCTTCCTCTTCTTGATCATGGTTTCCTTTTGTAATACGGGCCGGTTGGCGGGGGAACTCATAACATAGCACGGCGTTTTTTTACTCTTCTTTTTGCGTTTTTTTTTTCTTTCTCTCATTGGGGGCTGGACGGTGTTTTTTGTGTGTATTAACTCTGGCATTATGACGAACTTCTTCTTCTTCATTCTTTTTCTTCTTTGTCTTTTCTCTTTTTTCTGCGTTGCTTGCTAGAAGAACGACCCCTTACGATCACGGCGTTTTATCTTTTTCTCTCTTCATCTATTATTATTTTCTCTTCTCTTCTCTTGAAGCTAGCTCCAGCCAGCCAGCAAGCTAGCCAAAGCTAGCTATGATGTAGTTCTGTAGTTATTTAGCATCCACAAGGCTACCCCAAAAGGAAAATTAAAGAAACACATCAAAATATCTAGTCACCGTCCCAAATATCCCAATCTCTATCGTGTGAAACGTTTCTTCTCCCTGCAAAAAGTGACGATCCCGGATCTGCTGGCTGACGCACGCACGGATCCTGTCTTGGCTTGGGCTGTCTTGGCCCGGGCTAAGTTGGCTCGCGATTGGGGAACCCTAACCCTGTGCTTGTCAGGTCAAGTGGTGCGCGGTGCGCGTGTGCGGTTTTGTGTGAAGCATGGTGTTGCCAAGGCCGTGGATCTGATGACCTGGTTTGATGCCTTGGCGTGCTTGTGTTTTCCATGGGGGATGGCGGTTATGTGAGGTAGGTGAGTGGTATTCTCATGTAGGGCAGGAAAGATGAGGATCTAGATTTCTCTGCGTAATCAACTGCTGCTAGAGAGGGCTGATGGATATTGAGAATTGGAGAGGGGGGGGGGTGCTGAAGGCGCGCCCTCAGATCATGGTGCTGCTAGCTAGACGTTAGATAGTTCGGGAAAAGTGCACGCAGACAGGAAAGCTTTAGGGATCCCCCCCCCCTCCGTCCCTGTATTTCCCTCCTATCGTTGTTGGTGTTGGTGTTGGTGGGTATCCGTCCGCACCCCCAGCAACGCGCGCGGAGGCAGGACCGACGGACGGGGAGATGGTTAATTACATAGTGACATGTAGTCAGAGTACATTGTAGCTAGAGTAGAATAGTGCCGCTTATCCGCATGGGACCCGAGGGCTCGGGCTACCGAGGGTGTCAATCCAGTCCCGTCCCGGTATGGTCCGTCCGTGGCCATGGTGGTACAGGGCAAGATGCGGAGGTGGTGGAATCGAGTGATAATCTGTGATTGTGATGTGGGGGGTGGGCGTGGGCGTAGGCGTGGGGGAGCCGTGGACTAATAAACCGATCATCGGGTGTGTTTGTGACGTTGATGGGCATCAATGATCGCTGTCGAAGGTTGGTCATAAATCTTGGTGTTGCGATGGATCGGTTGGCACAGCCGCATCATGAAATATCACTCGGTGTATCCCGTATTTCTTTAATTTTTTTTTTCTTTTTTTCTTTTGTCATTAATTGCATGCAAAATTCCTCTGTTGATTCATTCGTATTTGGGTTTCCTTGTTGAAAAGGCAGGACGAGATAGTTAAGTGACTTGATTCTTTTCCCGGCAAGGAGTCCAACTAGCTGTATATAGTCATGGATTGGACAGGTGTCGACATGGCCAATGGCAGGTGTCGACAGTGACAAGTGTCAACATGATAGCCTCGGATCGACAGATCATCTCATTGGAAGATCCAAATATCCCGTATTCTTTTGATATAGGGCGCCCGAATTTTGGCAGGTCCTGGGTGGCAACAGTGGGGAGTTAGGTTGAGTTAAGTTATGAAGCTCGAGTATAAGATACAGTTTTGTAGTTATATCTTACACACGTATCATAAACTGATTCCATTAGCTAGGATCTACTCCCGGATCCGAGGAGGCTACAATGCCAAATTTATTCGAGATTTGGGGTTATAATTTGGTTCGAGAAGAAATGGTTAGTACTGGCCTCGTTATCGGATCCTATACTGACTGTAATTTATACATCACCTCAAAGCAGGGCATAGGCACGCAGGAGGCTAGGATAGATTGTTTGACTACATGTACATGTATTGCTTTGGTTTTGCAGCACTTGACTAGCTCTTTCAATCAGATATTAGCTTTTTTTTTTTTTTCGGAAAGCGTGCAGGGCCTATGACACACATCGCATCACATTCAAATACTATTTTACCTACATAACTTACATGTACTTATACCCATCATACAAGACACCAAAATATACATATACAATCGACTCAAACATAAGTAGGCTCTAATGGCGGGTTCGCATTGATTACCAGCCTCTTGACAAAGTCATTAAACCAACTACCCGCCTCCGGCGCCGGGACATCCGCATCCTCGCTGACACAGTTGGCATCGAACCTAGCCGCACTCGTGTCGCTGGTACCGTCAGATTCACCGCCGGGCTTGACCCACACAATGGAGTCCACAATGCACTCGCCCGTATCCGTCGTCGGACGCGTTCCGTACCTATAGAACCCATTAGTACACTAGCTCTCACGCCGCAGTCACAGCAATATAGAACTTACCCTGCATCCTTAATATTACACCAGTGTCCACCCTCCGTCCTGATATTTTGGGCTCCAGATCTCCCCTGATCAATGATAAACTTACTCGGCAGGCCCTCTGCCTCAAGATACGGCGCGAGCGCTTTCGCATACTTCAGCTCGCTCCAGTTCGGGTTATCCGGGCCGGGCCCGTAGATGACATCAGGAACGGTGGCATTATAAGCATTATAATTGGACACATTCGTAGCAAAGCCCCTAATCTTCGCGCCGGATCCCGCGCCATCTACAACCTGCTTAAACACCTTCGCAGCAGGCTCCAAGTTCGACGGCCACCCCAGCCAGTTGCTGTGCGCAGCGTCAATGTACAGCGCGATATTATCGCGCTGTAGCTTCTGAATTGCGTACGAGAGTCCTGCGAGGTAACCAGGTGCAGCAGTCACGCAAGCCGGCGCGGTAGCCAGGTTGGTGATGACATTACCGAGGGAGTCGGGCTCAAGGACGATGGCGTAGTCGAGGCGGTCGTAGGGTGGCGCCGAGAGCGCGGTGGCAATCGTGTCGATGAAGGTTTTGTATTTTTCGAGGCCGCCGTCGGCGAGGGAGAGTTCGCCGGCGGACGCTTTGGCGCTGCAGTCTCGGTCGGGGAGGTTGTAGATTACGAGCGGGAAGATCAGCTTTTTGTTGGGTGGGCGGCGTTGGGCACGGATTGCCTCGTCGAGGCGTGCGCTGAGGCTGGGGATCTGAGGAGGTGTTAGAATTTCTTTATACAATTATCTGATATAGATATGGGAGAATGGAGGGCTTACGTCGCCGGAGCTCGAAACCCACATGAAGGTGCTAACGCCCTGCACGGTTCTTGTGCGCGCCGCATTGAGCTCATCGCCATCGGCGAGGAAGCTCTGGATTGTCTCCTCGAGCTTTGTAGCGTAACCGGTGTTTGCGTACTGCACGTGGTTCAGGAAGGGGTTGTCGCTGTTGCAGCTTGGTTCTGTCGTCCTTTTCTCGGTCAGGAGGGGGCTGCCGGCTACAAGAGCTTGCAGGGACGGAGAGAGTACAAGGAGCGCAGAGAGAAGAGGGAAATGCATCTTGGGGGTTTGGACGGCGAGCTTCGATTTTGCAGAGAAGATGCTGCTGCCTGAGGTGTTTGGGAGGATTACTGAGGCCTTTTTATAGTGAATATCTCTTAAAGATATTTAAGAAGCTCGTATTCAATATATTGAACTCACCCCACGCCCAAGGTATAGCTATATAGTACGGCGCGTGATTCCGGGTTAAAGTCAATGGTACCTAGAGCGCTAATATATAAATCAGCTCAAAGTCATTTGGGAAACTACACGACGGGTATCCGGGGATTTAGCAATACCAGCTTCCAGGAACAGA